CTTCACGCACACCGATAGGACCCAGATGAGTGATCCTATATCAGCAGTACATAAGAAGCCGTTTGGGGCAGCAAAAGACGAACTTATTAGTGATACGAGTGCACGAACGCAAGTACATACAAGATGAGACACCCAACTAAATTGTTTGGAATCGTTCTTTACGGTCCACGAGGAGTTACCAAATTCGAGCGCAGTCGGTTCTACCGTTCTTGAGATGCAAAACCAGTCACCTATTCGAAAGTGCTCGCAAAGAGAGACTCTAACTGAACTTTGCGGACAGTCTTCCTTACTGATTTCCAACGGTGGATGTTGATTTTTTGAGCGATGGATTATGTCATCGAATACGTAAACCTGAAATGATGAATAGCTTCACAAATATTTCAGTAAAATTCCTTCTATCGGGCTGTTTCATTACGACGGGCATGGTATATGGGTTACAGCATTAATTTAGGGCAATGGATTACGGCAGGATGGTATGGATTTGTACGGAACAAAAAATAACGTTGCACTTCTTGCAAGGATGGCATTATAGCAGTGACCTATGCCGTTCCACTCTCGCATCGTCTGACATCGTAGCAGCAGTCTAGCACAATAAGAACAATTATTCATGTGTTTTCGGACAAGGCTGTCGACTGATCAGCTAAATATTTTATCTACCACAAGAATGAATGTCTGTCACGATAAACACAATATAAGTACAAAATTTGGATTTTCACTATGCACTCCATCATCTTTGACTCTATTTTTTTCTCTTCTCTCTCCCTCACGCTCTACTTTTACTCCCCTCGTTTTCTTTTTGTTTCTCTCTTTCTCTCTCTTTCTCTCTTTCTCTTTCTCTCTTTCTCTCTCTCTCTCTTTCTCTCTCTCTCTCTCTCTCTCTCTCTCTCTCTCTCTCTCTCTCTCTCTCTCTCTCTCTCTCTCTCTCTCTCTCTCTCTCTCTCTCTCTCTCTCTCTCTCTCTCTCTCTCTCTCTCTCTCTTTGCTCGTCTTCCCTTCTTCTGTACCTATGTCTCAAGTCGGAGGCAGGCCTTCTATCCGAAGCGAGGCTTTTAGTTGATTGCGCTGAGCGACACCCTTTTGATGTTGTGAAAAGCTTCTTCCAAAAAAAATACTGTTCTTGCCTTATGTCATGGATGAGATAATAATGGATTGGTGTCTTCGCAGTTTTTGGCGACATTGAGCTCAGGCCTGCCATCTAGCGGGAGAATTGTCGTAAGTTAGGAGCAAGCCGAGTGAACGCCGCTGATTAGCATTGTGACACACGGGAGTGTGTTGTAGTAGCAGGCTTGTTGTGCAATTTTTCAACAGGTTATGTCCTTATATGTCAGTGAAGGCGAAAAAATTAATAGATTTATGTGCAGGGTCAGTAATAAGATAAGCAGTTCCATGTTATTTCCTCATTAAATCGTGAAACAGGGAGTTATTGGAGACTTCGCTAGCACGTGTCGTTTTCGCTATTTTTCACATGAGTCTTTACTTGGCCTAAATCAAACAAATTGTCCGGATCAAAGAACAAAACGAACGTAAGTACCTACTATCTATAAGTATAATGAAAAGTTAAACGGAATTGCTAACGTCATTGCCGCTCAATATGTAATTCAAAAGACGCTCTATGAAAAGGACCCAACCAGTGCTGCGTAGTCGATGAAATTTCAGTGACTTTGGCTCCAACTCCGATTCCGGTATTCAAATATCGACTCCGACTCCTCCGGGCAGAACTATCGGTTCACACAGACTCCGACTCTGGCTCCGGCTCTGCAGCGCTGGTAAGTCTGTGGAGTCGATGACTTTTCGGTGACCTTCGACTCATACTCAGACTACAGCTTTTAAAAATCAACCGACTCCGGGTCGTAAGAGAACCGCTGGCTCTGACTTCAATTCCGCAGCCCTGGCCCAAGATAGCCGCCTAAAACAACTTTGATGTGTGAACTTCTTCGTACATGGTCATGTTATTTTAAACAAGGAATGGAAAAGGGAGACGAAGCCTTCACAAACAGGGATCTCCTGTTGCGGATCAATCAGCTGCTGAAACAGAAAGGCATAAACACCACGCGGCACGCATCTCATTTCATCGTTTTCCTAATGACTCTGCACCAATGTAAGCACTGATCAATGCAGTGCGAGCATCGATGTGACATTTGTATACCAAGTTTGAGTGTTATCCGCCCAGCCGTTCTTGAGATATGGAAGCGGCAGTCGGCACCCCGCACGTGCGCACGTGCAGTAGCACCCCCATAGTGACACATGGACATGCATTGGCCACTGGGTGCCTAACTATTGAAGTTTTACTGTAATGGGCCCAGCCATTGCGGAGTTACTTTATGTGGAACAATTTCGACAGCCCTAAGTTGGCACGTGGCACGTGCCGTAACATTAACTAAGATGAAGAAAATCGGGCGAAATTCGGAGAAGAAGGAATAAGCCTACCAAATACTTGTATGACATATTGTCAAACTGCTGTACCCTTGTGAGTAAATGACCACATAAAAGGTACAAGCCGATCGGACTGGGCGTTTCAATACACACCGTCTTACGCATTTTATTTTCGTTATTACCTAAAGGCTGCTTGACGTTTTTGGCTTTCAAGCATTTAAGACATTTTTTGTCGTCTCAGGTCAAGTAAGATTACCTCCAACTCGTGGGAATATGCACTTCAAGCCAACTAACACACCACATCCACGTGTGCCATAATGCTGAGAGATGGCGTTCACTCGGCTTGCTCCTAACTTACGATAATTCTCTCGCTAGATGGCAGGCCTGATCCCAATGTCGCGGATCCCAATGTTAATTTCCACGAGACACCAATCCAGTGTTATATCATCCATGCTTATGTTGTGTGCTACCATTTTTAAATTTTACTTTGAACGACTTGTCATTTAATCTTGTCAAGCTTCAAGGGCATCCCCCCTCAATCACCCCCCCCCACACACACACACACATACAGCAGGGCGTTTTGGTGAGGCCTCCAACTGGCCAACTGCGGTTCGGTCGGACGCCGCAGCCCGTCGCACTGGCCCGGGCATCGATTCAGGTGTGGGCGGTTCTAAGTTGGGATCTCACCGGCCGCGGCTGGGCCCAGGTCTGGGAGCGGGCCCTGGGGCCGGGGAGGGGTCAGGGGTCAGGATGCATGCTGCCGACCAATAGCGATCGATCCGGCCGATGGCCGGTCACTATCTGCGGCTGGCTCGACGGGACAGCCGGTCGGCTGGTGGGCGCCACGGCGGGGTCTAATCGCGACACGGGCTCGGACAGCCGACGGACGTATTGTGGCCCGATGGACAGCCGACGGTGGTGGTATTGCGGCCGGGACACAGCCGCAGGGGGTTATTGTACCGGGACCCGCAGAGCTGACACGCTGGCCGCTGGATGGTGATACTCTGCAGGGTCACAGCCGCCGCGGGGTGCCTGATATGTGGCGAAAAACCAAGAGTGGTGTATACCCAGCGGGACCTAAGACGTTTTTTTTTTTATTCACTGGGTACTTGTTGAAACACGGGTCTTATGCACATGGGTCCTTAAAGCACGTGCTCTGGTACTGTTCTATGCTCTTGATACTGCTTTCAGTTAGTACTGTTCCAATATCATGTGATGAAAGAGAGGGAGAGATAGAGAGAGAGAGAGAGAGAGAGAGAGAGAGGGGGGGGGAACAACGCTTGCGCTGATCACTCATCGTCCAACTTCTTATCATAAATTAACTTCCTGGAAAATGTTTCCAGGATACTTTTACTTTCTAGGATACTTTTTTGCGCCGAAAAGTATCCTAGCATTATTTATTAATAAAGATGTTTGAGCTCTAGTTCAATACCACCGCATGAATAATTTTGTTGAGCGTTTCAAGTCCCAATAGTCACTTACATACAATAAAACGCTTGATGAGAGCAACGCAGAGTGAAATTTGATAACTTTGATAGCTTCTGTGTAGTGTCTAGGTAGTTACATATGTAGTGCCTAGTAACATTACCTATACATTGTATGCAAGTACACCGTTAACTACTCGTATTTTATGTAACTCCTGGTGCCTTTAGTGGTTTTATTAGCATTACATCGGTACGTGTTGTTGGTCACCTTTGACTTACAAATGGTTGGTATTTGCCAATACACAGCTATTCGTATGTACCACAAAACATGAATACAGAGATCAGGTATTGTATAGGGTAGGTCTGCAACATCAAATTTCACATGCAGGCTTCAATACAGAGTTCAGGTATTGTATAGGCCATAGGGTAGGTCTGCAACATCAAATTTCACATGCAACGCTTCTCAGTAGCCAGCTTGACCTTACCGGGCTCAAATTAAGACGTGCCTTGACAGCGGACATTGAGTAGCATACAAAACAGTCAGCCTCACAAGAGTGAGCTTCAGCTTTCTTATTCATCAGCTTTTGTGGCGCTTTATAAAACAGTAAACATATTTGTTTAGCTCTAGTTTTCCAAACATCACATTATTTTTTATTATTATGCCCGGGAATATTCTGTATCCAATAAGTCTGTGCTGTATGAGACCTTGCATAACCTCTCTTATATTTCCAAGTCACGTTGTCTGAACCAATCAAATAATAGAGTTGATCCGGCTTTCGCATTCTGTCCCAGTGCACAGCGCGAATGCCTGACGTTCACTGCTCTCCAGTCAGACTCCAGGGTGATTCTGTTACACCGCAGCCGAACAATGACCTCCTCACGAATGGAGTTGGTCTAGAGGCGAGACGTTGGGCCGCAGCTGGTCCACCGGCCTCCATTTGGACGCCTCTGTGGCATGCTCATTGCTCAGGGTTGGCTCAGAGCACCGCGTCCGGCCGGCTGCTCAGCGCCTCGCGGCTGCACGGCAAACAAATCCCCCTGCGAAATTGGCTCCACGAAATCGAATGTAGCCGACGGCGGCTCGGCGTGGCGTCGGTGGGGAGGGGGGAGGGGGAGGGGAAGGGGCAGGAGCGGGACGGGTCGCGAGGTGGCACGGTTCGCCTCGTTTTCACAGACGACTGAGCGCGGCTGTTGCTCATTTCAGGCCAGCCCAGCAGTGGGCCCGGCGGCGGCGGCGGCGGCGGTGCCGGCTCCCCCGGGTGCCGCCCACTCGGCCGGCGCTGATGACGTCCCGCGGCACCTGGAGGACGTCATTTGGCCGCCTCTGGTGACGTCACGCGGTCTGATTCTGGTGACGTCACGGCCAGCTGCTGACAGCCGTTGTCGGTAGCAGTATGTTCTCCGATCCGGCTTTCTATGCTGACGAGGAGTCGGAGGAGATTGAGGGTGAGTTCAATACCCGGGGAGACCGGCGAAGAAAATTTGGGAGTTTTGTTGATTGCCTCCAACTCCTTGGGGGATGAAAAGAAAGCGCAGTAACCAACATTCTCCGGCATATAACAGGAACACAAATGTTAACCACCCCATAGTTGACAGTAGATGTATGAAGACAGGAAGGAGATACGAAGCAGCAATTTACTTAAAACAAAAAGCATATTTTGACCTAATTTGGGCACCGCTCTCAAATAAATTTTCTTTTGCCAAATGTGCGATATCCGAACAGCTAGATTCCAAAGCTTCGGCCTGTTACTTGTAACACTGATGTTTTTGTGTCAGTGTCACAAGCCGGCACGCTTTGACGCATAATGAAAACAAACAAACCATAAGCGAGTGATCGGGTGAACTTCAGCTTTGAACCTTATATTTTCATTTGTGGACTACTTGACATCATAGCCAAGATTGATTCTGGTCTGGTGACCTACAAAACCTCACACTAACACAGATCCTTCAAGTTTAAGATCAACATCATTAGCGAGTTCTCTTTGCGTCGCTCCCCGTCTCAAGAGTACCTGAACCTTGGACTCAGTCAATGTTGAGAGCGAGGGTTTCTGGCGCCAATTACGGATCAGACGCTGCGGCTACCGATAATCCCAAAGCTTTGGTATCCGTATGTTTACACGGAGTGGAACCTTTTGAACAGGAGTTTAGTGGTCAAATGCATTGATTCTGAACATTTGTATGGCCTGCACACAAAATGTACCAATGGTAGGTTTGAGAGCTGTTAGTTATGTTATTCTTATTCATGATGTGTCCATATCTTTACTTGACGGAGCAAATTAATTATATGAATCATCCAAATTTTCAAGTACCGCACTCCCAAAACCTGTCAACAAACCGCACACCACTGCCTACTGTTAATACGTAAAAGCAAAAGGTGCCTATACTTTACCTAGCTAGTACAACTTCAAAACTAAGGGTGCCCAAAGTGGAGGCTCAAGTAACAGTTCAAGGAAAGTTTGGAAGGTTGGAAGTGATTTGGGTATTGCGATAGTTATCCAAAATTTATACTCAAATGTAAATGGGAATATTGCATACGCATTTGCATGATTGTAAGCACCCATTAAATACCAAACTTATGCATAAGCCTTACCAATTGGTAAGACTTTATCCACCCTGTGCACTTTATCTTTATTTTATTTTTTTCAGCTCGCAGTGCCGTCTTCTGCGGAGCGAGCTAGAGCCCATGCAGTTATACCGCGCATATCCCGCTGGGACGCAGGCAGTTTGCAGCTCCGGGAGGTCCACGTTCATAATGCCAAGTCGACTGAAGTTATGTCCGCGGTAGTGCATAACATGACATTCATGCCAAGACATTCATTATTTCTGGGAAGAAATTAAGTGGAACGACCCTTACACTGACATTTGTTGTCACAGCCAGAGAAACTACGACTATGAAATCTGTTCGGAGACTTGGATGGCCTACCCCTCGTTCAGCTGACCTGATCTGACCTGACCTGACCTTGCCCGGCAGGTGAGCGGCCTTCGGCTGCCTACAGGCTCTTCCACTGGATCTGCTGTTGCGGTTGCATCACCTACTGCGTCACGTCCCTGCAGAGCTGGCAGCAGCGCACTGCCAGAGATCGCAAGAAGCGCAGCATCCGCGTGATACGGGTACGTCGAACGAATGCCTGACGTGTGGACGGGTGGGTATGGCGGACGGACAGATGGAAGACGGACGGGCAGACTGATGGACGGACGGGCCAACGGACAGATGGACGACAGACGGACGGATGGACGGACGGCTGGTGGGTTGGCGGGCGAACGGGTGGACAGGCGGATGGACGGACGGACGGATGGATGGGCGTAAGCACAGATGGACGGGCAGACGGACGGACGAGCACGAACGAACGGATAGAGGAACGGAAAGATGGAAGGATACGCGGAGGGATGAATGAAAGGAAAGGACGGAAAGACAGAGGGATGGGGCAGTAGGCACACCAGCGGATAGGCAGTGGGACGAACGGATGAACGAGCATCCGACCAAGAGATCACGCGAATGAAGATAGACGGATAGACGATCAGATAGATGGACGAAGAGATGGATGGATAGACGTAGACGGACGAAAGGCGGACGAGCATACGCAATGGCGCACGCACTTTCACGCACACGCCATTTGCCTGGCGCTGATGTATGGAGCAGGATGTCGACCGACGACGGACCATTACTTTTGCGTATACGGTAGCTGAAACATGGCCAAGTATTCAAAAACACCGTCCTGTGTACTGTTATGACGTGACGCCGTATCGTTGCGTCGCTCGGTAGGTCGTCTCTCGGCGGCCATGTCTGCCTGGCTGGTGGTCCTCGGAGGCTAGTTTCCGCGTGCGATCAGTTTATCGATTTATCGGCGACTGTGTGGTGTGTGTGCCGTCGTACGATCAGGTGCGCCGGACGCAGTCGGGACGTGGTGCACTGTGTTCACTAGTAGAGGCCATAGATAACGTCACGATGGTGCAACAGCGGCAGGCTGATGTCATAATTGCCAGAAGGGGTCTACCGCAACGTTACATCGGCAGAGCGGGTGAAACGTCATACCTGTTCGTGGTAGGGTGGCCGCAACGGTGCGTTATGAGATTGGGCCGTCGTTCGAGTTATCGACATATTAGTGCAGACATTGTTTCGTGTTAGTTCGGTCCACCGGAAATTGCCCAGCGAGAGGTTGGTGAGACATAAACCACGACCGTTTTCCGAATTTATAGCGCGTTTTTAGGCAAGTCAATAGGAAAGTTTAAAACAATAAGATATTACAATAACAATTTCAAACAATACCATTAGGACAAGCAGTGAGAAACCTGATAATGATGACAGCCTTATGAAATAGATGCGTAAAATATGCAGCACAAAATCCCCCATTCCGATCCATTTAACGAATATTTCATAGAGCGTGCATATACATGGAAAACTGCGGAGATTTCGTAAAAGACGAGAAGGTCAAAGGTTGTGTGTCGCGGACTGTAAGAGCCCTGGATGTTACACGGATCACCGCTGCTCTCGTTGTAGCAGCATGGTTCGGGGTCACGGAGAACTAACGTGGGTCGGACGAATGAAATCCGATGCGCAGAGGAAAAGAAGCGAGAGAGGCCGATATGGAAAAGATGGGAGAGAGGATGAGGGAGGGCGGAAGGTAGGAAGGGAGAGAGGGAGAGAGAAAGCGTGAAGGGAGAAGGAAGTGGGAGGATGGGAGGAAGATAGGAAGGGAGAGAGCGAGAGGGGAGGGAGAGGGATGTAGGGAGAGAGAGAGAGGGGAGAGAGAGGGAGAGAGAGATAGAGAGAGAAATAGAGAGAGAGAGAGAGAGAGAGAGAGAGAGAGAGAGAGAGAGAGAGAGAGAGAGAGAGAGAGAGAGAGAGAGAGAGAGAGAGAGAGAGAGAGAGAGAGAGAGATGGCGAGAACTAAGAAAGGGGTAAAAGAGGCTGGTTAATCTCTTATATCCACCCTCTCTTCATTTCAAGACTGGGGATTGCCAGCCAAGGCTTGTCTGGCCTGGGTCGCAAATAGTTCTCCAGCTGCCCTGTGTGCCTCACGTGAATGTCAATGAGGCCTACCACCCTCCGACTCCTTGGCTTAATCTAAGCAAGTGACTTGGATGAGATTTGGCAACACCGCCTGGATTAAGTGCCCGTACGTAAACAGCACAGTAGACAGAGGTTTTGCGCCCATATGCAGCTACCTGAGTCACCCAGCATTGACCAGCCAGAACCTTGCCGAATAACATGGTAACTACACATAACGACGGTATCATCGAGACATTTTCAAATGGCATGAGTATCAAATGACCAACTATATAGTATGGGTCATTCGGTAGGATTGCGGGCCGGGATGAGCCCCAGCCGACCAGCCTGGCTATTTTGAAGTCGGCATAATCATTGCTACCTGATGGTGGAAGCCAATCTGCCACGCTGTCCGCAACGAGACAATTTGGTCCGGACTTTGGAGATTGAATGAGATGAGTTTTGCATGGAGCGCTCAGTAAAGTCAAGAGCGGAAACTGGATAACTTCGGTACAAATACTTTTACCTACTTGCTGGTCAATATCCTGGCATGTTAGCCCAGGCAAATGAATGCTATTGGCAATGTCTTTGATGCCAGAAAACTGCGTATTATTTTGTTAAGAACCGAGTGTCTTGGAACATTACATTCGAGCTCAACCCGACTTTGTTGAAATGAACATATTCATAGGGATATCTCATACCGCTACCACACAGACAAGGGCTGCGCAACGTGCAATGTGCAATACTGCCAGTTTTCAGTTCAGCATCAGGCAGGATGTGAGCTGGCAATCGATACTCCCAACGGAGACGCGATTCGGCGGCAGCCGAGCTTTGCAACTTGGACAGGCCGGCGTCTTTCATAGAACTAACCGCGACAAACCTCAACGTCTCTTGCCAATTTAATTTCAGGTACATCCAGAATAGGTTGTTACAGCTTACAAGAATTGAGCTTCCCGCTCTCGTGGAAAGCTTGTCTAAATCCTCTTACCAAGAGGAACGGTTGTCCTAGGGCTACATTGGGTATGGTCAAAAATATTAGTTAAGGACATGAAAATCAAGTCTCTGAATGCACCAGTTCCAAGTTTGTAATATGCTTCGGTGCTATAATATTTTGTAATATGCTTCAATGTTTCAGTGTTTGAAAGCGTGCATCTGCGTGCTCCATGCGCTGAGATCTTCCTATAGCTAAATGGTCCCAGGGGAGGTCTTACAACGCATTAGCCGTTTTCACGACGGGCTATCCGGCGAATGCACCTGATTTGACCAAATCTGCACCTAATTTCTTTTACAGCAAATATCTTCATTTTTTGAATTCATTTCAGTGTTTTAATTGATGATGCTCTCTGATAATATGACAAAGCAGGCTTATAAGCAATTGGTGCAACCCTAGCTGATAGCTGCTAAGAGGCACACTAAACCTGATTTGACCAAATCTGCACCTAATCTGTACCAGATGTGCACCAAATGTGTACCAGATGGCCGTCGTGAAAACGGCTATTATGTACTTTGTAGGTCCTTATGATCTGCGTGTATATCAATTACAATTTTCAAGCCACGCTACCTCGCTGTCCACTGTCCAGCTAATCAGGAGTCATTTTCTGTATGACTTGGCCCACGTAGATCCCGTAACCCCTATCTTGATATACGGCAGGTCGCTCCATGCTATATGCGGCTCATTTACCTGACCCGTTCCCGGATCTGGTTGCCGGACATTGGTCTCCGCCACCGGTGGCTGAAGTGATTAAATCGGCCAGCACGGTCCGGCCGTGTCGGCGCCGACCGACCGGGGCCGACCGACGGCCATGGACGGCCACCAAGGCACCATTACGGGCCGTTGGCGAGGCGCGTGAGACACTGATGGCTGGCGTTCATTTCAGGCCGGACAGCCACAATGGCGCCACTATGGCGGCGCGCCGTGCGCCATCACTCAACCATGCACGATCGTACAGAAATAGCAGTGAACGCTGCGAGCGACATCCAGGGAATCAGAATCGATTTATTTTGCAGTCGGGACAAAATGAAAAAGCAGTAAAATTAGTGTTAGTGATAATTGGTGAAAGTAAAACACCAGTTTGATGTTGAAAAGATTGGAGTTGTTGACACCTACCTTTGCAAAAACAGGGAATGTTCATAGTCCTATAGATGATTAATTTATGATCATTCATCATGCTTATATGTTTTTTTCTTTTAACAAGAGATCATCCTCAAACGCACTTCAGAAGCCGTTTGGTGAGTCGAAGACTAATATCGGCAAATCGCTGTGTGCACCGTCCACTAACATCTGTGCCACTGACGGCGCCGTGCTCTGATATCTGAGCCACTGACAGCGCCCGTCCTCTGTCTCTACAGGATGACCCGGAGGACTCGGCGGCCGAGGAGCGCTCTCTGCTCGGCCGCACGCCCTCCCTCACCTCCTCCGGCTGCAGCTCGTCCTCGTCCCGGGACCTGAAGGCCGACCTGTACACGCAGATCGAGCGGCGCCGCTCGGCGGGCCCGGTGCGGCCTCTCTCCTGCGGCGGCCAGGTGCCGTTCTGGCCGGGCGCGCCGCCCACGCCGCCGGCGGTCGGCACTCCGCGCACCCACGGCCTGCAGCCGCAGCTGTATGAGGTGACTGAGGAGGCCGCCAGCGCCGGTCCGCAGCCGCCCGACCTCGGCCAGCTGCAGTTCAGCCTGGCCTACCGGCCGCAGCAGGGAGCGCTGCTGGTGCGCGTGCTGGAGGCTCGAGACCTGGTGGCGCCGGCTCTGCGCGACAGCGCCGACCTGGCGCACTCCAACCCGTACGTGCGCGTGTGGCTGGCGCCCGGGCCGCGCCGCTGCCGCCAGACCAGGGTCCGCCGACGCACACAGAACCCGCGCTTCGACGAGACATTCAGCTTCGATGTCAGCGTGGCGGAGCTGGAGCGGGTGCGACTGCACCTGCTGGTGAAGGACTTTGACAAGTTCTCGCGTCAGTGTGTGATCGGTGAGGTGACGCTGCCGCTCGCGCAGCTGCATGGAATCTGTGGACAGCTGCTCTGGAGGCCACTGGCGCCATGTGTGCAGGTGAGCGCATTCACTTACCCTTGGTAAAGTAAAGAGGTATACGGTCACCTCCTGTGGAGGCCAATGAAGCCCTGTGTTCAGGCTTGCGGTGGGTTTTATGACACTGGGTATTTAACACGGCCATAATGACATCATAGTACGAATGAACTTATTCAATATGCGAAGACCTTTCATTCATTTGCTCTCCGCGCAGTTCAAATTGAGCTGATGACATCATCGGCAGCGCGGTCAGCGGACAGGCACCGCGCCGGTCCCCGACGGGACCCCCGGCTATCTGCAGACGGCCGGTAATCCTAGCCACTATTCTCTAACCGATTTCACTGACGATAACCGAGCGCCCTTGGAGAGAAATGGCCAGGGAGGAGCTCTCGTGCAGTAAGTCCTGGAGATAGGTGGTCCCTCTGCGCGCAGGCCAAAACAGACCCATTGCTCATGTGTCCGTCCCGGGCTGCAACTGAGCGCTGGCTGGCGAATGTGTGCGAATTGCCTCGGAAGCGTGGGTCTAAGGAGCCAAGGCAAGGAGGCAAGACGATAAGATATGCAGCATCAGTTATCCCTGCAGTGTTTTCTGGTTGAATCATTTATAACGTTGATATTCCTTCACATGCTTTATATCACTGGCTCAGTTGTGGATTTACCGGCACCGGTTTAGTGATTTGCACGAAGGCAATAAAAGAGGTTGAAGCTGCTTCACAGCTGAGTCATATAAACTGCATGGGTAATCAAGATCATCGTTTAAGAAAAACGTGGCAACTATGTATGCAAAAAGATATGTAACGATAATAATGATAATGGTGCAGATGGAATCACAATAGCGTTTCCGCAGTAATTTCGTGAGGACATTTCTATTCGGTCTAATTGCACCGATATCCATCGCTTGCAACCTCCACCTTATATTCACGCATGAGCTGCAGAGTAGCACTGAACTCTAATCAATGAAAAGTAAATGAGTTTAATTTACGACCGATTTTTAACACACATTTTGTTAGGTACCTACCTAAAATGTTACTATAGTCTATATACCTAGGAATTATCTACTTTAAGATCTCTATCCCCTACTAAAAGTACGTAAATTTTGAGGAAGCTATATTCTGAGGCCACCAGTGCCACTCCCCAGCTTCAGCGTCCGTTCCGGTTCGCTGTCGAGCTGCTTTTATTACACCACAGAGTTTCAAAAATACCAGCATGCCACCACCCCGCAGCGAGCATTGACATCGTTTGAGCTCAAAAGTGCAGCTGTTCGCTGCTCCATAAGGTCAATTTAGGCGCTATATTTAGGCCGGGATGCGAGAAACGGTTACCCGATCCAGTCCACCTGTATCCTGTTCTGTGCACCACGTGTATGCGCACGTTTGAGGGCAGAGGTGAGCTTTGCCATTAATGAGTTTTCGTATTGCACTAACTTTATCAATAATTTTCCAAAGTTCGATGGCTCACTTTTCACTAATTGTGAGAATACAAAGTATATGTAAATCAATCGCGAATATGGGCATTCCGAGGCTGTTTTGAAAGCTAAAAGGACAATGTTGCTGCATATGCATAATATCGATTTCCACCTTCAAATATGCAGATGGTATGGCTCCGAAGCTGAAGCCTGAAGTCAGTTATCGGTCACCACCCGAGTAAAAAAAAAAAAATGGCAACTGGGTTATCGATCGGTGTGTTTGATCAAAACTGTCGTAAGATTATCATAAGCCTGATAAAATGTATTTAGAAACGGAGGATTATTAATTGGACGATGATATCATTCTCCTGTTCTATTGGCAATCATGTACTTACTTGGAGACGAAAGTTGGTTAGTCACGCTGCCTTATCAGATTCGCTCGATCATTTGCAAGCATACTGTGACCTGGCGCGATAGAGTTTACAGTTGTTAGGTTTACGCCCGGTATGCTCATATGCCTTTATTCACTTTTTAGGTTTTCTCGATGCGGGCTGGCGTGATCCGTCTGACCATACCTGTGGGAACGTGCAATCCGTGTTACTAGCAAGCCTCCCAACCCGTCCCAGGCCTTCCGACCCTTCCAACCACACCAGTCTCTTTCTGAGATGCTCTGTATTGACCTGACCTGTCCAGCAACACCTGTTTTTATGGTTAATCTGACCTGCTCTGGCCTGCTCACCGACTATGTCCAACCACGTCTGTCGTCCTGAGGTAACCAGACTTGTTGAACCACACCTGTCTTTCCGAGTCCCGAATCTTACCTGCCTTTCTCAGTTGACCTGAAATGACACAGCCTGTCTAATCGCACCTGTCTCTTTCAAACACGTCTTCCTGAGCTGACCTGACTAATTTCTGGTGGTATTTTCAGTACGAGGAGGACTGCGGGGACATTCTTCTGACGATGAACTACCTCCCGCGGGCCGGCCGACTCAATGTCGACGTGGTGCGGTGTCGTCACCTACCCGCCGTCGACCTCAACGGAAGAACTGGTGCGTGTAGTGCGGTATATGTCCATACAATCACCGTAACATCAGGTGCTTGTCACCAGTCATCGACGCTAGCCTTACCAGCTACGTCACGTAACACCTCGATGATGTTATATATCGATGACCGGAAGCAACACTCCTTTTCGACACCTAGTCTTAGCACTTCTGAGTGAGCGTCCTCGTGTCAGCTTTTGTCAAGTGATCTAGATGTGTGACGTGATTCAACAGGTTACTAGTCCAGCCCGATAGCCGATGGGAATTTATCACATTATCACTTGGTCCTACCCACTCAAAATTGGTTGGTATGGCATCTCGAGACCAATTCAAGTGTTCAGCTTAGTTCAATCGCCGCAATCGACTTACCATTTGTTGAACGGCGTATAATCTTTAGCTCATAAGGCTTCTGCTTTGTAAGCCTGCATGTCTACGTTGATCCCTTGACGAGGTTGCACAGCTTCAGCACCTGGCGGGATTGCAAAGTACCACCTCGTATGACTGCTTCTGTCGACGAATTTTCTTTAAATTGCTGCATATTTTAGTTACCGGGTAAAGGGAAATTTACACACAAAATCCATACGCGGCCCTTCAACGTTTTGTCACTTCATTTTGCAGAATGCTTAGACCACACGTCACCATTTCGGTACGTCTTGTTTTCAACTATATTTCACATTAGTTGCGGGAAATCATTCGCATGGCGCTAGTGGTCGATTGTCACAAAAGGAAAGAAATCAGACAAGTCTCCATCCCTCCTGTTCTTCGCCAATAAATCGCGCCGTAATAATTCCATTAACGTCAGATTTTCAGCAGCTATCTAGGATTGAATTACGGATCGTCCCGTGCAAGAAAAAAGTAAATTGGTCCACAACTTTTCTAGTAACAAGGGTGTAAAGTCAAGCATCCTGCCGGGTCGGCGGCCGGCGCCGGCCGTTACTAGCCGCCTGACTGGTAGACTGTGCCGGTGGCGGACGGTCCCGTCTCAGTCTTTGCATTGTGCTGCTTACCGCTGCTAATGGCCGATTCGCGTCAAACCCTCTGTGAAGATTCAGAAATGTTCGGGCAATCTTATGGTAAAAGAATTCGAAAATCATCCGGTAACATTTTGGGTTACAAGGGTGTAAACACAACATTGCTACGGAAACGTTTCCCCCGTCGCGTCGGCCGCCCCCGCCCCAGCCGGCGATATCTTACTCTTATATAGCAGGCTTCTAACTGCCATTGTTATGGTTGGATTAACCCTCGCCCGTAAACGGCGATCTGCCACCTTCGCCCATGCAGGGGGGGGGGGGTTGGTGCGACCCCCCCCTTGGCATTTGAAAACGGAGCGTCGTAGAGCTTAGCGGAAAAGACCAACGGATTGCTCTCGCCGAGATCTCGCGATTGGTGGTATATTTTTTGGTCCTAGGTCAACATTTGACCTACTTTTGACCGGTCAAAGGTCAAATTTTCGGAAAAATAGACTTTTTCAAATTTTCCGCGGCGATTGCGGTAAAACGGTGGGAGATATCGACTTGAAACCTTCACTATCGTGTTCCTTGATCAATTCTCTATCGTTTGGTATGTATTTCGTTTCCCTAGCTCTAAAAATGGCGCGTTGGGAGCGCCGGAAGTCGGCAAGGTCACAGTCGGCGGCAGAAATTCAAAAAATAAAAATTTAAATTTTTGAAATCTGATTGTATTTTTGGATTTGGGATGTCCATTTGCTCCCTATAGAAGCTAATATTGCTGCATATTCCCATTGAGGTGACAAGAATTAGCAAAATAGTGGTTCGGGCGCTTTTCAAAAATAGTACCGGACGCTGTTCCTCTTGTGACGTCATAGCTCCGTGACCTGACCTGACCCGGTCAAGTTTCTTATACCATATGATAGCCAATACTTGCCCCAACATGCATGGGAAGTTTCATCACGATCCATCAACCGATGTCCGTACCACCGGCAGGAAACCTCGGGCGTTGGCACTCAGTTTGTGAAAATCCGGCCGGAGGCTGTTCCCTTTGTGACGTCATAACTCCGTGACCTGACATGACCCGGTCAAATTTTTTTATCAAAAGATGCGCAAGGTTTGCCCCATAAGGTACCCAAAATTTGGCGGCGCTGCGCGCCGCCGTTTTTGCACTATTTCCGAAAAACCTCAGGGGGGGTTGCACCAACCCCCCCTACATGGGCGAGGGTTAAAAAGAGATTCTCCACCCAGATGAATACATGTGTACATGTATAACATGTGTACATGCTTTGAGCATACATGTGTATGCTAAAAAATGTATGCACTCTCGTATAGTAAAAGATATAGGACATTCGGTCCGTAACTTTTTGAGTGATGGGCGTTTTAACACAGCATATTCCCTCACATGGCAAGTTTGGCCACGTTTGACCTCATTTGACCTTGAAGACATTAACCTAGGGTCATGAAATTAGCACACAACAGAGTTTCCTACCGATTCCACCCACCTTCCAAATTTTGTCTTTTTGGCTCCCATAGAAGCTGAGATCTTAAGGGGGCGACGTTGCCCCCCCCCCCCCCACTGGGCGTAGTTCTCGGAACCCTTCCCCTGCGCGTGTTAAGAAGCGAAATAATGGCATTCAATAAGCGGTTGCAACAATGATGTCGTTCAGTTGTTCCTAACTTTGGACACTGGCTGTTCCTGGTAGTCATAAAGCCCTGTTCCCACCTGCGCTTCATGTTACCACCGCGATCCTCAGCGCACTCACCGGCAATCGGGCTATTTGTCTTCGCTATCTGTTCACGGCCTCTGCCGGCGGAACGTCACTGGTTTGCGGGAAACTGAGGTCATTGAGATGACGTCATTGGCTCCCGACAGGTGCGCGTCGGACCTGCAGCGTCGATCGGGAACTTCCCGGATCGTGTTCTTTAATCCCGTATTAGCTTTTGGAACCGTCACGCTGGGGTGCTCCAGATAGCTTTAAAAGTGTCCGATTCAAATGTTTGCCTGCGATAGATTTTTTTTAGAACGTTGAATAAAAATGTGCGCTTACAATTAACTTTTGCTTGTCAAGAGCATAAGCGATTCGGGTTCTGTACAGGGTGGGGCAGCGAAATCGGAAAAAACGACAGGCTGATCTGGTCATATGACATATGAAAGGTATTCCCGATTATGTTGCTTCATCCTGCTTGGAAGCTGACGACAAAGAAATTATTGCATGATGACGTTGATATAACTCGTATCGTTAAAATGGTTTGCGTTTGCCTGGCATATCTGATATGGGTATCCCGTACCTGTTTTTTTACTAAGAAAATGATATGGATGATTCAATGACCCCGATCATTTACCACGTCGATAAAGTGGTTACCAGTATCCGGACAGCCGCAGCAAGACTTGGCCTGCCGCCAAGGACGGTGATTTTCTCAGAAGTTGGCCGGCTCCGCGTCGCAAATCACGGGCACCTTTGTGGCACCGCTATCGCACTATGGGTCGTAAAGCACCATCTCTGAGACCGAGGGCTGGGGAGGGTGTCTATCGGCATGGCCCGGGGTCGCCAGGGTCATGACATCAGGTCATCACCTCCGGCGCAGGCTGATATGGCAGGGGATGTGGTCTGAAGAAAAGAGGGATGTGTTGGACTTGCTCGCTATTCAGACTAATGTTTATACAAATTTGAACACGCCCGTTCTTCACTAGCGGGAGGGTGATGGCGTCTGCTCTAGCGCTTGCAACTTGCAAAGGTGGAGACCTTAATTTTTGGGGTGCAACCAAGCACTCCACTCAGTATTTTTTAAGAGGAAGAGAGACGATCGAAACCAATTGCAAGGACAGATTTTCAGGTCGAAATGTGATTGAAAGGACAAACATTTGAAACCATACACCTCTGTATACATGTATACGAGTACACACACAGAAAAATATTAACACCGTTAGCGGTGTAATTGCACAGTACATATCTGAGCATTTGAGGAAAGTTAATTTAGTCCCTTCCCCGCTTAAATTACTCGCGCTTCTAAATGAACACCAGGAAGAAGGTAATAGAACACTGTTAGGAGGGTTGGGTGTTTTGCTACATGTAGTAAAACACCCAACCCTCCTAACAGTGTTCTATTACCTTCTTCCTGGTGTCCATTTAGAAGCGCGAGTAATTTAAGCGGGGAAGGGACTAAATTAACTTTCCTCAAGTGCTCAGATATGTACTGTGCAATTACACCGCTAACGGTGTCAATATTTTTCTGTGTGCAGAGGTCTATTTTGAAATGGATCATACCGTTTCACGAGTGCGTGCTAATCGAGCAGTCTGATGTTTCAGATCCCTGTGTGCGAGTTTCGCTTGTTCTCGGAGAGAAGCACATCAAAACAAAACGGACAACCTGCCACAAGATGACCACCGATCCGGTGTTTAACGAGCGCATTAGGTGAGTGAAGGTTGAGTGTCTCGAACGCACCCCCCCCCCCCCCACCCACCCTACCGCTAGAAGGCTGGTGGCTATCCAACCGTGTAAAACAGTGGCCTTAGCTGTGATTTATATTCAAGAAACTGAATAGTGGCAGTTGTCAGAGTCGCGATTTTGCGCTGTCGTTATTAATGCGGATAATAGGTCTGTGATACATAGTACACACATATGCTTGTGATATGCTTTCTAGTGAGATTTTATCATCTCAATAAAATGTTTTTACGAGCGAGCGAGCGCAGCGAGCGAAGTGAGTCTTTTTTCAATATAACGGAAAAATATCAGTATGAGCGGCCCGGCCCGGCCCGGCCCGGCCTGTAACGCTTTTGAGAGGCTTATATCTCAGCAACCGCTGGACCGATTGGCCTGCGGTCTTTTTTGCTGGGTAGCCCCATCCCTTCTACCCCGTAATTGACTACTTTTGATACATCTCAGTGACCGTCGTGGCACGTGCCACGTGAAAAGTCAAGGGTGTTCAAGCTGTTTTGCAAAAGTAGTGATTTTGAGAGGCTCATATCTCAGCAGCCGCTTGGGCGATTGACTTGCGGTAATTTTTGTAGGGTAGCAGCATCCCTTCTACCCAAAATAGGATACTCTCGATGCATGTGGGTCACCCCCAGTGCACGTGCAAAATACAACAATAAGAGGTGCCAAATTTGTTCCCATTTCAGTAACTCGGTAATTACTGGGGCGATTTCGCTGAAACTTGGCATACCTACAGGTAGGCACCCACCAGGAAATGCATTCCCATGTGTTGCGGTTAGGGTGCTACTGCACGTGCGCACGTGCAGGGGGCGTTTCCAGATCTCGAGAACGGCTGGGCCGATTGCGCTCAAATTTGGTACACGGTTGGGGACCAGTTAGTAGGGTGCCGTGCAAAAGTCATTTTGGACCCCGTTTGCACGTGCGCACGTGCAGAATGCCGCTTCCAGCTCTCAAGAACGGCTGGGCCGATTGCGTTCAAATTTGGCACACCGCTAGCGACCAGTTAGAAGGGTGCTTTGCGCAAGCCCGTTGGAAGCGCCCTCTCGCCCTTCCGCACGTGCAGGGCTCACTATCTCGCTCGCTCGTTCTTCGCCCAAAAGGCGTTTTACTGGTTTCATATTTCAGTCGTACATGGTATTTTTATCGTCGTTCGTTCTATTTTTGGCATAGCCCCATCCCGTGTCGCAGTTACCACTATAATTGAATCATTTATCGTTTTCAGTCTTTTGATAATTTTCTCAATTTGTTCTTTTACTATCTGTCTGACGGAAAGCCACAGTCGCTTAATCGACCGCTGCCTTTTGAGCCAAAGGGCAACAGTTAACGAGAGTTTGAGCACGAACGAGGGATAATTTCAACCCTCTCGAGTCTCGTCTTGTCGAGGCGAAATGAGTGTCGAGGGTGTGCTGCTTCAACCGAGCCCAGAAATAGAATAATGATATGCGGTCGGATATTGAGTGTCATGGAACTTAAGCATGCAGGTTCACAATTTTATTTTAACATCGATGGGATGAGCCTAAATTTTCCTGAAATCAATATACTCCGATTTATTTTCTTACACAAAAGCTGGAATTTAAATGACAAGGAAGCTGGAAGGATGACTGAAGAGACCAGAGATCTTCCTCAAACCGAAATAATACATTAGACACTCATGTGATGGAGACACTCCCACAGGCCTCGTGGCCTGACCTTGCCTCTTTTCTGCTCAAACAAGACCCCAGGTCAGCGACTGTGACTGCTGGCTCTATGATCTCGTGCTGATTGGCGTGTGAACCCCTCAGTTTCAGTGTGATGCCTGCCGAGGTGTCGGAAGTCACCCTAGTGCTGTCTGTGTGGGACGTGCGTGCTACTGCGGTCCGACAGGAGCCCATCGCCAGACTGGCGTTCGGTCGACACTCTACCGGTGGGTGACACAATCACTGTATGTCTTGTCTGTATGTCTGTCTGTCGGTCGGTCGGTCGGTCCGTCCGTTCTGCCGTCCGTGCGTCCGTCTGTCCGTATAATTGACTGACTCACTTTATCACACATCATTCTCAATTTGCCCTGCTTCTCTCTCTTTCTCTCTTTCTCTCACTCTCTCTTCCTGACCTGACCTCATTATAGCAATTGCCCCATCTCTACGAGTATGCATTCATGTTTGCGCACTTCTTTCGTAGTCTTCTACAGCTTCACCCCATGTTTGGACAAGCCCTCATGCTCGTAATTCACATCACTATACAAAGAACGTCATCATGTACCTACTGCTAAGAAAGTGGAGCAATAGTCCTATCATGATAACAGATTGCAGTACCAGTACCTATGCGTAATCGTCTAGTCCTAATCTGCAGCTGTAACCATTGCATAGTTACCTTATAAAAAAAGCTGTAACCAGTAAATGTACATCACGGACTGTACTTTATGGAAACCTAGGAAATAATCAGCTTCAATAATCAGTTGCATTCAACAGTCTGCGGAGGCCATGCCTCCTTGGTAAAGTCACGTTTCATTTCACTGCCATCATGATTCATTTTATCAATATGCTCGTATCAGATCTGCGTGATTGACATGACCAAAGCAATTGACGGACCTGGAACGAATATTATGTATTGATCTACTAATTGACCTTATTGATACGAATGATGTGACTAGCGGGGCTGAGGCGGTTCGGAAGTTTTCTATACGGACCGCACCTTATCAAATAAGACGCACGACTCTGCACGTTCGCGGGCATATGACGTGTCCGATGACGATGCTGATGGATCAATGATTGACGAAACTGACGTATCTGACTGACGAATTGAGGCTGTCGAACCACTGGTACCTGAGTGACGTTACATTTGGTTGTTCCACGTCAATTGATGTGTGGCCTGTGTCACTGGCTTATTTTACTGATGCTATATGACTAACTACTACTATGGCTACTAACTATACGTTACTGACGTATAGTATGTGAGTAGTTTGTCAACTTCATATGCAGCTGAGTCACTGGCGTTGTCCATTGATAAACGTTTTCGACTTACTACCGAGTGCCGACTGACGTCATTAACATTAACGACGCGCCTCAATGACGCTAAAGAACGACGTGACTGACGTTATCGACTAGCATCACTGCCGAATGCCGACATAGCGTCAGTAACGTTTTCTATTGCCATCAATATCGTTTTCGACTAGCCTCACTGTCGAGTGCCTAATGACGTTGCTGGCGTTTTGGACTGACGTCACTGACGTTTTCGACTAGTCTCACTGGCGAGTGCCGACTGACTGACGGCCTCACTGACGTCCCTGTGTCCGGCAGGTCCGGAAGAGGTGGCCCACTGGTCCCACATGATCCGCGCCCATCGCTCCGCAGGAACCCAGTGGCACAGACTGAAAACCTACACATTCTGCCATAAGGTAACACATAGTTCGAACGCTGGTCATCAGACCTGATATTTCCTGAACGTTACCGCAGGCCTAGGGGACTTCAAGGCTAAATAATTTACCAATATGCACAGAAGGACCTAACGATAAGCGTGACATGTTTGTCAAGTTAGCTTTTTTAAGAGAAACAAAACGCAGTACCATGTCATAGAGGCGGATGTTATCCGTGTCACAGTTGTATAATCTCGGTGTGAACAGAAGCCTTGGCGAGAGTGGAGGCCGGAGGCCAGATAAGGCGCTATGAGCTGTCGTGTCTGCGTCGACCCTCGAGCCTATCTGTTTCGTATGTTTGCCGATCTTGGGTAGATTTCCTGTCCTCCGTGCGCCAGTACCGCAGTCCGCATGTATCAAACGCAGTACAAAAACCACGATGGCGTGCTGAGCCGAGATCGGGGATTGCTTCAACTCGCATTTGGTAACAAAGTTTGGGAGGCCTCCATGTTGCCGTGTCTGAACTAGAGGTGGCAAAAGATGAAAATTTTGGGAACCAGACTCGAACCAGACCCGGCTGGACATTTCTGGAACCAGTCGGACCCGGTCTTAGTTGGAATCGGAACCAGTTGGACCCGTTCCCCAAAAGTCAATTAATACAAACTACTTGTAGGTATCATTAGTTGCATCATGTAAAACAGCATATTTCCCACTGGGAATACTCATGAGATACTGTGTGCAAAGAACCATTCACTTCATATTTTGCGGTAATGTGCAGTGTGCAAGATGTATAGTTAATGGTAGGACCCGGTTGGACCCGTCAGAAAAGTTCCAGGAACCGGTCTGGACCCATATGGGTCCAGACTGGTTCTTTGGACCGGGTCCTCGGGTCCACATTTTGCCACCTCTAGTCTGAACTAGGTGTCTCATGGCCGAAGTTCGATGTTAGTTTGTCTATTGGTCTTATAGAGGGCTGACAGTTGACAGTTGACATTTGCGTTTCCCGGAGTTCATCTCTCTAAGCCCGAAGGCTGCCTGCGTCCTTTGCATTTATATTGCAAAGGACAAAGAAAGAAAAAAGGCGACAACTTGCAAAACCGTCAAATGTTAGCAGAAGCCAGAATCGTTGCTTTACTTCTGGTAACGGAACGTCTTTCCTATTCTCCACAGGTATCGCCAGCATCTCGCATAGTTCCATGAATCAGCGCTGGACGAATGTCTCGCATCGTTTCGTGAATTAGTGCTGGCGACTCGCATCAGAACACATGCGTGAGAACAGAGCCGTCCCGCTCCATCCACAGTGCGGCGGTGTCTCAGGTCGGGTCACCACTCGGGTCAGGTCAGGTCAGAGCGTGGCGTAGCGGGCTCTAGCGAACATGCGAAGCAGCATCTAGTGACAGCACCTGCTGTATTTGCCACCTGAGACCCGGTCAGCCGGTATGTGCGGACCGTCCAGTGTCGACACTCGCTAAGGGCGCCGACAGACAACCACACGTGTGACGTTCCCAGACGGGCAGCTCCGGTCGACAGAGGGTGCGTGGACTGTATGTCTGTCAGCAGGCAGGCCGGGTGGCACCAGCTGGGCTCTGCCACTCCGCGCAGGGAACCACGAACTGTCTGCCAGCCCCAGCAGTCGTGGGCTGTATTGGACTGCATGGGGAGAGCCATGACAACTGGCACCAGCCGAACTCCAACGTCGAGGAACAACGACTGTGTGCATGGGATGGGATGGGGCCGGCATAGAAAGAGTTACGAACTGGATGCCACCGGCCGAGCTGTGATGGAACATGGAAGAGTTACGAACTATGTAGGTGCCACTGGGTGAATGTACTGAATCGGACCGCAGTCAACTGACGCGTTTGTCATTGCCTTGACACGTGACTGTCTTGGAAGTCAAGTTCTAGACTCAGTCAGGCACAGCGATCTAACGCATCGACAAGCAGTGTTTATCCCGAACGGCTGACGATAGCTGATGTCAGTCAAAGACAGATGATAAAAGCGTCCACGATCACTCACATGCTCGCGCAAGTGATGATCTGTTACTCGTGATAAGCGCTTAGTTATATGTGCATCGATCACACCTGCGCACTGGAGCCTGGCATGTGGTCAGCGGTATCACAAAATGTGAAACGTTATAATGGAGTGTTCTATGGAGGTGAACTAACTACATTGGGCGTAACACATTTGCGTGCTGCGTCACAAAGATAAATGATGACCATTCCCACCACCCGTGATAGGCAATGTTTATGTAATGCAGCAAAAGTCCCAATTGCAATAGTGGAAGAAGATTAACAGCAGGTTCAGTATCACGCCAAATTTGTGAGGGGGTTTAAATGCTGTAATCGTGTTTGGATATAGTTGTTTGAGGAACTTATCAGTAGTACGATACGGACGATACTTTTGGAATCTATAAGAACTCTGTGCGATGCAATACTCAGACCGTTGAAACAAAGTATCTGGCGTTTATCGTCACACAACAACTCTTTCCGACTGCATCCACTCAAAATGGGATTTTCGCTGCATCTAGTTATCCCTCGCCCTGGCAGGGCATTTTTCATAACACGGCCTGGCAGGGGGGGGGGGGGTCGAGGCGACCCCCCCTCGCGATTGGCTCCTATGGCACCTAGAAACACCAAATTTTGTAGGTAGGTGGGTCCCCTAGAGTTCTCGCCCCTGTGCAAATTTGGTTGCTCTAGGTCAATATTTAGGGGGGTTTTGGGGGGTATAAATGTAAAAATTTCGCTAAAAACAGGTCAAAAGTTTTTCGCTTATAACTTTTGATTTAATTAAGATAGAGCAAAAAAAAAAGCACCACTGAACTCAGCACATTAAGGCGCGTCGAATGATATACTTTTTATCTTGCTTGAATGTACTTAAAGTTTTTCTTAAATTTTAAGTAAACTTAAATTAATAAATTAAGTTAAAGTTACCCAAATTGCATCATATCGCATATCATTCGATTGGGCTGATCACCAGGAACACAATGATACCATTTTTTAAGCTCTAGCGTCATTATGTGCCAAGTTATTGGCAAAAACGTCATTTGACCTCAGTTGACCTCATTTGACCTGACCCATGGATAAGTACACCAAACAAAGAAGCACCAAGTGACCTGCTGTTAAGTACTGTGGTTTCAAAGCACAAAAGTGATAGAACGAAGCGGATATCTCCAGTATTTTCCGAATTTAGTATTTTCCCATAGGCTTAACATTACGATGTAATGACCTCTAACTGACCTCAGGTCAGTGACCTCAAAAAACCCGAACTATATGTTATACAACTCGGTGAACTTAGCACATCCTGAAAGTTTGAAGGAAATCAGTGCAAAACTGTGAGTTGGACAGGTGCAAAAAGAAAATTGAAATTTGACCATGACCTTGTACCGGTTTTTCTGACCTGGTGACCTGACCCAAGGTCACCCGAACCTGAAATTTTCAGGTCATATGTAAAAAGGTTGCCCCATAGGCTGTGCCAAATCGCGCCGCCGTTTTTACGCTATCTTCGAAAAACCTTAGGGGGGTCGCATCGACCCCCCCCCCCCTGCCAGGGCGAGGGTTATGAACATTCGGGGTCTACCCTGCCACTGCGATGGCTCCCGTGTTTTGTGTATGTACGCGTGTAAAGGATTGTGCTGCGTCGGCTGATTGTCATGTGCCATACTCGTATATACGTGCGTCGTTGTGCAGTACGACTGTATACCTACTTCCCTGTGTTGTGTACTGCACGGCTGTGTATGCCTGTATTTGCAGCTGCGATGGGGGACGGCTGTGAGTGTCAAACATGGTGTTCAGTGTTCGATGTATTGCTCGCTCCCATGGCTCGCGGATTGTGTGCCACTCTCGCTGTTGTCGCCATCTTATTGAATCTCTCCTTTCTCGCTCTCCCCTCCCTCTCTCTCTCTCTCTCTCTCTCTCTCTCTCTCTCTCTCTCTCTCTCTCTCTCTCTCTCTCTCTCTCTCTCTCTCTCTCCTCTCTCTCTCTCTCTCTCTATCTATCTATCTATCTATCTATCTATCTATCTATCTATCTATCTATCTATCTATCTATCTATCTATCTATCTATCCTACTCTTGCCTTCTTGGCTCCTCGCTCTGACTCCATATCATCTTTCTATTACTCATCCTGATCAAGTCACCCTTAATATGCGTACAACTGCCGTTTCCTGCCAGAAGTTTGGCTTAAAGAGATTGTGTGCACAAGTAGCCCCAAATATGCAATGTCAATACACAAACCAAACAATTTTCAGTCAAAGGCCGTGCCTCGGGCTCCCTAATGCCAACAGTCAATAGCACAGTTATAGCGATGAATGGAGCGTGACACGACGCGCCCCGTAATGTGCAAACACGACTCACGCACACAGGGGTGATTACTTTTACAAGACGATCGACACGACAATATTGCGTGATAGCGATGGCGAAGACTGACAAGGATCAGGCGGCGATCAATGTCCTAGTCGTTTGAGTGGAATGGAATATCGTAGGATGCAACTTATCGCACGTTGCTATTGACTGACAGGAAATGAATGTAACAATGTCAAGGGCAATGGATTTTATGCAATATGCATGCACTTAAGTAAATAATTTACGGATGTTTTTTGCTGTGTTGCGCACGAAAAGGATGTCTAATGATTTCATTTGCTAAGTACCTACTTCATTATAAAAGGTTCCTGGTTTCATCTTCACTTACATCTCATCAAGCTTGAATAATGTTATATCACTATTATCTCACATTTGCAAAGGTCCAAATGCTTTTCAAATGAACCAAAGTTGTCATTTCCATCGCCATTGTGCAACGCACGTTACAGCTCCGCTCTCATTCGGAGGCGCGCTGTCCCCACGCGTCATGGCCTGGCCACCGACCCAAATATAGCCGTCGGTCAGTGGCCGAGGGCTGTCGGTGTTCCGAAACCACCGCTGCTCTGCGCTGGGAACATTCAGAACTGTGAACATTTTGAATACATCTCTCTGCCCGTTCAGACGTGCCTCTCGTCTCGCCTTTGGTGCCTCCGCGACACCATGCAGGTATATATGACACGTCGAGGATGTTTTCCCAGACGTAACTTGAGCCTTGGAGCTCTGAGTGAAGCGCGCTCCGCCCCAGGCATGTCATTTGAGCTGGCCGATTGGCACAGCCCCGCCAAGTGTCACCTGAGCTTGGCACGTTCAGGATGTGTCTACCGAGCTGAGGCTCAGATATCGCCGGGTGTAAGCTTATCCTCAGGGAGTGGGAGACGGCCTCAGAGAGAGAGAGAGAGAGAGAGAGAGAGAGAGAGAGAGAGAGAGAGAGAGAGAGAGAGAGAGAGAGAGAGAGAGAGAGAGAGAGAGAGAGAGAGAGAGAGAGAGAGAGAGAGAGAGAGAGAGAGAGAGAGAGAGAGAGAGAGAGAGAGAGAGAGAGAGAGAGAGAGAAAGAGAGAGAGAGAGAGAGAAAGAGAGAGAGAGAGAGAGAGAGAGAGAGAGAGAGAGAGAGAGAGAGAGAGAGAGAGAGACCGTGCTGAGCGCAGTACCGATCACCGGCCAGGCAGGCCTTGGAGAATCTGACCTTCAGTGGCCGACAGCGAATGGCACACAGTTGAGTAAATGTGGTCAGCGCAGTCCGCTTGTGCGACGATCTAGATCAAAAGATCACTGGCCAAGTCTGTCGATAAAGTGGATTTGTGGAGCGTGTCAAGTGCTGTGTAAATAATTCGGTCGGCAAGCTTGTCAAAGCGGGCATTGCTTGTTCAAAGTTCAAGACGGGATTTGTTGCGTAGGCTTAGAGGAATTGAATGGTGTTATTGCAGGGGTTTTCCATGATCGTCATTTTTTGTGATTTTATATCGATTCAATGCATGCTAAGGTCTGCATCATTTCAGTACATGCTTAGGTCTGCAGCAGTTCAAACTTAAGTGATTGCATAAGGTGTTTTCAAGCACTGTAGGTATCGGGAACATCTGAACGGCTGCTTATCACTGCAAATATCGCTCTAGTGTTGGATGATCTGAGATCTCGCTAGCTTTCAGTTCGAGTCATGCCAACGACCGACTTCCAGCTCAGATTAATGGTTTAGAACAATGCTAGCATATCCATTGTGCATCATGCACACGACGGAAGACATATTAACCGTTTTCACGACGGCCATCTGGTACACATTTGGTGCACATCTGGTACAGATTAGGTGCAGATTTGGTCAAATCAGGTTCAGTGTGTCTCTTAGCAGCTATCAGCTAGGGTTGCACTAATTGCTTATATGCCTGCTTTGTCATATTATCAGAGAGCATCATCGATTAAAACACTGAAATAAATTCATAAAATGAATATATTTGCTGTAAAAGAAATTAGGTCCAGATTTGGTCAAATCAGGTGCATTCGCCGGATAGCCCGTCGTGAAAACGGCTAATATTTGTTAATATTAGATCATTTTATGTACATATATTATGTACTGCTATCGAGTTATATAGCCTTCGACAAATTTAAGCTACGTCATTGTTAGAACACTGGTCACAATGCAATAACAATTATTTGATATAATAATTTATTAATATAATCTATTTTTAGGTACACTCGCCAAAAAGCAAACGGGAAAGCAAGAAACAATAATCGGACTATGAATGAGATAACGCCGAGAAGGACGTTTTGATCGTCTGAAATAACTTTTGAGAGGTCATTTTTTCGGCGTATGCACACAGAAAAAATATTAACACCGTTAGCGGTGTACATGTACATGTACACCGCTACATGTAGCAAAACACCCAACCCTCCTAACAGTGTTCTATTACCTTCTTCCTGGTGTTCATTTAGAAGCGCGAGTAATTTAAGCGGGGAAGGGACTAAATTAACTTTCCTCAAGTGCTCAGATATGTACTGTGCAATTACACCGCTAACGGTGTTAATATTTTTCTGTGTGTGCAATATGCATGCGATGTTTCTGTCACAACCAACTTGGGTGACGCACCAAAAGGAAGTTTTTGTGTTGTATTTACCGTGCAAGGACTATGTAGTTTTCAATACTAGTGAAAAATGTTACTGGATATTGGAGGATGATATAGGTATTCGAAGGATATTTGAATTGGTTAGCAGCACATGCCTCTTACTCGGTCGGAAAGTTACAGGCACTATCATTCCGTTCCATCAAACAGTACCGATTGGAGTGCAATGAGCGCTGATACGACAGAAAAATGCGTCACATACCACCCACCTCCTCTAGTCTAGCTGGATGACCTGGCAACATATTGGAGACGATGCGTTATCATACTGCTCGCAGGAGCTCGCGGCTATCAGAGGCATGTGGGCGACCAGGCGGGTCAGTCGAGGACCTATCAGGTCGCGCGCGGGCCGAATACGATAGATAGGCGCGGCTGTGTGTGCGGGCTCGGCCAGCACGCACTCTGGCTGGCCCTTCTGCCGGTGTCAGTGGCGCTGGTGGCACGTCTCCGCGGACGATGACGCGCTGCTCGGTCGGAGCTCTGGCGGCGCTGGCGGTCGCCGCTGGCCTGCTGGCCGCCGCCTCGGCAGAGGTCACCATTACCGACAACGGCTACTCGGGACTGGTGGTGGGCATCTCCAAGGATGTGCCCGAGGACGACGGACCGCAGCTCATCGAGGCCATCAAGGTGCGAGGCGCTATAGGATTTTAAAGTGCTTATACGTCTTTGTCATTGAACAAACTCATGTCGATACGTTGATGTTTGCGAACTGTTAAGTATAGACAGAGACGTAATGCACTTTGCAAGTAAATGTTGACATTGTTTCGGAATATAAGTAATGAAACGCCAACTGCACTACCAGGTAAGACATATTAACCGCAACCAGAGTGCCGGCCGAACTCTCCTGCTCCATTTACAAAAAGGAATTTATGCGACATATCCCGATCGTTTCCCTTGTACCGATGAAAAAGGACCAGACGGGAACTCTTAAGTTGTTGCAACCGCTGGATATAGGTCTGATTCGTTTAGGATATTTCAAACATATCAGACACGTGGAGGGTCTTATGAAATTTCTTGTTTTTTTTCCCGACTTTCCATAGCTGTAGGCATCAGGACTCAGTTTCTCGCTGGGACACAAATAAAACGTGAAAAGTTTCACAGCCATATTGCCCTAGCCAGGAAGACCACATAATGTTGCCTAGATGAGATGTGTTTAGAGTTGAAGAGAGCGAACCAGAACTTTCCCAAAATGCACCGAACTGATGCGTGCAATGTTAGGCATGCTATCAGTCAAACAGCGACCCTGTGTGGCACGATTTCCATTTGCTGCGTCTTGCCAATGATGTGCGTAACAGCAGCCGTTTTCACGAAGACCATCTGTTACACATTTGGTATTATGTGCAGATTGGGTGCAGATTTGTTAAAATTAGGCTCATTGTGTCTCTTAAAAGTTGTCATTTTTGGTTGCACAGATGCTTATAGACTTCAATTTTCATACCTATTATCAGGCATTGTTTTCGATTAAAACACTGAACTAAATTCATGATATGAAGATATTTAGCTGTAAAAGAGTTTGATGCATACAAGTATTTGGTCAAATTAGGTGCATTCGCCAGATAACCCGTCGTGAAAACGGCTATTGTGAACGAGGGAGGGGCATTAACAGTCAAGAAAACAGCGTGAGATTTACTAGTGTTATCTTGTTTCAGGCCATGTTCCGAGAGGCGTCACCGGCTCTGTTCACTGCCACGGAGCAACGGGCCTACTTCAAGAAGGTCACCATTCTCATTCCCATGACGTGGACCAATACCTCCATCGATAGGGTGGCTAATTCTGAAGTTTATGAGGTATGTTTTTCACACATAATAGCACTTAAACTCACCCTTGTATTGTTATGACATAATTTGACCTTATACAATCCCGAGCATTCTGATGTTTTTCGTGTTCAGTATGTTACTAATCATTTGTTAACGTCATTTTGGTATCCTGCAGGAGTCGGAGGTGCGCGTGGCGCCGCCGAACCCGGCCTACGGCGACAACCCGTACACGCTGCAGCCGGGCGGCTGTGGCGAGCCGGGCGAGTACATCCACGTGACGCCCGACTACCTGCGCTTCATCAACGACACCATGAAGCGACGCTTCGGACCGGCAGGTGGGTCAGCTGTGGCATCACTCGTCATGGTGGTCGGTGGTGAATTGTCACTCATGGCGCGCCTGGCGCATGCGGCATGCGTTTTACTGAATTTGTTAGAGCTCTCTTCGCATTCAGTCTATCTTACTAGTGTCTCAGCGTTCACACTCCTTACCTATCGCATTTTGTCACCTCGCCAACTAACTTTTGCGATATTAATAGCTATAAAATGCTTAAAACAAGCTAGCGGGGCTGCAGCTACTTAAACAACCATATTTGAATGATGTGTAAACACACTCTTTTCTTAATGAAAGATGCCAGTGAAACATAGTGTTTTTTCATGGTTAACCGCGTCAAATAATAAACGTTGCTTCAGTCTGGCTAAGTAAGCCTAGCATGTTGACCTCAGGTCAAGGTCAGGACAAAGCCGTTCTGGTCAAGAAGCTGGTCGAAGGAGGTCATGACAGCCCTGTTCACGACGGAACATTGGGCATGAACCTATTTGGTCCTTTTGATCTGTTTGATACCTGATAAATTTTAGTAGCTGCTTATTATATAGAAGGGTTTCCACCTTCCGAACGAAATGTCGATTAATGTAGGAAGTATCATTAGAATATATGACCTTCTCCTCGGAAAATGACCAAATGAATGAAAATGATTATTTATTGATGAATTGATGATATTTCGGTCACAGACCTTCGTCTAAATCGAATTCGATTTAGACGAAGGTCTGTGACCGAAATATCATCAATTCATCAATAAATAATCATTTTCATTCATTTGGTCATTTTCCGAGGAGAAGGTCATATATTCTAATGATACTTCCTACATTTATCATGCTCCTCGCAGCAGCTCTCAACGATATACGAAATGTCGATTATTTTGCTTCTTCTCTTTCAAGTTCAATCAAATGGCTGTTCAATGTTTCGCAGTGAAAAGGACTATTGCACATCACTCATTTCGGCAGGTCTTTTTTTTCCATTGGCGGCTTCGGCTCGCTAGCGCAATTTGATCGGAAGCTCTCGACGATAAGTTCCGATAACCTCAAGCAGCCAAAGTGACGTTATACATATATGACGCCACGTATCCAAAGTCACGTATCATATCAGTCACGTATGGGTTAAATGTGCAATTTCAAGCATTGAACCTGCAAAGACCGGATAACATCACTCTTGACTCTTGAGATAGTCCCAGATGATTTTCGGCGTCAAAATAACAGCTTACAATCTTCCTCATTGGGTTACCTAATTATGAATCATAATATGGCCAGCCTGACCTGACCTCAGGTGACCTTTGTTAGAATATAATATTCGGGAGAACGCGGCTTATTATTTTTTTTTTTTTCTTAAATACATCTGGTAAGTAGTAAGTTTCATCTCCCTGCGAAAAAATTCCCTTTAGTCGAAGAGGTGAGGCCGTTGTGAAGCTGCAACATCTTAGGACCGTGCAGAGGTACAGTCCACCGCTAAAGTAATGTGCGGTTTTACCAATCTGAACGGATGGCTTTGATCGGCGATTTTTTAATGCGGAGTGATCGAAAAGAAGACGTCAATAGAAAAAGTTGCAGCTGCAAGGGCGACGATACATATAAACTACATTCAACGTTTAATTGTAGTCTGGGTAATCGTTCTTAAGCTTCAGAAGCAGAACAAACCCATGACTGAAATCGCACATTACTTCTGCTGTGGACTGTACATACACTTAAGACGTCATAGATCAGTGACCGGACCTGATCTGAAAACGCAATTGTTTTCACAAGGTTCTGTTTGAATCAAACACCCAGATATGTTAAACTCAAGCTTTCTCTTGCTAAGGTGTTCCGAAGATTGGTGAGAAAACGCTCATAGGGAGAGATGGCATCAACCCCCTTGCTTCTAGGTCGGTGCAGGTTAAAGCCGGTAACAATGACCTCACATTGAGTGGTCGTGTCGTGACTGTGAGCCAAAGTTTACAAAGCTCATGCGAAAAAAGAGTTGAATAAGGTGTGTTGCAAAAAATTATTTTAATGTGTTTCTTAGCTACACTACACTACTTTGCGTTGCGCGTCAATAAGTGTTATTTGTTTCATGACGTACACATGACACAGAAGTCGGAATCGGAGTTGGAATCGAAGCCGGAGTCGGAGACAGAGTCGGAGTCATAGGCGGATTCGGAGTCGGTTAGAAGCCTGAAGTCATACTTCACTGCCGGGGGTCGGAACAAGGTCACTACGACTCCGAAATCGTTTCATTTTGGAAAAGGCTCGTTGAGAGCTTTGAGTGCGCTTTTTGCGCTCTTTTCAAATTTTTAGATAATCGGGATTGGCATTTTAGCCTCATCACAATGGTGAAGTTGGCTGAGACACCAACCCATCACTCGCGTTTATTCAGAGGCTGACTTTTGGTGAATTTCGTAACAGTAAGCTTGTTTGTGTGTTAGAAGAGTTGGACATTTTGTTTTGTTTTTCTCACAGATAATGACAATACAATGACAATGTAAATAAAATCAGTATACAATGTTCAGCTGCTACGTAACAAAAAACGCCATTAAAAACGAATACATATACCTGCAATAACAAAATTTGCATACTGCTGAAGTCGCACCCTACTTCAATATAATTTACATTTGCTAGCATCATTAGGTACTAGCGGTTATCGAATCGATATTCTTGCTACTTTAGTTATTACCAATTGTCATAAACCAAAACCATTTGTCCATTTGCACACGTTTTCAGGCAAGGTGGTGACCCACGAGTGGGCCCACCTGCGCTACGGCGTGTTCGAAGAGTACGGCTACCCGGGCGACCCGGCGTACCCGCTCTTCTACTACAGCATTCAGGAGAACGGCGAGCCGCTGCTGGTGCCCAACTTCTGCTCCAATACCACCCTCAGAGGATACACTTAGTGAGTGTGCAATAGGTAGCAAGGTCTTTTTACAATCTTTAGTCAAACCAAAATGAATAAATAAGTTGTTTTCTGCAACAAGTTAGGCTCAAATATCCACAAAAATATGGTATCGTATCATCGTGCGAAGCGTCATGGTTATTTACATGTTATCTATCATTCATAGCAATCAGAAGACTGGCGGCGGTGACTGCACGTTCGACGATTCGACGGGCCTGCCGGACAGCGACTGCTGGTTCTACCCATACGACGATAACGACGCCGTGACGTCACTCATGTCCTTCACCTACCTCAACTCGGTAGGTTGGCACTCTTTAACTAATGTAAAGTACCGTGGAAAGTATGATGTGGGTAATCCTAAGCGATTGTGTGACTGTTTGGTTTACTGTCACTTAACGGCCTAAATTTAATAATTGATGTTAAATTATTAAGAATAACCCGCACAAATATATAGCCATAACTGTGTATGAAAAAAAATAACAGGAGAATGGCATTGGAAGTCCGCAAGTCGCTCACGATATAGGTACTTCAGATCCTTTAACCTTCGCCGGCACAGGCCGTTTTGCGTCCTTCGACGGCACAAAGGGGGGTTGGAACGACCCCCCTCGCGTTTGGCCCTTGATCGAGCTAGAGCTTCGCGTAAGAAACGAGAGTCTTGGCCGTGACGAGAGGAAGCCGTTGATACCCAATTTTAAGGTGAAAGGTCCTAGATCATCGGTTGGCCTTCCAGGTCAGGTCAATAACCCAAAAGTCGGGAATTAGTTGGGACCTGTTAGAACGTCGTAAAGTGTGGCTGCCATGGGATTCTTAGGAGTGCTGATCACGAATTTCATGTTAGTTTTGATCACAGATGATGTCTTTATGCATTTAGGCCAGGTCGGGTCAGGTCAGGTCAGGTCAAGTCAACCAGTAGGGGTCTTGCCGGGTATTCGTAGTACTGTCTACCACCTCTGACAGCTTCGTATACATACATGTTACGACCAAAACTACTTCGTAACGTAAATGTTCAAATGGTTGCTTAATTCGAATTCAGCTTCAAAAAACTAGCCTAGAAACATGTAAAACTCAAAAAGTGAACCGAGGGCATTAAAAGTCAATGACCTGACTTGACCTTCAGGTGACCTTGACATACACCCTTGACGTAAACCATATAATCCGTGCTACCGTCATCACTGACGCGACATCCCTGACAGGTGAGCCACTTCTGTGACGGCAGCGAGGAGAAACATCACCACGCCGACGCGCCCAACAAGCACAACGTCCGCTGTAACCAGAGATCCGTCTGGGATGTGATTGCCGACAACGACGACTTCGCCGGCGGCGCGTAAGAATCCGTCATGCGTTTATTTAACCCGCGCACCGACGGGGGGGCGGATATCCGCCCCCCCTGAGGTTTTTCGCGAATAGCGGGAAAACCGCGGCGCGTAGCGCCGCGAAATTTGGTATGACTATTCCCTCATCAATTTTACACATGGTGTGCAAGTTTGAACCTCCTACCTTTCAAGGTCAGGTCACCAGGTCACTTTGAATGACCCAACCTCAAGTCACTTTTTTGCAACTTTGTTACCGTGCCAGAGCTACAGTAGATGTCGGAGGCCTTTGAAAGTCGCAGGATGTTATTAGGTCATTAATAGCTACAATTTGTATATCTCGGAATTTTGATATCGGTGACCTAAGGTCAGGTCAATTTCGCGACCTCCCCATTATAAGTCAATGGGGGAAAAATCAACTCCCTGTTTTTACCACTAAAACGGGTCGGAATGGCCCCATATACCATACATGACTTCATATACGATCAACCTGCACTACCTTGAGGTCTGTTTTGCTGTTGGGCAGTTGTGAGGTCATGTGACGTCATCAAAGGTCACCAAAGGTTTTTGGCCAATAACTCCGTACAGGAACAAGATACAGACGCGTGGATGGTCTCATTGTGTTCAGCTCGTCAAGACGCATCGAATGATATACGGGGCATTCCACGTCAAATCAAACACCGAAATCCGTCATCCCCTTCGATTTTTCTGAAAATTTGTAGGCAGACTGGGCATGGTTCAAAACTGAGTTACGTATAATATTTTCGAAATTTGATAACGTATCGCTGAGATATAGGTCATCGAATATAGTGAAAAATGCCACACATCAATTTTTTAAATGGCTATAACTCTGGTTCCTTTTCTGGTATCAAAATGATATTAACAGGGTCTTATAGGCAATTGATAAGGCTTTGATTTTTAATTATAAGATGAAATTGAAGTGACCTTGAAATGCTTTTGACCTTGAATTAAAACATAAAAATTTAAATAGCAAAAAACACGTCACCTTCGATTTGGCTAATTTTTACATATTATGTCCGTCACAATGTTCCTAACCATCTGTGAAAAAATTGGAGTGGGCCATTCATAACTTTCGCGGCAAACGCCGTTTTCATGCATCAACATCACGCAACCGCGCGTGACCTTGAAAGACAGAGTCAAGACATGCTTGCTTGTGTACACTTTCTTAAATGAATGATTGCTGATTAGTGATATCCTAAACTCTGCGAGAATGGAAATGCATAGTCATCGTAGTCAAGCATTCACGTTCCATAGTAAAAGTGTCTCAGGCAAACGGTATTTTGCGGTGAATTTTGAGCCGTGTGGAAATGCATCATGAAGTAAATTCAACGAAAACATTATCACGCAACGATATCTTCACGTCTTTTGATCTTCACTATACGAAAGAACATACATTTTATAGTATGTATGGGGAATTTCTAGTTAATCCAATAATAAATATGGCAGTTAAAGGCCTGCTAAGAGTAACATGTCGCCGGCTGCAAGGCGGGCTCGGCCGATGCGGGAAATGCAGTAATCACAATTTTCTGTTTACACGTTCATATTTCAATTGTTTACCAACCGATTTTCAAAATTCTTTCACCATAAGATTGCCTGTACATTTCTTAGTCTTCTCACAAAATTGGACGCGAATCGAACGAAATCAGCGGTAGGGAGCGCGATGTAAAGACGGAACCGTTCCGTTCCGTCCCGGCACAGTCTACAATTCAGGCGGCGCGTAGCGGTCGGCGCCGGCTGCCGAGTCGCCGCGTCGCTGCGGCGACAGGATGTTCACTTTACACCGCTATTACTAGAACAGTTGTGAACCGATTTTCTTATTGCTTGCACGATGAGATGTCCAATTCAATTCTTGACAGGTAGCCATAATTAATTTCGCATTAATCTTATGAGATATTGGCGAAAAACAGGAGGGGTGGGCGAAATTCGCTCTTCCTCCTCCACTGCGCGTGCTAACATACGTTTGCATATGTGCAGTTTTCTTCAAAACTTATGAATGGCCCACTCTAATTTTTTCACAGGTTGTTAAGAATATGATAGGCAATAAAATATATGAAAATGAGCCAAATCGATGGTGACGTGTTTTTTGCTATTTCGATATTTGTGCTTAAGAACAGAGTTAAGCAAATTTCAAGGTCATATATTTAAGTAGGTGCAATTCTAAACAAATGCTTAAGAAATTACCTAAATAGTAAGGGTTATTTCATTCAAATCAAACAAGTACAACCAAAGTTATGGTCATTCAAAAATATAAAGATGCAACATTTTGTAAAAATTTGATGCCCTATATTTAGAAGACCTTTGGTCAGAATGTGCAAAAAACATCAATGTAATGTCCGGGGCCACACAGGAACTCGCTCACAAATTTATAATGAAATCGCTGATGGTAAGGTGCAAAACAGCCGATTTTTGTTCGATTTGACGTGGAATGCCCCATACATGATGACCTCGAGGTCACGTGACCTGAGGTCAACCTTTGACCTTGACCTTTCTAGGTCAACATATATGTCATTCGATGCGGATTGACGAGAGGATCACGATGATGCCCATAGTTTGTTCCTATCTTGACTAATTCGAAAGTTATTCGAGAAAAACTCTCTCCATATTCAGCGCCGCCATTTTGACTTTTTCGACCCCTGTGACGTCATCTTTGACCTGACCTGAAAATGACCTTTGTAAAAATTGTAGATCTTGACCGTGCGTATCCGATGCCGTTTACCGCTTGTCGCTATCTTGCTTCGTTCTCGAGATCTCAGGGGGGGCGGTCATCCGCCCCCCCCCCCCCCCGTCGGTACTAAGTTGGCGCAGACCCCCGTCGGTGCGCGGGTTAACTTTGAAGTCACCATTTTTACTAATCGAGCATTCTTGCCACTTTTCAACCTAAGTGGTTCTGCAATTCAGGCTTGTGGTTAACATGTTTTCATTTGATTTACTTTTTGCCTCAGGTGCTATTTGGCCATTTTAACTAGGTATTTATTGGGATATGTGTTCAATGATGACGGTACTACGGCTGAAGTGGAAGTCCACCCCACACCTGATGACGCAGTCGGGGACGATGCCCGCGGAACGGGCGGAATCGAGAATCAAACCCGAAACCCGGCCCCGCCCACACCGCGGGTCGGCGCCTTTACCGACTGCGTCACCAGGGCCTAGGTCGCACGGGTGCACATTTTTCTTAGATATAAGTCTTTGCTGCAGTGTTTTTCATATGACCAAACAGTTCATCCTAATGAAAGCTGTCTTTGCAATAGACTGTGTGTACTGGTATCCCCTTCACGTCATTCGGTTCATTTGCCCTTCCGTACAGGAACCCGCCGGCCGACCTGACCCCGACCCAGATCGAGCCCTCGTTCGAGGTGGTGCAGCAGGCGGATGCTCGTTACGTTCTGGTGCTCGATACATCGGGCAGCATGAGTCCCTCGTCAGGACAGGTGGGAGCGGCTGTTTAAAACCCGAGGCTGATACACACCGGGCGAACCGATACAATCGAGGTGTTTTAGCTGTTAGAACGATGGCAATGGAAGCAGCTCTTAATAGTGTATCGGTTAATTGACTATCGCCTTAAACTTTCAGAGGGGAACACGTTAGAAGGCTGAAGGCAATTCACCCACTGATGAGAAAATCGCTTAAATAAATACCCATGTCTATAGAAGCATGCTCCATGGGGCAGGAAAAATGCGCCTCTCAGCAATATTTTAAGCTGCTTAGCGTCGACACATATACTTACTGATGCTCACACCCCATCACGATCTGTTACAGCCTTATGACCGCATTTCGATGCTTCACAACGCAGCCACCAAATGGATCAAGTATGAACTGCAAAACGGCACTTGGGTCTCCATTATAACGTTCACGACAGTCGGGGAGCTAAAGACAGACTTTATTCGCATTGAAGACGACGCGTCGCGAGAGAGACTGGCCAGCTTTGTACCAACAACAGCTACCGGCGGCACTTGCATCTGTAATGGTGTTGACCTCGCTCTGAAGGTAGGCAAAGAGATGTGTATTGTGTAATGATTAGCCCCTTCGTTATCAAGGCCCTAATATAAATAAAAAGCACAAACATTTATTGATTAGGAGTACCTTATGACGTGGGAGCTGTGTTGACTGCAACAATTAACATGCACAATGCACATAAACAGATGTCCGACCGACCACTGCGCCGCCCTTTCAGACCCTCAACGCAGCGCTGGAAGGACCAGGCGGTATCATTGTACTCATGACAGATGGCGAAGAGAACACAAACTGCAAAAACCCGGACACCGGCAAAACCTGGGACCTAACAGATCTGTTCGAACCCGTGGAGGAGGCTGACGTTCGGGTGATCACCATGGCTTTCGGGTAAAACAGAGACTAGTTCTCGAAATCAAATGGCTTTGCTATTGTCCCTCGACAGCCAGGTCCTTCCCGCTCTTGGACATTTTTTTCTTCTTCTCAGCTTAGAACATGTTATGTGTATGTAAGTCATTCCTGTTGGCTGTACCAGCCTAATTGTTGTTAACGTTTCAGTGATAAGAGAATTTTTGCTGAATCTTGAATACCGACTGATTTAGGTAGCTAGTCCACAATCACATACACATTTGCACCCATGATGCATGAATTCATACAGGCTTGTGTAGTGTACGCTACAGTTTGCTGCAAAACATCGACAGGCATTATGAATTATGATGTTTATGCATGGTTTGCAATCTTTTTTTTCTGTAGCACCAGGGCAGACGAAAATCTTGAAAAGTTTGCTGAGATCAGCGATGGACTAACGTACTTCATCGACGATACAAAGGCAGCGTTGGACCTGGACCAGGCGTTCCAGGGCTGTCTCACCTACCAACCGGACATCACCGTAGAAACCGAAAAGGACATTGTGGTTAGTGCCATATTTGGCTATCTTTTTACATACTTTTTTAGTTACGTATTATCGTTTCATGTATCAGAAAAGGCAAGATGACTGAGGTGGCCTCCCTTCTACCGCCATCACTGACGTGAGCGCCACGCATTTTACGTGTTTATAAGAAACGAGCAATAAGAAACGAGAACTGCAACATGCATAGTTAAATTGGCAATGAGATGCTCATATGGCACCGCTTATAAAATTTGTATTTTATTTTCAGCCTCAGATATCAGCAATTGGTTATGCCGTGTTACTTTTTCAGCTTGTTTTCTTCTCAAATGGCACGAGCTCTTTGTCGGCAAAGTATGATCAAGAACTGCTCTGCTGACACATTTTGCATTGCTGTGCGTGGCAGCTTTTCCAGCAGCACTTTGGAGCCTCGGCTGTGAAGTCATTCTCCAGCATGTTTTCGATCGACCCCACCACGGGACGTGATGTCGTCTTCAAGATTGAGTTTGCTGAGGCATCGACACAACAAGATATTACTTCTGTTGAACTGGAGTCGCCGACTGGACAGATTGTCGACAACATCACCTACCCAACCGGGGAAAACTTCGGAACTATCGAACTCGACATGGCTGAGGTAAGATGCCTTTAGAATAAGGTGAATTTTTCCTAATATCTTTCCATAACGCACGCATTCAAGACTGCGCTTATCGGTCTACTATTGCTTACGAAAAACTCAACAACAAGTGCTATTCGCTAATAATTTGATGCTTTTATCAATACGTTCCACTAGGCATAGGCAAATGCAAGCAATTTGCGAACCCACGTTTAACAAAAATAAGAGCTCATCATGGGATACAAAATGAAAGACAGCAGCACAAGATAGGGGAAGCCGGGGGAAGCCCGGCATAGTAAGCTCTTTTTCATTTTTATTACATATCATACGTGCTGTATAAAATGTTGATATCCTGTTAGCTAGCTAAGTTCATTGGCCGTGTTTTCCCAAAAATTCGGTTTCGTGGAATAAGTATAAGGTTGAGAAAATCGAGTTTTAAAAAAGTGTTGATTTTTCTGGGGTAAGCCCGGCATAGGGGTAACGCCGGCCACCTCCCCAGCGCTTTACAACGAGTTGATGAAACCATTATGTGTCTTCCAAATATTTACGGAAAGTGAAATATTAAGGTACTGATAAGCTCTGGACATCTTAGAGTTTATGTTACTACTGGTATTTTAGCTAGCGTCTACCACATATACAGTACAGGTCGATGAAAATCGTGATACAAAATTGACAAAAAATGTGTATTTCAAAATTCCTTAAAATTTATTTTTCTTTTTACCTTAATGTATCATATTGCATATCATTCGACTCGGCTGATGAAGAAGAACACAACGACACCATTTTTGAAGCTCTAGCTTCATTGTCTGTCGCGTTATCTGCAAAAACGTAGTTTGACCCTAGTTGACCTTAAGTGACATGACTGGCTTTGTCTATGATGACATGTTTATTTTCGAAATTTATCTTTGATCTAGGTGTAAACCAAACCTGCTCAGTACCAATTATATCATGGAAAATAGTGGTTTAGTGGCATTGCTCTCGGTTGGGGGTATGCTTGGCCACTCGCCCGGGGTTACCCCAATGTGCTAATTTGTATTTTAGAACAGCGATATTCGAAAAAATGTCATACTTAAGCCAGTCTGCCTCGTCACCCCTCACTACAAACACTTAAACGGTCCTTACATAACATTCGTATAAATATTAGTACTGTATGGTATAACATTAACAGTGCAACATATCTCACTTTTTAGCTAAAAACCCTTAAAATATCATTTTTGCGCTATAACTTTAACAATATGCAATTTTTGTTAGCCTTAACTTTTTTGCTGGCGTTACCTTAGTTGCCACGCTGAAAGGACAAACAGTTGAGCATTTTATTGTGAATAATTTAGCCGGAAACGGGTTGGCCGGGCTTTCCCCGCGCCCGGGCTTCCCCCGGCTTCCCCTATTGCCACACATTCGAACTGCAGGTGGTTGATATCAGCGTAAGCTGGAGACACAATTTGGGTCATCATTTACAGTGGCACAGCCGAAAAAGACGCTTACATTATGTTCTAGTGCCATCTGGGGATGTAGCTTTCGACAGAATGCATTGCGGCACAGCATAGAAGTAGGCGCATGATACCATCGCCATCTAGCGGCAGTTTTCGGCAGTGTGTACTGCGGTACAGTCTGGTTGCAGGCGCGTGATGCCATCGCCATCTAATGGCAGTTTTCGGCACTGTGTACTGCGGTACAGTCTAGCTACAGGCGCGCGACTTTGCCGCCATCTAGGGACAGAGTTTTCGGCAGAAGGCATTGCGGCACAACATACCAACAGCCGCCGGATACCGGTGGGATCTGAGAACTTTTTGGAAAGCATTGGTTGGGGCACACACTGGCATATTCGGGGGGGGGGGGGGGCTGATGCCTCCACAGCGCCGGAAATCGACGAAAATTGCGTTTTTTTTTATAAAACAGAAACTAAACGGCTTTTAATTGGAAAAGTTGTTGTGAACTGCACGGCAGTGCGTACTGCGTAAGGAATCAAAAACCGATGAGTTTTTGGAATTTGGAGAAACTTTTGTGAGGGTGCGCCCCCCGCAGCGTCCATCACCGTCTTTCTGGATTCGCCAGTGGGGCACAACGGAACTGGAGGCGCCAGATTCAAATGCTATCTGTGAAGTAATTAGCAAATGCATCGCACCCTTCATCCCTGTTTATTTCTATTTTCATTAACTGCCACCAGTGACTTGTAACAGCCATCAGTTGCGGCTAGTGCAGGACTCAGATTGATTGATGAATCAATCGAGATCAGATTGATGAACATGAGTCACCAATTCAGCTTACCACATTTCTCCATTTTTTTTTTCCGGCAGAAGGGCGACTGGTCGTTTACGGTCACCACATTCGAACTGCAGGTGGTTGATATCAGCGTAAGCTGGAGACACAATTTGGGTCATCATTTACAGTGGCACAGCCGAAAAAGACGCTTACATTATGTTCTAGTGCCATCTGGGGATGTAGCTTTCGACAGAATGCATTGCGGCACAGCATAGAAGTAGGCGCATGATACCATCGCCATCTAGCGGCAGTTTTCGGCAGTGTGTACTGCGGTACAGTCTGGTTGCAGGCGCGTGATGCCATCGCCATCTAATGGCAGTTTTCGGCACTGTGTACTGCGGTACAGTCTAGCTACAGGCGCGCGACTTTGCCGCCATCTAGGGACAGAGTTTTCGGCAGAAGGCATTGCGGCACAACATACCAACAGCCGCCGGATACCGGTGGGATCTGAGAACTTTTTGGAAAGCATTGGTTGGGGCACACACTGGCATATTCGGGGGGGGGGGGCTGATGCCTCCACAGCGCCGGAAATCGACGAAAATTGCGTTTTTTTTTATAAAACAGAAACTAAACGGCTTTTAATTGGAAAAGTTGTTGTGAACTGCACGGCAGTGCGTACTGCGTAAGGAATCAAAAACCGATGAGTTTTTGGAATTTGGAGAAACTTTTGTGAGGGTGCGCCCCCCGCAGCGTCCATCACCGTCTTTCTGGATTCGCCAGTGGGGCACAACGGAACTGGAGGCGCCAGATTCAAATGCTATCTGTGAAGTAATTAGCAAATGCATCGCACCCTTCATCCCTGTTTATTTCTATTTTCATTAACTGCCACCAGTGACTTGTAACAGCCATCAGTTGCGGCTAGTGTAGGACTCAGATTGATTGATGAATCAATCGAGATCAGATTGATGAACATGAGTCACCAATTCAGCTTACCACATTTCTCCATTTTTTTTCCGGCAGAAGGGCGACTGGTCGTTTACGGTCACTTTCAAGAGGGCCTCAGTTGACATGGTCATTACTACCACCTCTAAGGCCAGGTAAGGTCGCGGCTCCTGCACCAGGCAGAGAAGTTTCGGTTCGTCTTATAACGCCAAAGCAAGGGACACAGAAGTGAGAGAAAATATCAACGTCAACATCTTCCTGTGTAGTGTTTGTTTCGTTTAGGGTTGAACTTAAGTTACGTAAATCCTTGCGTAAATCATAGGAACTGGAAGCGTTGTGTTCGCAATCAGATCGACGTAAGTGATCGCCGTTCTAGTTATATATGGCCTTGGCCGTTTGTCGGTAGATGACCTTGGCTTGACCTCACTGGATAGCTGTTGACACCGGCCCCATGACCAGTCCCGCAGTGCGATGTTTCAAATATATCAGTTCAGTATCGACAGACCCAACACTATAATGGGCTGGAACAGCTCCACATCATTGTGCGACCTTTCACAGGTCCTCCTAGTATTCTTGTTGTACATGCCATGGTGCATCCACGTCTCATCAATGCCATGGGTCTCGTCACCGTCAGGTCCCAACAATTTCCCGTATCCGCCAGATCATGACACCCCGTGTGTCCCGTCAGGTCTTATCATCCCTCCGCTTGTCCCTCCACGTCGCTCTAACCTCTCAATTCCCTACCATGACTCCCCCCCCCCCCTGCTGCGTCTTTTCTGCAGGTCCCACGATGTGCTGCCGCTGACAGTCGAGTGCTGGATCGGCAGTACCGGTCAGGTGACGGTCGACAAAAACACCCGGCTCTCGGTGCTCGGGAAGGTGCGCCAGGGGCAGAACGCCGTCCTCCAGGCCACTGTCATGTGAGTTACTCTGTCCTCGAGTCGTCACTCGCCATCATTGACTTTTGACGTAATTTCAAGATATCACCAGTATAACGCCTTTTGGGGCGACTAACGGAGCGAGCGAGAGGGTGGGCCTTGCACGTGCGAAATTGCGAGGAGGTACCTCCAACTGACTTGTGCACGGCACCCTACTAACCGGTCTCTAGCGATGTGCCAAATTTGAGCACAATCGGCCCAGCCGTTCTTGAGATCTGGAAGCGGCACCCTGCACGTGCGCACGTGCAAAATGGGTCCCAACTGACTTGTGCACGGCACCCTACTAACTGCTCCGTAACCGTGTACCAAATTTGAGCGCAATCGGTCCAGCCGTTCTCGAGATCTGGGAAACGACCCCTGCACGTGCGCACGTGCAGCAGCACCCCAACGCTGGCACTTGGATATGCAGTGCCTAGTGAGTGCCTACCTACATGCCAACTTTCAGCGCAATCGGCCAAGTAGTTACCGAGATATTGCAACAATTACAAAACTGACACCTCTTCGTTTTGCGCGTGGCACGTGCGTAAGGGGTCACCCACATGCATCGGGAATAGTCCAATACTTGGTAGAAGGAATGAAGCTACCCTACAAAAATTACCCCGTGTAAATCGGTCAAGTGGTTGCTGAGATATAAGCCTCGCAAAAGCGTCCGCACGGCCGGCCGGCCGCTCATACTCAGAAACTTCCGTTAAAGGGACACTCCCACCTTAACACCAGTATAGCGCCTTTTGGGGCGACTAACGGAGCGAGCGAGAGGGTGAGCCTTGCACGTGCGAAATTTCGAGGGGGTACCTCCAACTGACTTGTGCACGGCACCCTACTGACCGGTTTCTAGCGATGTGCCAAATTTGAGCACAATCGGCCCAGCCGTTCTCGAGATCTGGGAGCGGCACCCTGCACGTGCGCACGTGCAAAATGGGTCCCGACTGGCTTTTGCACGGCACCCTACTAACCGGTCCCTAACTGTGTACCAAATTTGAGCGCAATCGGTCCAGCCGTTCTCGAGATCTGGAAACGACCTCTGCACGTGCGCACGTGCAGCGGCACCCCAACTCTGGCACATGGATATGCAGTGCCTAGTGGGTGCCTACCTACATGCCAACTTTCAGCGCAATCGGCCAAGTAGTTACCGAAATATTGCAACAATTGCAAAACTGACACCTCTTCGTTTTGCACGTGGCACGTGCATAAGGGGTCACCCACATGCATCGGGAATAGTCCAATACTTGGTAGAAGGAATGAAGCTACCCTATAAAAATTACCGCGTGTAAATCGGTCAAGTGGTTGCTGAGATATAAGCCTCGCAAAAGCGTCCGCACGGCCGGCCGGCCGGCCGGCCGGCCGGCCGGCCGGCCGGCCGCTCATACTCAGAAATTTCCGTTATTCTACGTAAGACTCCGCTCGCTTCGCTCGCTCCGTAATTAGTTTTGAGTTGAGATAGCCAAATTGGTGGCCATGGCCTGCAAATACCGGTTTGGGCACTCACAACATCAACAAATGCTTTAATTCGGAGATGGAATTTCAAACTTGCAGTTTTCGGATTCTAAGGGGCTAGTGCATTGGTATGCCCCCTTAGAATTTGTGACGTCAGCGGAGATCTAACGATTTTTAAATCTTTTACTAAAACGTTTGGTAGCACGCGGTGGTATATGCTGCTTTGCGCGCAACAAATGCCGCACTTTCAAATAAGTCGCTAGGAACAGCGGAGATCCCAAAAAGTAAACAAAAGTAAAAGTCTAATATCTTGAAAACCGGTGAATATTTTTCGATGAAATTTGGTAGATATTCGTTTTCGCTCTTTCTGAACCGAGCGACATCACTTTCGTGCCAATTCATTAACTTTTTTGAAGGTGGGAGGGTCCCTTTAATCTAAGGAAAGACTACGCTCGCTTCGCTCGCTCCGTAATGAAATAGCCTGAGCATGAAATAGTCATGAAATGTATGACCTCCTCCAAAATGCTGTTATGTCCAACTTTCCACCATTGACCATATCGCTCTCGATGTATGAAATGTTATACCTATACCAACTGCACCTTCTTATTACCAGGCGTCATTCTCCAGCCTCCGCTGTCAGCTTCCCTACCTGACCGCACCTCTGTTCATAACAGGGCGCATGTCACGACTCCGGACGCCAACTCTCCAGTGGTCGACATGCAGCTGCTCGATAGTGGTGTGGGAGCCGACGCCATCCGCGATGACGGGATCTACACCAAGTACTTCACCCAGTTCAATAATAAGGTAAGCAGTAGGAATGGCCTATGTGTGTGTTTGTTTCAGCCACGGCAGGAAACTGGTTTCGATCTTCCCCCTCTTGTCGGAAGCATTTTAATCTATAGCTAAGCAAATTTTGATAAGGCTGCGTAGCTGTATGATAGGTATACAGCTTCTGTTTACACGCTTTCAGATAGGTTCTTCTTCGGTTATTCTAAGAGCTTTGATGCATACTCAGCTAAAATAAAAATGATGGGTAAGATGTCAGTGTCTGAGTCATTTTCTTATTTTTCATTCAGCAGTCCGCGAAGTAGCAAACGCCATAAGAGGAAGCGAAACCACCATCTCGCCCTCTATCAATGCATGCAGACTACAAATACCTACATTTTAGCTAGTGTCCTTTCTTGACAAATGACATATTCACCGAGTTTACGTCCAATACCTTTTATTTCAGATAAAATCACACAAAATGATAGCAATTAGGGAAATAACAACGATCTTACGCTCTTCAGTTCTCTGCTTCTATTTTCAGGGTCGGTACTCTGTGGTCTGCGAGGTACGAAACGACGGTAACGCAGTCATCAACGAGGGCTTCAGCGCCTCTGGAGCCATGCCGAACCCCAAGAACAGTGACAGCTCGTGGTGCTGTGGCAGCACGAGTCCCGTCGGCAACACCCGTCCCACCGGTGGGTGCATATGGTAACACCCGTCCCACTGGTGGATATATATGGTGGCACTTATCCCACCGATAGGTATACTCGTATATGGTAACACCCGCCCCACCAGTGGGAACATCAGGTAAGACGGGTCCCAACAGTGAGCATCTACATGTGGGAGCCCGGAGCACTGATCCTGCAACGGTTGATAGTTGATACATATATAGAAACGGTTCTGTCCCACATTCCACAGGCCACGCTCGATGCGATGATAGCCAAGCGTTGCAGTGGGAGGGTGTGTGCGTAATAGACCGACCTCTGGCTCCTCCCTCTGCGCCCCAATCGCAATATGGCGAACTGTCGAATGCTCGCTTCATTACTAGCCACCACCGGCTTCAGGACACAGGATTCAGAATACACGCTCACTTATATAAATCGTGTCCAGTTATACCGCCCCCTCTCTAACTGAACCCCTTCTTCCGACAGGGAACTTCACGCGCACGGTCAGCGCCGGAGCGTTCCAGATCTTAAACACGCCTCAGAAGGGCATCCTGCCGCCGGGTCAGGTCACTGATCTGGTGCTGCAGCAGCGGTCCCGTTCCAAAAACACCGCCACTGTCCAGTGGACCGCTCCCGGAGCCGACCTGGACCAGGGAACCGGTAAGATGTCGGTAGGCTATGGTATATGATACTGTGATGAAGGTTTCTGGATATATGCCAAATGCTCACGGACTAGGAATGGATGAAGATCAGGCGGAAGTGATATGATAGATATGACATGATAGTGCATTTAATACCCAGCTCCAAAGTTCAGTCCCGTCTACCATCACTGTCCCTTTTCAGTCACCGAGTCCGTGTTCAACTGTGCTGCCTAGTGCTTACCCTGCAGTTTGACACATCCTTACCCCCTGTCCAGTTGTAGTATCTGTCCGTTTCTACCCATCCCGTGTTCAGTCGTATATATGTCGGTTTTCACCCATTTCGCGTTCACTTGCATCATCTACCCGTTTTTCAGCCACCGAGTACGAGTTCCGATGGTCGAACGTGTCCAGCGACCTGTCGCCGTCCCAGTTCCTCACCAAGGGGGTGCTGGTGAACGCCACGCTGGTGCCGGCACCAGAGACCAGCGGCACCATCCAGACGCTCACCATCGACGTCCCCAAAGGACTGGAGGCCAGCAGCTTCTTCATGGCCATGCGCACTCGTGACGACCAGGGTAAGTCCCTACTTGAAACCCGCTTCTCTTATTGGCATTTCCAAACGCTTGAGCGTTGGAAATGCGGTCGATTGCCGTTAAAAATAAGCAGTGGAACCATGTTCAATTGTTCAATCACCGACAGTGGGTAGCGTGAGGAGTTTAGACCCGAACTGCCTGTTCCCCATCCATGAAGACTCACGGCAGCCCGTGTCCGCCCCCAGCCGACAACTGGAGCGCCGTCTCCAACACAGCCATCCTCTACATGGGGGCCGTGCCGGCGCCCCCCGACGACGGACTGTCACCCGGAGCCATCGCCGGCATCGTCATCGGCGTGCTGGTGGTCGTCGTCGCCGTCGTTGTGGCCGGCGTGTTCGTCAACAACCGTCGACGCATGAGGGTGGACGGTGCCTGATCGGCCTGCCATCTGACGGCTGAATGGAGAACCACTAGTCACCGTTGCAGCCGGAAAAGGCGCTGTCCGCGCACGCTTGGCGGCGGTGGACTGCCCCCTTGGACTATGCGATTTAGTGCAGAAGTGGTGCATTCAGCTCAGCTATTGGTGACAGACAAGTGGCTTAGATAATTGCTGAGGATCCAAAGGCAGGTGTTGTGTATAATTCTTGTGATTTTATCGCAGTGTTTCTATGAGTCCATCTACCTCATATCAAATATTCGTTGACAATCGCTGAGGAGCGAAGTTCAAGTGAACATTAGGGTTTGTGTGAATCATGAGCCAGAATATAGCATATACAACCATTACAAAGGCTACTGAGAAGGCCAACTGTCGGCCAGTTTCTACCACTTTCAACTGTACGTGAGGAAAGTCATCAGCTAACGACATAATTCAGCTCCAAATAATTTGGCAGAACTTATCAGAACACAAACTGCCACAATTATTTTCACTTCACGCAAAAAGCAAGGCGATAAAGAGTTGGGTCTAGTACTCCTGGCCAGCCGCTTAAAGCCATCGACACACATGACAACACAACGCAAGATACGCAACAACGCAGGACGAGTTTGTCATATATTTTTGCATAGTCCACCACCATTCTACATCGCTACGCGAAACGGTGCACTGAACAGTACCCACTAGGGGACCCTCCCCCGTTCCGCTGACGAGCGCCGGGCGGGGACAGGGAGGGGGGGGCACGCCGGTTTAGAGACGGGGGCCGTCCGCTATACATGGACGGAAACGCGCGGCCGCCGCTCTCAGGGCCGCTAAGGAGGAGGCGCGCGCCAGCCGCGCTCGACTGTGAGTATTGAGGTTCCGCTCGTGCGGGGCAGAACGGCCCAGCTCTGGGCCGTGGGAGCCTCCTCTGAGGAACCGGCCGAGTGTGGACGGCAGGGAGGTATTGGCTCAGCTCCGAGGCTCCAGAGATGGGCGAAACACGGAGAAGCGTCTACCACTAGCTACCGGCAGTACAGCTCACTCACACAGACAACAGTCACACGTAAAAACAGAGGGCTCACCCAGCCGACGGTAAAAATAGAATACTCTCCTGCTACGACGACACACGGCCAGTCGCATAACAATTTGTGCTCTGCCTAACCTAACACTGGCGCTCTAGGAGAGGCCGGAGAGATGTTCCCTCCGACCGTCCCGTACCTGACACAGTAATACTATATTGTTCGGTGGCAGCCAGCCGGAAATATCCGCCCAGTGCCGGAGTATAACGATTCCTGCCAGTGGTAACGTGTCCCGCGCAGATGACGGCGATTAACAACAGAGAGCTTTGGTCCTCTGGTAAAACAATAACGTCATAGAGAGAAAGCTCTAGTCCATCACCGATGTCAACAGAGTTAAACGGCCGCAGCGGGGAGCAGCTAGCAGCCGCTGGGAAAACTGGCCTCTTCCGCCACGTCATGGGTCTGAAAACGGCGAACTTGCTTGCCGAAAAACATTCCTCTAGCACGGTTCCAAATAGAGAAATTACAAGGCTTAGTTTTCAGCCTTTTCTCCACAGTGCCTCATCAGGCGCGGGAGGCCTGTGCGCTTACCAGTGACGTCATCCCGACGTACCAGTGACGTCACGCCGGCGTCTAGTCGCACTCCATGATGGCATGGATGATGTTCTCGAGTGCCTCGCGCGCGTCCGAGCGCTCAAAGTCAGCGAGGACGTCGAGCGCCTTACGAGCGTGCTGCATACACAACTCCAGGCCCTGCTTCACTCCGGGACCCTGTCGGGCACACGGGAGACACGATGAGTAAGATATGCTCGGCGTGGGAGGGAGAGGAGGGGAGAGCACAGAGCGAAGCAAGAGAGAAGGAAAGGGGAGAGTAATAAAATAAGTGGGGTGTATCGTAACCAGGTACCCTCGAAATATAGTAAATAACACCTGGAAGGAAAGACGTAGAAAAATGTATAACATTTCAGGCCAGCATTCAAAGTTCAAACTCATCAGAACTCAGAAGCATTCAAAACATTGCAGCTTTTTAAACGAATGATTCGAATTGGTCATGTGGATTGGCGGCAGGCGAACTCCACTCTCGACAGTTCCGCTGTCACAAGAAACCTAACAAACACACAGAATACAGACAATAGAGACTCCCTCCATGCCGCCCCCGCGTCTACCCACCTGCATGATGGTCTGGTGGAGGTACTTGAAGTCGAGGTTGTCGATGGAGTCGCCGCACGACTGGATGTAGTCAAGCAGCTCCGGGTGCTGCTGACAGTGGAGCAGCACGGGCGCCGAGCAGAGGTCGAACTGGGTGCCCGGCGGACACCGGTACAGGTCCAGGAACGGCTGCAGGTCCGCGTGCGCCTGACGGACGAACGGAGGGGGGAGGGGGTGTCAGGTCAGTGGTGCCCGGCGGACACCGGTACAGGTCCAGGAACGACTGCATGTCCGCGTGAGCCTGACGGACCCGAGGCGGAGGGGGGTGTTAGAGGTGGTATACACTGGCACAGGCCCGCGTGAGCCTGACGGACGGAACGGGAGGAGTGTTAGTGGTGGTGGACACTGATACAGGCGCAGGTGAGCTTGGCGGACGGAATGGGGGGGGGGGGAGGTGTTAGTGTTGTCATACTCTCGACAAAGGTTCGCGTGTGCCTTACGGGTCGACGGGGAGGGGTGTTGGTGGTGGTGGCCGGCGGACAGGGCCGGACACTGGCACAAACGGCTGCAGGTCTGCGTGCACTTGACGGAGGAATGGGGACGGGTGTCAGTCAGTGGTGGCAGAGACGAACGCACCGGAAAGTACAGAAGAATGATGTAACAATATGCAGTCGACGTTTGGACAAACTGCGCGTAATGACAAAGTGTGTTCCTGACATCACATGACCAATTTTGCGACCAATACCCCCCGAACCCGATTACGACTCGCTGACGAAGTTTTGTAAATACAATTCGAAAGCTTTGACCCGAACGATTTCTTGTGGAGTAAAGTCCTCATTCACTTAGTACTACATGACCATATGTCACGGAAGGATAGGGAGGTATTTAGATCATAAAAAGTCATGTGATACTGTCTCGCAACGGCAAACACATTGTGATAAAACTGTGTGCCGAGACAAGGGACCAAAGTTGATGCTTTCAGGCGTCAATGGAAAGCCCGGGATTTGATATTACGTCACTGTTTTCGGCAAATATAAAAACATTTTGCAGTTCACACGCACATGGAAAGATGCAAGGTTGATGTCTGGAACATTAATGACCTTCTGTACACGAACAACGCTGTCGCTGCATACAATTCGATGCTACATCGCCATAGTGCGGCTTAAATATTTTTTTCTTCTTCCGGACGTTTTTAGATCTATAAAAATCAGGCTTTCAGAACTTTCGGACTTTTCATATTCGACCACCGTCACCATACCATGACGTGTGCGAGTGGGCATTTGACTGAGTGGTATTAACAAGGTAAAAAAGCAGCAACTGCAAACAAAAAGCCGTTCCACCGGACCACACACCCGCCGCATCCCGTAGAAGCCCCAGCGCAGCGAACCATCCCTCGGGCCTGACTGCAGTGTGAATTGTGGTATGGTAATGACCGGAAATCACCTGTGCCAACCAGTGAAAGTTCGTCACGTCCGCGTTCCCGTGCCTGACCCCATCACTGAGTGACGTCACACGGCATCGGCCAATCACAGACCAGCCTGATCCCGGCCTACTGCGCACCAAGGGACTCGCGTGCTTTCGCCAGCGAACAGTCAACGCCAACGAAAGCGAACATTACGTGCATGGAATTTAGTGTCCTATGCTGACGACGACACCCGACGTGGTGGCCAGTGGGCTAGGCAGGCAGTAGGCACCCCGGTGGATTTAACACTAGGCCTAGCGCAATGCGAACCAGAGCTGAAGCGGCATGCCGGCAATATATTTATGCCGATGGACGCATTCCAGCCCCAAGTGCGACGTTAAATTTTTACGATGACGATGAGCTACGATGAGTAAATATTAAAACAGTTATCACACGTTATCACACAGCCAGCTATCTTGTCGTTCGTAGTTTTTGGGCTCCAGCTGTATAAGGCGCGCCACACGGCCGGCGGCGGGCGCAGGTGGCTCTGCGGCTAACGGTAGTTTGAAGCCCGCGGCCGTCGGCTGGCCGGCATCTGCCGCCGCGCGGCGCCGGTACCGTAACGTTTCCCAACGGCCGGCCGGCCCGAGTCGGCCGCACCGGCACGGCGGCGGAGGGACGGAGGAATGTTCGAGCCCAGCCGGCGAGACGCGGCAGTCCAACGGACAGACTGAACAGGGAGAGGAGAATCCTCCGTATGCTACTTCTATCAAATTGGCACTTCTCGTCTGTACCTATCGGCTATCGTATGTTTTGTTTTCTGTCTATCTGGCATCTGCCGACTTTCGTAAAATATGGAAATACCCCAGCGCGAATGAGAAGTCAAGAAAGGGTCAGCGGCTGGCCGAGAATCGATCTGACCAGGGTAGGCAACAATCGCAAATCGCATTTGTTTCGTTTTACTTGTAAAACAGCTGCGAGCCGCAGAATATGGTGTGTCTGCATCAACTATCGTCCACACGAGCAACTGACAAACACTCACTAGTAATAAATAAATAAATTAAATATAAATTCATTCATTCATTCATTCATTCAATCATTTCTTCATTCATTCCTCAATGAGTCATCGATCCATTCATTCCACGCCATGCTTCGTATTTGTCAGGCGTCAGCAGTCCCGCCAGACTCTAGCTCCGCTGAATCCGGCCGACATCCCCTCACCCTGTCCCCTCCCCTCCCAACCACCGCATACCATTAGATACGCTATCGCCGACTGGCGGCCATCGCCGGTCGTTCTACCCAGCCCGGGTCATGGACAGATAGACACGCGGATTCTACGTTCGCCCGGGACCGGCGGGGTGGGCTGGAGAGGCGTCACTACGTACCGGCGAATAGAAGCGCCTCTGACAAGACGAACGAGTATGTAACGAACAAGAGGCCAAGTGGTTTGTAATTGACAATGACTTCCAAATGAGTGTTTGTTGTGATACTCAATCAAAACGTGATCTAAAATAAGTTAGTGCAGTTTGTTCGATACCTATAAAAACAGCGTGTATCCAAGTTAAATAACGTCTAACCCGAACGAATCTCTCCCGTCACCAGCCATCTCCCTCCCATCTGCCCCTCCAACCATCGTTTCTCGGCCACGACCCACCTGCCACGAGTAGGCGATCTGTTTGCCGAACTCGAAGCCCTTCTGCTGCATGTCCTCCGAGTGCCCGGCTAGCACCAGGGTGGCCTGGCAGCTCTTGGCCATCAGACTGCCGGCAGCCAGGTAGTTGCGCGCCGCCCACTCCTCCATGGTCATGTTTTTCGTCGGGATGGCGTTGCTCTGCGTGTCCTGTACGCCGATAAACTCTGCCTCCATAAAATCCGAGATGGAGGTGCTGATAAGCTCCACCACCTGGCGATGGGACGGCAAAGGGTCAGCTGGGGAGAGGGGAAAGGGTCGAGATGAGGTACAGAGATAATGACGGGCGGAAAACAGCCGTACCTACGGCGGGAGAGGAGACCGCGACTGACAAACACGTTGGGGAGACCAGAAGAGCTGGTCGACAGGTGTTCGCGAAAATGCGTACTAATTCATCCGCAAAACGCAAAAGCCCCAGGGAAACACGCATAATATATATCAGCAGATACCATCTTAAACGGCATGATCTCAGTTCATTGACGTGAAACTCCTGGAAATAGTCGCTCAGTGCACAAGTTTCATGCAACAGCACCGACTCCGTTCCGCCAGTGTGGCCAAATTGTTTTAGCGTTAGGGGGAGGATGTATAAAAAAGTTGTATGAGGATGTCACTATTTTCAAAAAACTCGTCTTTAGTGTCATTTTAGGTGCAGTTTTTACAAGTTATGTGGAAAAACTATACCTAACGTCAAACTCTGGTGAAAAGTACCTAAAAAAATCAAATATTGTCATCAAAGATGAAAAAAACATTGCAAGCGCGACAGTACGAGTATGACGGTGCGAATCGTACATTGGAACATTTTTAGTCTTTATTCCTTCACAAGGTATGCTTTCACGACAAAAACGTTGTGATGATGTAATTTTAAAATTTCTGAGGATGTCATTATGCTTTTCATTGGGGGTGACTTTCCCCGCAACATCACCAATTTGGCCACACTGCGTTCCGCACCCACCTTGGAGTTTTTGAGGGCGGCGAGACCGGTGCAGGCGTTGGAGAGCAGGTAGTCGCCGCTGAGGATGGCGATCTTGTTGCCGAACGTCATGTCCTGCAGCGTGTTGCCGTCAGGGAAGTCGGACGGGGTGAGGTTGACGACGCCCTTATGGATCAGATGGGCGGTGTGGATCATCTCCGTGATCTCCGCCAGAGACCGCTGGCTGGAGAACAGATAGATGGATTAATACGACTGTTCGCGCGTATTCGTGTTCGTTCACACGGTTTGTCACCCAGAGGAATAAATGAAGATACAGCTCATCTATGCATGATGGTCTATTCTAGGTTGATAATGAAACGATAAAGATGAGTAGGAGGCAGCTGTCACGAATACAATACACCCGTCATCCCGTCGTTAACGTGCCGCGTCGGCCACGTGGTGCACCGGCGCGGCCTCGCACTGTTGAAGACTGTCGCGCTCCCATCCTGTCTCAGCCCTCATAGTGCCCAACATGTGGGCGTGAGAACCAGGACAGGGGCCACACGGTGACGGTACACGAGGATCGGTGTCGTGGACCGACTGCGCCTAGCGCTGGCCATCTTTGCTCTTAACAATGACAGAAGGGTTGCACCAAAATGTGTTCTCAAAAGTATGCAGGATTGGGCATTAATACCATGGGCAGTTGGGTACTGTACTGACTAAACTAAATTCACAGTATAACCAACACATACCAACACAATAAGCATCAAACACTTCACAAAACTGGAACATTGGTGATGGCTTGAGAGAATTTGTTCATTACCCACATTTTCATTAGGTACCAATGACTTAAGGGCTGCTCAATGACTCAAACTGTCTACTAATCAGAACACATGACAATATCTACAGACCTGTGTGACACTCCAGCTGGCTTGTCCTGCTCATCAGCTACTTCCAGCTCCTCTGGGTTCATGTGACCGGCAGCCTTGGAGAGGAGCAGCACAATCAGCCCGCGGGTCTGCATATTGTTCCGACCATTGTAGATCAGCCGCCTATCAGGATTACAGGGTTAAACGTCACATGATCAGGGTCATTAGCCTAGATCAAGATTACAAAGAATTGCATAGCAGCCAAGGGATGGGGCAGTTGGTCACCCCACTTTGCACCAACAATGAAAAATGAAAAAACTTGGTAGACATTACAAACTTAATAAAATGGAAAATAGGTATGACATTAATGAAGCATAACCTATCACTGCAAAATTTTTTAGAAGAAGAGTTTTAGAAGAAGTAGACAAGAATACCTACCTTGAGCCATAAAACTATCATGAGTACTTACTTCGCAGTCTTCAGAAGAGGGTGGCTGGTGCCAACTAGTTTCCGTACATGCACAGCAATATTGGAAATCTCGTCACTCAGCAAACAACGCAAGCTGAGATATGATGTTGGATATCCAACTATTTTCTCAGCATCGGATACAGCTCTATTCCAATCAGGCTTTTTTGTCACGGTTTGATTTGGATTGCTTTGCTGAGTAAGCTGTTGATCACTGACTAGTGACCCGAAGAGGCCATCAGCATAGCTGGTAGGCGAAATTGATGGCGTTTTCGACACGTTAGACATGGTCCGTGAGGGCACATCCCGGCTTCTCGTCTTGGATCCCACATCGTGCACCACTCCAGAAACTGGCGATATGTTCAAGCCTTTGTGAAGTCGCAATTTCTTGGCAAGGAAAGATATGTTGCGAGACATTTTAAAATGTTTGCCAGCCTCAAAACAGAAAACCACCACCAACAAGTATGCAACCCCACCACAGCACCACGCGTGTGAAAATAGTGACTGGAGTGACTGCTCGTTGCGTAAGGTCAAGGTGGGTAACTGTAAAATGCCAAGCTCAACTACGTGAAATGAAAGTGGTGAAAAACCAGTGACATCACAATCCGTGGACAATCGTCACAGATAAACTTGCACTTGTATGGCTCGAGTATGCAAATTTAATCAAATTTTTTATTTTAAATAAGTACTTTATTATAAGCAAAAAGTAAAAAAACGTTAACAGTATTCATAAAAGCATTTTATCTCATTTTAAAAAGACAAAATTTTACGTTCCATGACGTAAGATTATAGTCATCAATGCAAGAGTAATATGAACTGCGCTACAATTGTAATAGGACGGCAAATGTGACACGTACACAAAAGGCTTGTCCACTAATGCAGCTATTTTGCTGCTTCTCAGCGCTCACGGATTGAGATGTGCATAAAATGGTATTTTCTCTTCAATAAAATCTATGAATTTAAAGGTTCGAAGATTTGATGAAGATCATTTGGCACGAAATCAGACAAGAAAAAGTTCTTTGCATTGAATTAGTAGCTGCTTTTATCTAAGCCTTGTTTTCTGAGCTCGCTTTATACAAGTTTAACTTATCTCTTTTTGATGACGTATCCAGCAGCAACTTCGATTTATGTTTAATTCCTCTGTTTTAATGTCATTAGACCTAAAATTGTTTTGATGAATTTGTTTTTCAAAACCTGTTTTGAATGTGAACGATTACGATGTAATTGCAATTTGTTGCTATTTATCAAATGTTTAATAATTCATAGTTAACCAATGAAACTCCTCATGATAATTGCGTCATCAGACCATTTTAAATATCGCTACTCAGAGGGGTGTTCACGGGCACCGCACACTGCTGCGTGCGGTGTGTGCGGTACGTCCAGCAGGCGTGGGGGTAGGGGATGGGTAGGCGGCTCTGACGTCACGGCTGCGTGCGGTGGACGGTCCGCTGTGGCCAGTCCCGACCGGCCACAGCGGTCGCTGTGTGCGGTGACGCAAGGCTGACGTAGGGACGCAGTGGGCGGAGCTTGGAGGCTGTGTGCGGTCCGACCGCACACAGGGTCCGTGAACAGCCCTCTGATTTGCGATTCAACAAACAACAGGGGAAACTTGTGGTGGAATGATGAAGATGGGTGTGGGGTGGTGTTGTCCTTTGCATGTTGCGAATTTTTGGTGTGGTAGTTACAGTTCTTTGTTAACTAACATGCCCATACCGTAAGCTTTTTATCAAGTATTGGCTTTCAAGATTTGCTGAGGGCCTTGATTTGCTGGTCGCTGGGCTTGGCCCACAGAAGTTGCCATCATGTTCCGGTGTATGCCAATGTTCAAAGGATGCAAGAGTCAGGTTGAATGTATTGACAAGCGTCACTGCTCATTGGTATATGTACCGGATGAGATTCTTCGTTACGCTCGTACTCTTGAAGAGCTTCATCTTGATGCCAACCACATCAGAGAGTTGCCAAAGGTGAGAAATTGCCGGATAGCCAGTAATAGACATTTACATGTACAATCACTTGGATAGTTAAGTATATTTTTATTTGTGTTATTATCAACAGTGTGAATTGATATGCAAGTGATCATAACCTTTGTTATAGCTAGATTCTTCAGGAGCTTGGTTCTACTTAGTAATGAAGTTATGCATTTGAAATTACAGTGCTAATGGATTATGGTCTTTGAAAAGGAGACAAAGACCCCAACTCATTCAGAAGTAAGGTCATTAGCTTGCTGAAACATACCTATTATGTTGGATCTTACTTCATACACTTTGTGGTTGTGCTTATTGGTGTACTTGTGTTTCAGAATTTGTTTCGTCTCACCAAGCTGAGGAAGCTTGGATTGAGTGACAATGAAATACAGAAGCTGCCCCCAGACATTATGTATTTGGAGAACCTGGCAGAGCTGGATGTTTCTAGAAATGGTATGGGGGTACAGGGCTTACATATCATCCAATTCTTTATTATAATCACCAGTCTGATAGGATGTGTATTGAGAAAGTTGTCTATTATATATCATAGCAAGGTCTGCCTAGTGATCTTGTATCACAGATATGCTGCTATATTATTTGTGCTGTTCTACTTGCAAATAGCTATGTTAGTAGATCATTATGTTTCCTATTCAGAAATAGCAATGTGGGCTTCTATATGTATTATTTAAGAGAAAAGCATTTACTTTGTATTTATTTACCTATCACTTAAGAAATGCAATGCATGATATTTAAAAAATGTTATTATTAACTGTATCTTTCAAACCAATTCTGCTTGACATGCTTCAGATGTGCCTGATATCCCAGAAGAAATCAAGAACTGTAAATGTTTACAAGTCATTGACTTTAGCAGCAATCCTATTACAAAGTAAGTTGATATACTAGTGAGTGTGGTCATTTTCATGCCCCCATCTCCCTCTCCCTCTCCCTTTCCACCTCTCTTTTCTCCTATTCCTTTTCATTTTCCTTCTTCCTCTCCCTCCTCTTTCTCTCTTCAAATCGACTCATGGCTCGAATGGCAACATGCAACATTCAAAAGATGATGAGAATAATAATGAAATTTAAAGGCCTTTTCTTCGCTGCGTGCAAAGGCAAAAACAATTGCATCGGGCCAGGGGTCATTACCTCAGGCCAGAGGTTACCCTAATGGAATCGGTTTTGTCTGCTTACGGCAGTTTGGTGCTGTGCTTTGACATGCTGCTGATACTGTCTCACTCTTAGTCACCCGTTTGCTCCATTACAGACTGCCCCAGGGCTTTGTGCAGCTGCGGACACTGACGATGCTGAGCATGAACGACATGTCCATCACCTCTCTGCCCTCGGACTTCGGCAGGTGGGTCCCCGTGCCTCTCGGCGTCTCCACTGTTATCCCCGGAGCTGGGCAACCAGTTGAGGGCGGTGCCATTGAGGGGTTGTTACGAAAATGGGCAAATGATATTTAGAGACAGAGTGGTAACAGCGATGGAATGTAGGATATGCATTGAATAAACAAAGCGAGTGGGTGGATCATCATTTTCAGCAGAAAGGGGAATTAAACATTTCCGGAATTGCATCAGAGTCCAGATTTCTGGATTTGACACGTTTTGCGGTCTCTTATTCGTTGATTAATACCTGCGTAAACTCGTAACAGAATAGCTGTTGGACCAGCAGCTATTCTGTTACGAATGTTGGTACAAATGAAGATTTGTGACAGGCTTAACTCTGCGGACCTTTTGGTGCGATATCTAACCGTTCACCTGTTCAGAACCGCATTATGTCGCTCCTCCCCCCCCCCCCCGACTGCGTGCTTGCTTATCCGCCCGCCCCGAGCCGTTAGAGGGTCCGGTTTTCGGCCGTCCTTGCCGCGAGCGGCCCGATATTGTACGGTGCACTATTGCCTTTATTATCGGTCGATCGTTGAAGCGTGCGTGCGCGAGCCCGGTGAACGCTCGTGCTAGGAGTCGTCCTTCATTTTAACCGGTTGACGCTGGACCCGACATTGAGGCGTTATAGCGACCCGGAAAACGAGCGTGACTGTCACTGTTGTCAGTCATGTAGGGCGTCAGTCATGCTGGAGGGGCTGAGGGTGGAATCTCGATAAATGTGCATCACCAGGTCTACATTCCAAACTACCAAGTACCAACCATTTGCGCTGATACTCTATCCTCCGCTAGGCCGCGACGGAATGTCAGTTTATTCGCCGCGTTGCATGTCCTTATTTCTTGAAAATCATATCGCGAGCGAGCGTGTCAATTGTTTGACTTTTTATCATCGCATATAATAGGCTGATACGTAACGTGATACAGTGCTAGTTCCTTGGTCTTGAGCGGTGTTATTGTGGGTGTCAAGTTTCCTTTACTCGAAACGGAACCTGAAACGAAGTATTTGTGCCAAAGGAATGCTATTGGATGTGTTTTGTGTTGTCTTAAGCTCTTCCCATTTGTTGTCCCTGCATTGCTACCAAGTAGTCAATGGCTGGTTGAAGTTGGAATAGCGATAGCACACGTATCGTAGTACGAGGCTGCCATGTCTGCGTGGTTGTAGTAGCACCGCGTGTCTTGCTATCGTGGAACGTATGCTGAGCGTGTTTGCAAGGATGATTGTCGGTGCAAGCCGGGGGCGATAACATCCGAAAGATTGTTGACTTTGTGACAGACCTAAGACGTCGAGCTGTCTAGCATGGCACAGTTCTGGCCATTTGATACTGACAAAAGAGGTATCAGGTGGGGAATTTAAATATCAGATAAGAGTTTTGTACGGGTATGAACTATGGAGGACAACTTGGCAGGTCTCGAGAGGTACGAGCTCAGTCGGCGTCAGTCGTTTACAGAAGAGAGCTGACTGGTATTCCGTTTACGAGCGAGTCGTCGAGAAGACCCACCGCGACGCCCCCCCCCCCCCCCCCCTCGGCCGTGCAGTCCGTCGTCGGCCAGGCTGGTTCCGCTCTGTGTCACGTCGTCCGATGTAAACTGTGACCTCAGAGGCGTCCTGCCGTCTGCACCAGCTGTCTGAGAGGAATCCGACTTGTGGGGGGGTGCCGGCTTATCTCCTATGATGAGTTGGAGGCATCGTCAGCAGATATGGACTGAATGTAAACAAATACCAGAAACGGTAGCGGGTTTTGTTTGTTTTACTTTGGCAATGTTTTGGGATAGATCGATGATGAGGGACTAATTAAGCTGAGATAGATCGTTACGATACCCGTCCGACACCACTGGGAATGCGGTGAGTCCAATCGCCGGGGTGGGGGAGCCGGTGTTAGGTTGGGGAGCCCTAGGCCAGCCGGCGGACATCAGTGCAGCTGCCGGGGATGGTCCGATATCACCGCGGAGGGGAGCGGCGCTCGGCCCCGCCAGGCGCCAGGTGTGCCACCCGCCGCCGACCCGCCGCCGACCCGCCGCCGACCCGCCGCCAGCAGAGGTCAGGCGGCGTCGTGACCCGACGACTCGGCGTGTCGACGCTCGGTAACAGGCCGTAAAGCGGCCGCTGCGCCGGCGCCGACCGTGTTGGTCTGGTGGCACTCTGTATACAGAGTCATGGGCCGCGGTAGGAGAGGGGCGCGGGTGACTCTGTGACTCACCCGACAGCGGTCTACTGGCGGGCGAACATCGTTAGAGCTGATTATGGGCCGGCTCGGGATGCCGCGCTGCCCCATATACCAGAGGTATTTATACCCGACCGGGGTAATGAGACGGCGCTCCAAAACAAGGCGCCAACATATGGCCCGGGTAAGAATAGAACGACGTTCGCTGAGACAGACTATGGGCACAGGCTATTTCAGACTCGGCCATTCGTTTGCCTGCTGGCTTTTCGTTGAATGCAAATCGGGCGGACATATAACATGATACAGATGTCAGCCGCCGCGCTGGTGGAAGTCGATCTCCCGCTCCCCGGCAGCGTTACTCGTACGTTCGTTCCTACGTATCGGTCGCCGGAGAACCGCCTGTGGTATGCCGGATTGGCGCTGAACGGCCTATGAAGGGTGCGGCCGTGCTCGTGGCGGCGGGCCGGTCTCGTCGTTGCCGCACCCGAGCTGTGCCGTAGCTGCACCCGCGCCCGTGCCGTAGCCGCACCCGTGCTGTGCCGTAGCAGCACCCGTGCTGTGCCGTAGCCGTGCGCAGCGATCGTTTGGCGCTCCCTAGTAAACAGGCTGGCCTCCCGGCCCTTCCGTTCGCCCGTCGGCCCGTCGGTCGGTCGGTGACGGCGGGGGCTATTCTCAGAGCGTTACCTCAGTGACCTGGCCCGGCATGTGAGCGCACGCGGCGTGGGAACGGCGAGACTAACCGACGGAGGAGAGGGGTGCGGCTGTAGGGAGCAAGGTCGGACTGTGGAGCTGCCAACGGATGGGGTGGAATTAATCGGTAGTGATTTGCATCCCCAAACGGATGGGACCGGAGTTCTGCAGATTTCGCAATACCCAGGTTCGAGCATATGTAATAGAGCTGCAGGAATGTTCTAAAAACATGAGCTACGGCTCGCGTTTCAGCTGAATCTCATTGTTTCCAGTAGATGTAAGCGGAAAAGGATTCGTCCGTTACCATTTAACCATACACTACGAGTATATTAACAGCGTCTTTTAGCCAGTTACAGGGGATAAATGGCTGCGTATTTCACCTCTGACACGCTCCGGCACATTGGTCGCTCTTTATGGACCCTCCACTCTGGCAGCTGACTCGTTGCCTACGAGACCCGTCTCGGTTCTGCCGCCAGTCCGGTCTCGCCTGTCGGTGACACGTTAATTCATGAGGTCGGCCATTCAGTGGTGTGTCAAGATCTGGCGGGCCACCAGCCAATACTGGTCGCCTAGTGCGTCACGCGGTCTGTGCTGATGGCGATGGCTAATCAGATGCTGACGATAGCAATGCGATTGCGATGATGATGTTGATGGCTTCCTGATGATGATATGACGGTGATGATAACGATGATGGGGTGATGACGGTGACTAACATGTGCCGTGCCCCCGACGTTCCAGTCTGATAAACCTGGAGTCGCTGGAGCTGCGAGAGAACCTGCTACAGACGCTGCCGCCGTCGCTGGCGCAGCTCAGACGTCTGGAGAGGCTCGACATCGGCGACAACGAGATCGAACAGCTGGTGGGTATGACGTCACTCGTAACGGTGTGAGGTCACTCGTGGTGATGTATCTGTCTCGGTACCAGTTCTGGAGCGCGATGTTGGTGCCGATTTGGAACATGCCGGCACAGTATGAGGTGTTAGAATGGACCAGAATGTAACTCTTCCTGTAAATACGAATATGATGAATGCAGTAAGCTTTGTTTTGTTGTAACCTCATTCGCTGCAATTGCTAGATATTAGATCTATATGTCCATGAAAACGCAATAACAAAAATGTGAACTGGTGCTGTCCATCACCGCCACGTCCCGTCCACTGCGACGTATCCCTTTACCTCTGCATCCTGTCTTGGTGCCAGGGTGACTTCTAATCGATCTATTGATGCGTATAAGCCGCTCGTCGGTTACATAACAACACCTTCGATGTTTGTTACACATTGTTACGCAGGAGGTGGTGTTTATCCTCACCGAACTATCCGTATCGCCTGCTGTCACCTCTGCGGCCGTCTGACCTCGTCTAACTGCTCCTCTCTGTTACTAGCCGAAGACGGTGGGCAGTCTGCCGGCCCTGAAGGAGCTCTGGCTCGACCACAACCAGCTGGCACACCTGCCGCCGGTAAGAGCGACCGGGAGAGAGTGGGGGGGGGGGGGGAATGCGGCGTGTGTAGAGAGAGAGGAGGGATTAATTTGGATCGAAGAGGGTGGGGGAAAGAAAGCAGATAAGGATGTTGGCGTCTTTAGACACTGGGAGTTTGAACACTACTGTTACCGAATCACTAGACTTGTGTAATTGGCTTCCTACGGAAGGTGCAAAACTGCATTGCTGCGCACGCTTCGTTGAAGCTCCGCGAAACAACCCAGACACAGTGTTTCGAATGAACATGCTGCTCGTTGGTTTGGTCCAACCAATTTCTTTCAATTTCATTTGCCACTAAATTGCCATGTCAGTGGGATCCGCAGCCGCCGTTATTATCACGATTGTAGTAGGCTACGCTGCCATTCACCCGTCTGATTCCGTTTTTGTGACCACGCTGCAGGAGATCGGCCACCTGCGCAGTCTCAAGTGTCTGGACGTGTCAGAGAACCGGTTGGAGGACGTGCCGGAGGACATCGGCGGCCTCTTCAGCCTGGAGGACCTGCTGCTGTCGCAGAACTTCCTGGAGGATCTGCCGGACGGCATCGGGAAGCTCTCCGAACTGATGATCTTCAAGGTGGATCTCAACCGGCTGACGCGGCTCAACCCTGTCATCGGAAAGTAAGTACGGTGCCGTGATTGAGGGATAGGTAGTGGATGGTCAGGGAAGTACTCATGAGTACGGACTGGGCATGAGAGGCGGTCATATCACAGGCCAGTGGATAGTGGGTAGTGAATGTGAGACTGTGGTTGTGAACTTTTGGATTGTTGGAGGTGGATGTTCAACGGCTGACGATGAACAGTGAGGCGAATGGCAATTGGGAGCTGGTACTTGTGTAGAAATCAGAAACTGTAGATAGTCTGGGCAGTGGGCAGCTACTGTCAGCTAGCGGTCAACGTTAATCTGTTCGTAGAAGACGGTTGACAGTGGACTTAACACGGTGCAAATTGGGTGGTAAAGACATACTGTGATCGGAGAACGTCGCACGGTGCAGTCCGAACGGACAGCTGATGCGGTCGCCGGACTCCGAACCACCCGGTGATTGGCAGCAGTCCTCAGCCGGGCGGTCCGAGGTTATCGGCAGACTGACCAGCCCCGCCGGCGCTCCGCTGGCCGTCAGCCAGCCCCCTGCACGGCTAAGGCATCTGTGGCTCGCGGCGTAATTTGTGTGTGTCACCGCGCGTGGCCTGTGTCACGTGCCTGTGTCAGAGCTCCGTTGTTGTCAGGCTGACAGCTCCTGCTGACACGACGCTTGAGAAACTCCCTTCTCCCAGTTTACAGTCACAACGCGGCGTTGTTGGCATCCTATAAACACAATTAGTGATGGAGAGCGGGGGCCATATTTCTGCCACTCTGACAGGGAGTTGATTATCAGTAAATACGAGTAAATTGGGTTCAGCAGAGGTTATTTACCACTGTTAATTTCCTTTCAGATGCGTTATTTTAGCTGGTGGTCTCAGGTCTGTAATCTTGACAGCGAAATGAGCATAAAGTCAGCTCCCTGAAACCTCGATAAACAAGGCATGTTTACTGTTTGGCCGACTTTCCAACGTAGCAGAACCCTATCGTCGTTGACTTCCACACTGACTCCTCCTTTCTCTTCCTCCACAGGTGTACCAAGCTGGAGGAGCTGGTGGTGACGGAGAACTTTATCCACGAGCTGCCAGAGTCTATCGGTAACCTGCGGCGCGTCACGCACCTGAACGCCGACCGCAACCGGCTGGAGACGCTGCCTCAGCAGATAGGTGAGGGACGGGTGGGAACGGGAGGGAAGGGACGCTGTCCCAGAAGATAGTGAGGGACGGGAGGGGACGCTGTCCCAGCAGATAGGTGAGGGACGGCAGGGAAGGGGACGCTGTCCCAGAAGATAGTGAGGGACAGGAGGGACGCTGTCCCAGCAGAAAGATGAGGGACTGGAGGGGACACGTCTGCCTCACGCCTCGCCATATAGGTTAGGGAAGGGTAGGGCGTGGGTGGGACGGAGCCCCCAGCAGCTAAGTGAGGGACGGAAGGGGTCAAGAGATCATTGCAAATCGGAAGGGGACGGCTAGGTTGCGGTAGTGGACGCTGCCTCAGTAGATAGATGCCGTAGGGCAGGGGTGGCCATTAAGCTATCCACTGCTACAAAGTGACACCTTGTGTGTGTTTCTGTGTCCCCCAGGTCACCTACAACAGCTGGGCGTGCTCTCGCTGCGCTGTAACCGGCTCCAGTACCTGCCCGACACCATCGGAAACTGTACGGCCCTGCACGTACTGGATGTATCGGGAAACAGGTACGACGCTACGGGGCTTCTCTAGTGAGGCGGTGGCGCGACGCTGGCCCGGTGGAGTGGTTACCGGGTCTTTGTTGTTGTCGCAATGGCTAGAATGATTGACCACATATACGAGTATTGTTGTTCAGTGACGGTTTCTTTGAGTCGAACATTTTGTTTTATGTGCATTCTAAATTTCTCTAGCTAGACATAATATCGTTGATTGCTATGGTGGTTTTATTGTGTAACCGTCAGGTTAAATATGGTTCATTGATTTTTTACGCAGGAAATGTGACTAACTCAGAGCTCAATTAATGCATCAATCATTAACTCGTAAAATGGCTCAACCGCTCCCCCCTCTAAGAGCGTCTCCTCGCCCCATTCTGTGCACAGGCTGCAGTACCTGCCGGCCTCGCTGCAGAACCTGAACCTGAAGGCGGTCTGGCTGTCGGAGAACCAGGGGAAGCCGATGCTGCAGTTCCAGACGGACTGGGACGAGCACAGCGGCCAGGAGGTGCTCACCTGTTTCCTGTTGCCGCAGCTGGACGAACATGAGCCGCCAGAGAATGGTGAGGTGCCGGGGAGAGGGAGGGATGAGACGGGAGAGAGGGCGAGACAAGAGAGGACGGTTAAGTGGGTAGGATGAAGGGAGGAAGCGGGGAGAAGGAGAGCAGCGCTAGACAGAGATTAAGGAAGTGAGTATTTAATAGGAATACTCACTTTTGTTAAAGACTGAAACAGACTTTCGGCAGTCAGGAAATCGCTTACGAAGGCCTTTTTAAATATATCATCTCTCGCTCGCATCAATCGCATACATCTTCGTCTGTGCGATGGATACCTACGAGCTTTTGATGTACGTAAGAGAACCACCAATTACGCATCGTCTTATCTCTCTGAGCCCGACTCACACCCACCATCTCACTTCACCCGTCCCCCCGCCGCCAGGTCTGGAGGGTCTGAACGGCAGCACTGCCGGCGACGTGACACTCGGGGCGGGCTCTGACTGGGACCCGGCCGAGGCCAGCCGCACGTCCGTGGTCCAGTTCCAGGGACAGGGCTCGGCTGACGAGGACGGCGACAGCGACAAGGAGGTAATGAGGGACGCGGCATGGCTTATAAAGAATGAGGAGAAGTGGGTGGTGGGTGGTAGCCAATGGCTGGAGACAGTGGAGATTGAGGCTGTGTAAGAGACAAATGTTCAGCGTTTCATTGGAAACATCTTGTTTAAGTTGTGTGTGTGTGTGTGTGTTGGACGAGATAAGGGAAGTGCAGCTGCTGCTGCATATTGATGTGGGCAAGTAAGGGAAGGTGGGATGAGCCTTGGCTAACGTCAAATTCACTGCTTGTCTATCGGAACCAAGTGATATAGGATCTGGTGTCATAACCTTTACCTCTTATCGTCAAATAGCTCACAAATTGCGCAACTGTTTATTTCTTTTTGAAAATGATAGGGCAGTAATAACCCTCGTTTCGCTACCGATGGTAATGCAGTCAAAGAGTCGTCGCGCTATGTCAGGCCTGACAGCTGCTGGTCTGACCACCATTACCCACCTGACCGTCCGTCCCCGCCGTCCCATTTCGTCCGGACAGAGTCACTTTGTGCGTCAGAACACGCCACACCCGCGGGAGCTGAAGGCCAAGGCGCACAAACTGTTCGCCAAGGGAAAGAACGTGGATGGCAGCATGCTGGCGCACTCGGAGGACCGCACAGCTGAGGTGGGTGAGAGCACTGTGTGTACACAGCAGTGTACGCTGTACAGCAGCGGTACCAGGGTACCGACGTCTTGGGTTCATAGTGCAGATAAGATTCGTCTGTAGGCTGGCAGCCGCGGCCATTCATTGTTTAATAGTTGTTGTGATAACGGATTGAAAAGGATTGTTTTTCACAAAGGAGATGTTACTTGCGGTTTAGTGATGGATGGGTCTGCGGCATAGAAAGCATGGCACATGCATAAAACAAAAGTAATATCGGACTAGACTGCTATGTGAAACTCGATTCCGCTTGAGCCGATTCTGTCCTAATTCTTTATCCCTCCCTTATCACTGTTCTGTATTACCCCTGCACGCACCCCTCCCACCCGGTCCGCCGCCCCCTCCCCCATCCTGCCTGAAACAGAACAGTTTCACCCACATTTGAGTCACGCCCCTCGAACCTGTGCTGCATGGCCGTCCCAAGTTTAACGACAACCGCTGCTCGAGTCAGGGGCGGTGATCCGCCCTGTGATAGCCGCGCACGGCTGATCACTGAGGCCACGCTGCTACGCTGCTCCCCTACGTCCGGCCGACGCAGTGCTACTTGCCTATGCGGGCTCATATTAATAGTAAAATAATTGTGACTCATTTTTGTGTTCCCTTATAAGCCCGGGCTGCCACCACCTACACTATCCCGACAGTGTCGTCTGTCGGGATTGATTGTCGTCACAATTGACTGTCGTCAATTGTAGCTTTCGGTTTCATTGATTCACTTTAGAATCGCGGTGGCCTATGGCGCTACCGGTCTGCAGGCCTCCCTCACGATGTACCTGGCGTACTACCGCCATTGTTTTCTGTTTATGCTAAGATATTTCGTCCTATTTACACTCTTAGCAGCTTCTGTTTTTCAATTACGCACTATTTCACCACAAACCCGTCTGTCTGTCCTTGTCTTTATGTCTGCCTGCCTGCTTAGTAGCACGCACGACCGTGCCTCTTTCCTCTCCCGTCCCTGCTTGAGCTGTGGGTCTCAGTCTAGCGAAGGACGCCGCTCCACCTCTGACGCTGGTTCTCGGCGGCAACAGTCGCTGCTGCGCTTTGTCCTGGCAGTGCAACCAGTGCATTTAGTGCGCTCGTTTGTTAGTACCAGAGTGTCCTGCTAAGCAGTGGTTAGCCAGTTTGTGGTTTGGTGCTAACAAGTGAAACTTAAACATGACGGCCCCGACTCAAATAGTTTATCGTGTTGTTTATCGAATCAAGGTGGGTTAATAAATAAGTTTGGTCGTTTGCTGCGTCCCTGGTGTATCTGTGAAGCTCAGTTGGACGTTGTTTTTCTCAAATGTTTCCCTGGCGTGTTCATCATTTCTGAAATATTTGTTATATATTGATTTTTCTTTTCATAATGGCTATTGGCCAGTACTGTTTTTTTTTGGGGGGGAGGGGGAGCAATGGTGCTCAGGTTGTTTCCTATAATTCGCTTACAGTGCTTGTATTTGCTTCCTATTATCTTTATGTACCGGCAAAGTTCTCTCCCACTTATAATGATAAAACCCTCCCAGCACGACCGTCCGTCTGTCCCGCTGCTCGTCCGTCAATGCTCCCCTCTCCTCACCAGTCACCACCACCCTTCCAGCCTGACCTAGGCGCTTTTCGGTCGCAGTTTTTTTTTTTTTTACCAGCAGGCTGCGAGCATGCTGATTGCTGCTATTTCTTGGCTCCTCATTGGTCAAATTCACGTGGTCTCTTCATTTGACCAATTAGAGGCCAAGAAGCGCCAGCAACAGCTTCATTATATGGAAAAAACCGACAACATGCTGATGAAAAACAGTGACCGAACAGAGCTCTGGCCCCGTCTCTCGACCAGGATCAGCCGATGTCCTTCCGACCGGGACGGGTGAGCCCCCCGCCGGCGGCCGAGCCGGCCCGCCCGCCGCAGCAGAGTCGGTTCAACCCGGGCTTCCGGCGCGACCTGCCGCGGTCGGTACACACCAGCGGCGCCAACACGCCCGAGCCGCTGCCGGAGCCGCCCGATACCAGTGTCGAGCTCACCGAGCAGGGTGAGTGGGGAGGAGGAGAGAGGGAGGAAAGGAGAGAGGAGAGAAAAGGAGAGAGGGAGAGAACGAGAGGAGAATGGAGGGAGGGATAGGACTAGAGGGTAGTGGGCGGATAGTAGTCTGACGACATGGAGAGGCGTCGTGTTATCGAATTATTTGGTTAAACGTGTTGTCGAATTATTTTCTGAAATATGGTCTTTTTCTGTAATTGATGTCTCATGTAAGCACAAACGACTTCTAATCGTGCATTATTGTGACATATGGTGCGCTTCGACGAGACTGTTCGTAATTTGTTATGCCATGTGAGGCCGCTCAATGTATTATGTGTGATGTGAAAATTGTCTTTCATTTCTCACACCGCTCGACCATGTATCGCCCCTGACGCCCCGCCGCGCCCTCCAGAGGACTCTCCGACGCCTCTGCCCACTCTGGAGCGTCAGTCTGCTGTGGAGGACACCGACTCGGAGCGTCCGGAGCCGACTCCGCCGCCGCCGCCTCAGTCTCAGCAGCAGCCCTCGCAGCCCTCCCCGCAGCCCCAGCAGCCCTCTCCACAGCCCCAGCAGCCCTCTCCACAGCCGCAGCAGCCCTCGCCGCAGCCCGCGGAGCCCCAGCAGCCGCCGGAGAGGCGCCAGGTCGGGTTCGTCTCGGATGGTACCGAGGCCGATGATGAGGAGCCGGTGGAGCGCCACACCCGGCTGCACCGCCGCGATACGCCGCATCACCTGAAAAACAAACGCATCGTCACCAACAAGGTACGCTCGCAGCACTGAAGCTTTGCTTTGGTACATGCAGCTGTGCTTTCAGGCCTTGCAGGATAGCGGATTCCTAGAAGTGTGATGTGGGGCGAACAACATTCAACAGACTCAGGTGTCTCTTAACTTATTTATGAGGCTGTTGGATATCTGAAGTGACGTGTTTTTTTTTCGACGTCTTTCCGATATCGTTGCCTTGTTGCCAAGATTGTAATAACCAATTTGCGCTACTACCTAACGCGCCACTCGCTGCGTTCTCCTCTGCCCTATCAGGTTGATCAGGAGAAGGTGGCATCCATTATCGCCGAGGCCCTGCAGCGGAACGGTGGTGCCGCCGCCGGCGAGCTGGGTCTGCCGCCGGCGCCGCCCAGTCCCCTGCCGCCTGACGCTGCCGACGGACCCGCGCCGCCGCTGCCGCCGCCGCCCCAGAACCGCCAGCAGCTGGCGCAGCCGGCGCAGCAGCTGCCGCCGCCGGAGCCGACCGTGGTCGTAGAGGAGACTCAGCTGGAACTGACCGTCCAGGTGCGTATCGGCTGGACTGTAGTCTGTACCCAGAGGGTCATGCGAGAGATAATAGTTTCGATGTTATGATTGCTGGGTAAATGGTCTGCCTCGCTTGTTTCGTTGTAAGGTTTCGGTTTCGGTTTCGTTGGGTTGTAAGCGTATGAAAGTATTGATGACGAGCGGACCATGACTATCGTGTCCAGCTGCCGCAGCTGAGCTTATTACCAGGTGAACTGACAGTCACCCTGTGTCTGTCTGTGTTGCAGCGGGCATCCACCGGTCTGGGTCTGAGTATCGCCGGCGGGCGCGGCTCCACGCCGTTCAGAGGTGATGATGAGGACGTCTTCATCTCCAAGGTGCTGCCCGGAGGACCGGCCGACCGCGCCGGACTGAAGGTCAGTGACATGGCTGACGGCGCAGTGTAACGACTTTGGGAGTAGAGGGGAATGAGGATGAACTCGCAGTGATGCCTTGAAGATTGATAAAGGTGCTGGTTCTCATTTACCTCCTGGTCGTTTGACTCTTGGCCTTTGAACCTCTGAACTGTAACTCATATGTTGTAGGTAATGCACGATCGTTCCTGAGTCGTTTTCCGAAAATATATCATCATGCAACACTACTGAGACGTCTTCTGTAAACCAGTAGCTTATTAAAACCACTAGCTACTGATTCTGTGTGACTCAGCCTTCTAAAACGCTGCAGCACTGACCTCTGCCCTATGATCAGTGTCGTTGACCTGTGCCCCCCCCCCCCCCTCCACCCGTCCTAGGTGGCCGATAAGCTGGTATCGGTGAACGGGGTACCTACACTCGGCGCCGACCACTACGAGGCGGTGGGCATTCTGAAGGCGGCCGGCGCCACACTGAGGATGCTGGTTATGAGGGAGGTGACCCGACTGGTGCCGCCGACTGCGGCTCCTGCCCCGGCGCCGGCTCCTGTCTCGGCTCCTGCTCCGGCTCCTATCTCTGTTGCTGCTCCTGCCCCGGCCCCTGCCCCTGCTCCTGTCCCCACCCAGGCTCCCGCCGCTGCCCCGGCTCCTGCCGTTGCCCCCGCGCCAGCTCCAGCGCCTGTGTATCAGACGGCTCCCCACCCGGTGCCGGTGCCTCGGCAGTCGACGCTGGAACACGCTGCCACCAGTCGCCCGACAGCGCCGGCGCCGACGGCTGCCGTGACGAGCCACGCGCCGGCGCCGGCACAGAAGGTCGTCCCACAGCCGGTGGTAGCCGCTGCGGCGGTGACGGCGGCTCACACCACGCACCAACCTGCGCACACCACTCACCAGCCCGCATACACCACTCACCAGCCCGCGTACACCACTCACCAGCCTGCCTACACCACCCACCAGCCGTCGCACCGGCCGAGTTCGGTGCAGAGCCGCGGCTCACCCTCGCCGGCGCCCGCCGCTGCCCCGGCGCCGGTCACCTCCCTCACCGCCCGCCCGGCTCCCTCCGCCGGCCTGTCCGCCACCGACGGCGCAGGGGACGACCCGGTAGTGCGTCAGCGACACGCACATCAGCGGCAGCTCAACAGAGAGCTGGAGCAGCGTGCTGACCGACTGCGCGCAGAGGTGGTCTCCAGCAGTCGCGTGCCCTCCTCCAGTCCTGCCGTCACGCGCCGGCCGCTGCTGGGCCTGAGCGCTCCGGCCGTTAGTCCGGGCCCACTGCGGCGACCGACCGCCGAGCCGCCGCCGCCGCCGCCGCCGCCGCCCGCACAGGTGAACGGACAGGCCTCTGAGGAGCTGGTGCCCAAAATAGAGACAATCCACACCACACTGATGCGCGACAAGAGCGGTCTGGGCTTCAGCATCGCTGGAGGAAAGGGAGCGGCACCCTACGTGGAAGGAAGCGACGTGAGTATCGGTGGCGGTGAAAGGCGGGACTTGGGTGCATGATGGGGAATGCAGGCGTATCAAGAGGGGCTATGGTATGTTTTGATATTCAGGTAGCATTGTGAGACTCAAGGCTCACTGCTGTTAAACCGGTGTATTATAATGGATTTGATCTTGAAATGTGTGGTGGGAGACTATATCGCTTATCTCCGCTTTCTTGCGTCACCAATTAAATTTATTACGCGTAATTTCCTTCCGTTGAAAGTTAGCTGTTCGGCCCCGGTGCCTGTGACCTGTCGTGTCTCCTCCCTAGGCGGTTCACATATCGAAGATTACGGAGGGCGGCGTTGCGGAGCGGGATGGAAAGCTGAAGGTCGGCGATCAGGTTATCTCGGTGAGTATGAACCGCGGTAAAGTAGCCCGTCCATGTCGCCTCTGTCGGCAATTACAGTAGCCGCGGGCTTCGCCAACAGCCGCGGCTGTAGGCTGTGGTAAAGCTGGCGCTCTACCGGCCACACCGTGCTGATAGAGGGCGTGTGTTTAATCAACTGATAGCGCGGCCAATCATGATAGATACCAGAACACCCAAGTGTGCCAGTGAGTCATGCTTGTGTACGCCTAAAGTCTAAAGCCTGGCCATGAGCTCGATTACACAAATCGGGTGGACTTAGATTGCTGAAATGGGAGTACTGGTTTTCATTGGATAGTCCAAAAGGAGGTCGTGTCTTTTGTGCTATTCTGTGCTAGTTTGGAATGTAGGGAGCTAAGGACATTAAAAAGAGTTTTGTCAAACATGTACTGGTTCCTATCTTATCGTAATCGTTGACGATTGATTGCTGCTAAGCCCCCGCCCTATCTCACTAGCATGGTGTACGAGGTCTGCGCGCGATACGCCCCTCCCGTCGCGTCAGTGCTGACCAGGTGCCGGCATCGGCCGCCCGTGTGTCCCCAGATCAACGGCGTGGACGTGCAGGGCGCTCGACACGACCAGGCCGTGTCTCTGCTGACCGGTCTGGAGCGGTTTGTGCGGCTGATTGTACAGCGCCGCCGGCTGGTCACTGCCGCTGAGGCCGCCGCCTCGCCCGGCCGGCCGCGCGCCTACGCGGGGTACTCACCCGGGAGCTCGGCGTACTCGCCCGGCAGCTCGACTTACTCGCCGGGCAGTTCGGCCTACTCGCCGGGTAGTTATATGTCGAGTAGGACCGGGTTCGGTGCCTACCGACGGCCCGACCTCAGTGGAGCCGAGAACCGCGCGCCCGTCGCTCCGGCCCTGACCTCAGCCGCCGCGCCAGCTCCGAGTGCGGCTCCCTTCTCTGCACATTCTGCCGCTGCTGCCGCCCCACCCGCTGCTGCGCCGCCTCCGATGGCTTCCACCGCCGCTGCTGCCGGTCCGGCGCCGTCTGCCGCGCCGCCGCCGCCGCCTCCGGCCGCCGCGCCCGCGCAGGTACCTGCCGAGGAGGAGCCCCCGGGCGGCACCCTGGAGACCATCTCCCCCGAGCAGTTCCAGGAGCTGATTCCGGCGCACTTCACCCACCCGCCGGCGCCGGGCGGCCACGGCGCCTCGGTGGTAGTGGACCGGCACACCCCGCACGTACCCGTCCAGCTGGCGCAATTCCCGCCGGCGCCCACCAAACCGGGCGTCTGGACGGAGAGTGTCACCAAGAGCACCTACACGGAGACGACCACCACTCGGCGCACTGAGAACATACTGGTGCGGCCGCCGCCGCCCTCGCAGGTGAGTGGTACTGCGCCGCTGGTGACGGGCTGGTGACGGGGCCGGGATGATCGCATGGCACTGAGGGCTGCGGGGAACAGGCAACCCACTCTGACAAGTGACATGGCTCATTTGGTTTTAAAAATGTCGATCCAAAACTCAGGACAGATTGAAAATAAAACGATAGATGTGATTGCAACAGGACGATGATTCTATCCTATTGATTTACTTTATCCTGCTTCTAAGTTGCAGTCGCTTGCAGTCGTATTTGTACGTCAAAATGTATGGGATTTACCTCTATTTTTTTTAGCATTTCCTAAATCATTCATGTTGTGTTGATAAAGCAAAGAGCCGTTTTAAGCGGAACTAGGCCGAGTTGATGCTGAATCCAGTTAGTTCAAACTCCAGTGAGCGCGACAGCCATGCTGGTATAAGATAGTCCGCAATGACATACTAAAAGTTAGGCCCTTGTATATAGGACCCATTCACCTTTTACCGCTTCCGCTCCGGAGTCGGTCCCCGCAGGGGGCTGACCGTGGTCAGAGCCGTTGCTTGGCCGGGACCATTGGGCTCTGGCCTCGCGGCGGCTGTGACTTCGGCCAGTAAGGGGAGTAGCGCCCCCTCGGCCCCAGCTTGACTTGCGTTTGACCTCGGCTCTGATTTGATTGTCGGATGGATTTTCTGCAAGATTGGCCCCGCAGGGGGCTGGCGGTGGCCTGGGTTCCTTGGGCCCGCGTCCTGCGGCGGCCCTGACCTCCGCCAGCAAGGGGAGTAGCGCCCCCTCGGCCCCAGCTTGACTCATGCTCGATTACAACCGGACTCGACCCTGGATTGATAGACGACAAGTCAGACCTTTCTTGGTTTCTTTTTTTCCCTTTGTGTCTGATGAGTGTCTTTTTTGCGCCCGGTTCCGCTCCTTCCGGGTGTTTCTCCTCACTGCCAGCTTATACTGCCTTGCCGTCTTCTCACGTGGTTTGCACTAAGTTTTTGCACTTGTCTGTTGCCCAGCTTTCTTGCGAGCATTTTCATTGGTTGCCTTTTCTGCATTCTCACGCACCGCACGGACACACTCGGGTGAAGTGGAATAGCGCCCCCCCCCCCCCTCAGCCCTAGATACACATATGTGTAATCTTGACCTTGCCCACATTTGCTGGATTTGATGTTTGCACAATGCCACTGCCAGTCGGCCGCGTTGCCGTCTTCTCACGCGAATTTCTCCTGGCTGGTTTGCACTCATTTGGTTGCCTACCTCATCGGTTTCGCACGCTTCCCAGTTTTTTTTTAACACTTGCTCATCTTCTCTGTGCACGATTCCATTGCATAATGCGATTCCAGTCTCTAATCGTGCCATCTTCTCACGTGAATTGCTCTTGGTCGTCTTGTACCCGTTTGTTGCCCATATTTCTTTTGCGGTCACCGGCATTGGCTGCGTTTTCAGTCTTCTTGCGCTGTACCGGTCTTGCAGGCTGCTTGCCTCACCGGTTCCGCACGCTTCCCCAGTTTCTTTTTTTTACACTTGCTTATTTTCCTTGTGCACGATTCCATTGCCAGTTTGCTGCATTGCACTCTTTTCACGTGAATTGCTCTTGGTTGTTTTGTACCTGTCTGTTGCCTTTTTTGCGGATACTCGCGTTGATTGCCATATGTGTGATCTTGACTTTGCCCACATTTGCTGGATTTGATGTTTGCCCAATGCCATTGCCAGTCGGCCTCGTTGCCGTCTTCTCACCTGGCTGGTTTGCACTCATTTGGTTGCTTACCTCATCGGTTTCGCACGCTTCCCAGGTTTTTTTTTAACACTTGCTCATCTTCTCTGTGCACGATTCCATTGCATAATGCGATTCCAGTCTCTAATCGTGCCATCTTCTCACGCGAATTGCTCTTGGTCGTCTTGTACCCGTTTGTTGCCCATATTTCTTTTGCGGTCACTGGCATTGGCTGCGTTTTCAGTCTTCTTGCGCTGTACCGGTCTTGCAGGCTGCTTGCCTCACCGGTTCCGCACGCTTCCCCAGTTTTCTTTTGTTTTTTTTTTACACTTGCTTATCTTCCTTGTGCACGATTCCATTGCCAGTTTGCTGCATTGCACTCTTTTCACGTGAATTGCTCTTGGTTGTTTTGTACCTGTCTGTTGCCTTTTTTGCGGATACTCGCGTTGATTGCGTTTTCAGTTTTCCTACGCTGTACCGGTCTTGCAGGCTGCTTGCCTCATCGGTTTCGCACGCTTCCCCCAGTTTTTTTTTTGCACTCGCTCATCTTCTTTGTTCTCTGGTTCCCCTGGTTTTATCGGTCTAGCCGTACCTTCGGCCCAAAGACCGGGGAGAGGATGTCTGGGCGTTGAGGGGGCTGCCCTGCGGGTTAGTCGGGGCAGCCTTCCAACACATGCCTTTGGCGCCAATCCCCGGATCTGCGGGATGCCCCATGTTGGCCTCGCATGAGGGAAATCGGCCGGTCAGGCGTCGCCCTGTGCAGCACTGGCTAATCGGGGTCAAGGGGGCTGGGCGACGGGTATGCGGGGGGCTGCCGCCGGGTGCAGGGGCCGCCTGATTCCTTCAGCGCGGGGCTTAGCGCCACCGTATCCATGTCCGCGCGCGGGATCAGGTCCGGTCCCGTGCCGCATGGCTCTGCGGCGGCCGCGGCTCACGCGGCCCCGTACCCGGCGGCTTCGTCTTGCTGCTTTTGGCGTCCCGGCCCCCGTATAGTCCTGCAGTACTCCTGGCGGACCACCACCCTACGGGGGAGTGTGGCCGTCCCCCAGTTGGGCTCCGAGGTGGGTGGGAGGCTGCGGGACCGAAACAATTACACTTTCCATGGATTCTCACTTGGCACCCCCACGGACCACAGCCTCGGCTGAACCCCTTGCACCTAGTGCAGTCGGTGGAGCACGACCAAAAGTTCTTATATTCACATCCGACGAACGAAAACTCGCGTCGCTGTCTCCCTTTCAGAGACGAGAGGGCTGTGACAGATTTGGTAAGATTGCGAGGTGTGAAAAACTTAGAGACGGAGGCATCGAAGTAGAGTTTGTTGACGATAGAGAGGCGGAAAGGGCCCTGAAAGCTACTCACTTCACATACACAGTTAAGGATCAGCAGGGCAGAAAGGAAGTAAACCTTTCGGTCAGCGTTTCGCCGCATCGCACGAAAAATTCCAGCCGAGGGGTCATTTTTTGCGACGATCTGGAGGGCATGCAAAACGACGAGATCGCCGAAGGCCTGTCACAGTTTGGGGTCTCCGCCGCCCGCCGCATCTACACCAAGAGAAGTGGCGCTCTCGCACCCACGCACAGTATCATTTTGACTTTCAACTCGCTGGAACTGCCGAGGGAGGTGATGATAGGATATCTGTCCGTGAAAGTTCGACCATATGTCCCGAGTCCCATGCGTTGTTTTCAGTGTCTCCGATTCGGTCACACTCGAGACAGCTGTCGGAACAGACCAGCATGCGGGAGCTGTGCGGCAAATGACCATAGCAGTGCCGAATGTTCGTCGTCCGAGTTGAGATGCGTCAATTGTGACGACTCTCAGACTCCACATTCCTCGTTTGATGGGCGATGCCCGGCCCTCCAGAGAGAAAAAGAAATAATGTCCCTGAAGGTCACCGAAAGGCTGTCATTTCGTCAGGCCCGAGACCGCTTTGCTGCCCTCCATCCCAAGCGGTCTTATGCTAGTGTGGCCAACGGTTCTAGACAGCGCTGCCCCACTGAAACTGATACCAACAACAGCATCGGTCAGTTAATAGCGATTCTGAAGTCATTCGGCTTCTGCTTTGTCCCAGATGCCAACAGTCACAGCAACTCATCAGTTCAACAGGAGCCCCCTAAAGCGTTGTCGTGCTCCGCCACGCAGACGTCGCCAAGCAGGAGGAGAGGAGTCTCGTCCCCCTCCCGTGGGGGAGGAAGAGAGGATGAGACTGGGGCGGGGGTGGAGGCTTCAGCCGCCCCCGAGGATACGGCCACGCCGCGGGGTGGTGAGTGGACCCTCGCCCGGGGTCGTCGCCGGGGCCCGCCCCCACCGCCGCGCTCTGTCGAACGGACCCCGTTCACGTCTCCGGAGATCCGTCGACCCCCGCCCAGGGAGACTGCAGTCATGGCGGCTCTGCGCCGCGGTCGGGAGGAGCGGCTTGAGCAGGACGCCAGACTAGGGCGGAGGATGGCCCAGGCTCTTGAGGAGCGTCGAGCGTCCTCTGTCCGTGGAGGTCCTGGTGGGCCGGGGGCGGCCCCGTCACCTCTGATGGGACCTCCCCCTACCCCTCCACCCCCTCCTCCACCTCCGCCCCCTCCACCTCCTCCGCCCCCTCCACCTCCTCCGCCCCCTCCACTTTCTCCCCCACCCCCGCTCCCACCGCCACCACCACCCCCTCCACCCCCTCCACTTCCTCCACTCCCTCCACCCCATTCACAGCGTCCTTCTGGTGCCCCTCCGGTGCCCGCCTCGGGCGAGGGGTCGGGACCCCGACCCCCGCCATGCACACCACCATCGGAGCCGAGACCGGCGGGGCCGCCGCCCGCCCCGGGCCGCCCCACGAAGCGCACACTTCCGTGGGAGTTATCTCCGTCAAACGATGGTAGCCCCCGCTCGCGGCTGAAGTTTCAACCGGGAGCTACGGGCCGGCCTAGGTCGGCCGATGGACGGCTCCGCGAGGGCCATCCAAAGGTAGCCTTTGGCGGTGGCCCGGGCCCCGGTGGCGAGGAGCATTTTTAAGTCCCCGCCTTTTTTTAACTCAAGTCAAAGTCGCCAGTTTTAGACACCTTTCGCTTACCCCAAGCGCTCAAAACTACAGCAATAACACGTTTTATCCTGCAGTGGAACTGCAGAGGCTTGCGTTCTAGCACTCCAGAACTGCAAGCACTAATCCGCTCTCAGCGACCTTTGGTTGCTTGCATCCAAGAAACCAAACTCAGATCTGAGTCCAGGTTCCCCATGAAAGGATTTTCGGTTTTTCGCAGGGACCTTGCTACTGAAACCGTCGCGCACGGAGGTGTTATGGTTCTGGTCCATAACGCCGTGCCTGCGAGATGTATTGATTTAAGCTCGCCCCTTCAGGCGGTAGCGGTCCGCATTCATCTAGGCCAGCGTGACATCACTGTGTGCTCACTTTACTGTCCCCCTGGCGCAGCTCTTCCTCTTCTGGAACTACGCCGGCTAATTGCCGAGCTCCCTCCACCTGTGATGCTTCTGGGTGATTTTAACTCTCACCACTCTGCATGGGGATGTGATTCTGTGTGTACACGCGGTCGACTTTTAGCGTCCTTGATAGACGAGGAGGGCCTTTGTGTTTTAAACACTGGTGCTGCTACCCATTTCACCATGCCGTCGGGACATTCATCAGTTCTAGATCTCAGCCTTGTCAGTCCACACCTTGTGCCGCTTTTTACGTGGCGAGTGGACGCGGACTCTTTTGGTAGTGACCATTTCCCCATATGGCTTGAACTGCGTGAGCGGCCCTCGGTTGGCTGCCGGCCACCGAGATGGAACCTGCGGAGGGCAGACTGGGAGAAATTTCAAACGTGCTTGGAGGATGCTCTCTCATCTGACCCTACAGATGATCTGTCAGTAACCGATTTCACCTCCTTACTCATTGAAGCAGCCAAGGCATCCATTCCTCGTACATCGGGGGCGCCTTCTCGCCGGCCGGTCCCATGGTGGTCCGATGCGTGTCGAGACGCCATCAGAGCGCGGAAACGAGCGCTGCGCGCTTTCAGGCATAACTGCACCACCGCAAACATGATCGCGTTTAGAAAAGCCAGAGCGTTCGCTAGGTGGACGGTCAAGAAAGCTAAACACGAATCCTGGGTGGAATACATCAGCCAGCTTAACAGATTCACGCCAATCTCCGAGGTTTGGTCCCGTATAAAACGTATATCAGGTCGTTTCTCCTCATCCCCTCTTCCTGTTCTGAGTGTGTTTGGCAGAAATGTGTTGAACCCAGCTGATGTAGCGTACGAAATAGGCCGTGCGTTACATGACCGCTGTGTCGGTGACTGTTCTGACCCCGACTTCGCCCGCCATCGTGCTCGGTGCGAATCGACTGGCGTCAATTTTAACACATCACAACATTTTAGCTACAATGATCCCTTTACTATGGAAGAGTTAAAGTCCGCTATAGGTGGCCTGAAGTGTGTCGCAGAAGGCCCTGATCTTGTACACAATGAGATGCTTCGGCGTCTCCCGTCACCGGGACTTGAAGCATTGCTCCATCTTTTCAATGCGCTCTGGGAAAGAGGGCTGTATCCCGAAACATGGCGGACGGCCATCATTATCCCGGTGCTGAAGGCTGGTAAAAGCGGGCTTGATCCGCTTCACTACCGCCCTATTGCGTTGACATCTGCCCTGGGCAAGCTGCTTGAGCGAGTTGTAAACGCGCGTCTCGTCTGGTTTCTGGAGGAACAAGGTGTTTTATCTAACTCGCAGTGCGGTTTCAGAAAGTATCGGAGCACAGTAGATCACATTTTAGCCCTTGATACCGAGGTTCGTTGCGCATTTAGGCGGAAGCGACACATTGGTGCATTGTTTTTCGACATTGAGGCTGCGTATGATACCACTTGGCGTTTCGGTATTTTACAAAAGCTTTTCAAGTACGGTATACGCGGTACAATGGGCCATTTCCTCGCCAGCTTTTTATCTAACCGGTCTTTCAGAGTCCGTGTCGGTGGCAACCTCTCAGAGCAGTTCCCCCAGGTCAACGGTGTCCCCCAAGGAGGAGTCCTAAGTGTTGTGCTGTTCGGGGTAATGATTAACGATATTGCCGATCACCTGCCCCCTTCCATTGGCCGTGCCCTTTTTGTGGATGACTTCTCTATCTGGGCCAGTGGTGCAACCACACGTATAGTAGAGAGACAGCTCCAGTTGGCAATTAAAAGATTAGAAAACTGGAGTGCTGTTAACGGACTACGATTCTCGACAGCCAAAACTGTAGGTGTCCACTTTTGCCGTTTTCGCCGTAATTGCCCTGACTTCTCTGTCAGGCTAAGGGGTGCAGTGATCCCTGTGAAGTCGGAGGTGAAGTTTCTTGGGATGGTAATAGACAGCCGTCTTACCTACCGCACTCACCTGAAAGAGCTCCGCGACCGATGTTTTCGAGCTATGAATGTTTTGAAATGTGTTGCGCGTACCTGCTATGGGGCGGATCGTAAGACACTGCTCTTGCTTTATCGTGCTCTTGTCCGTTCTAGACTTGACTACGGCTGTTTTATATACGATAACGCCACGGAGACCTCGAAACGTATTCTGGACTCTGTGCACCATACTGCTCTTCGTATTGCCACTGGTGCGTTCCGGACCACCCCAGTAGCCAGCCTCCTTGTAGAGGCCCACGAGCCACCTCTTGCCTTGCGTCGCCAGCTACTGGGCATGAGATATACCATAAAACTCCGCCAGTTGCCTTCCCACCCTGCCTATGATGCAGTTTTCTCACGTGCCAACCTGGCGCTTTTCAGAACCGGAGAAGGTGCACGTACTGTCCGCTACCCCCCTTTCTGCTCTCGTATGCAATCGCTGCTCTCGGAAGCTCAAATTAAACTTCGGGGGGTCATGCGTAAGGAGTGGCCATCTGTCCCACCGTGGAGACAAGTCCCGCCAAAGGTGGACCTTTCCCTCACCGATGTGAGAAAAGGCGACATCCCTCCAGCTGTTTTAAAGGCTCGTGCGCTGGAACATATTTCAAGGTACTCTGACTACATAGCCTGTTATACTGACGGCTCAAAGACTGATGACGGTGCCGGGTGTGCTTTCGTCTGCGGCGACGCTGTGCGGTGTTTTACCTTACCTAAACATGCATCCGTTTTTTCCTGCGAATTGGTCGCTATCCTCAAACTCCTGTGTTTTATCGAGATTAATCCCGCTCGGTCATATGTTATTCTTTCTGACTCATTGAGTGGTCTCCAGTCCTTGTCACAATTCTACCCTTCTGACCCCCTCGCACAGGAGATTCTTCTTCGTGTGACAGCCCTCGACCGAGAGGGTACGTCGGTGTCTTTTTGCTGGATCCCTAGCCACGTCGGTATTCACGGCAACGAACGGGCGGACCGAGCTGCGAACCATGCTGCGCAGTATCTGTGCTCCCGCCGATTCCCTCTACCCGCCAGGGACTTTGTACCGGCGGTGGGCTATTTCCTCCTCGGAAAGTGGCAGGAGGCCTGGAGCCAATCCCACGGTAACAAACTTTTACGTATCAAGCCAGGTTTAGCTACCTGGTTGTCGGCCTCACGCAGATCGCGACGCGAGGAGGTGGTCCTCTGCCGGCTTCGTACCGGGCACACTTATGGCACCCATGGGTTCCTTATCGGCGTTGGCTCCAGGCCTATTTGTACCAGATGTGGTGACCGACTTTCGGTCCGACACGTCTTGGTCGAGTGCCCGAGACTGGACGCTGAGCGATTGCGGTTTTTTGGATTGCGTGGCCCCCAGCTCTCTTTGAGAACACTTCTCCGCGACGACTCCCCTTTTCTCGATTCCGTTCGCCTCTTTTCGTTCATCACGGCCTCCGGGCTTCAGGTGATTTTTAACCCCCGACTTTGAGGAAGATTGGTTAGATATGGGCGCCATATAGCCTCGTTGCTGGTGCGCCCTAAAACACCAAATCATCATCATCATCCGGAGTCGGTTGACAGAAGTGTGTGGGCTCGACCTCGGGAACAGATGAGACTAGGACGAGGCGCCGCGCGGGATATCACTCTGTAAGTCCGACGGCACGGCCTTTTTACACCCCATGGGGCGATTAACGAAAGCGGTAGATGCATGTGCTCGTTTTTATTAACTTTGCCTAGCGATATGACCCTGCACCCTGGCAGACGGGTGTCTGGCATCTCACGACTGGCGTTTGTGGTTTAAATTGTCGGCGGCACAGCCAGCATTTTAGTCATAAGGGCTTCAGAGGTATGCAAGGCTGGTCACTGGTCAGCGAAGCGGCATGCGCTGTGGTCTCGGCATGGATTCGGATGGCAATGAATGCCGCATTACTTTGGTTACTTGCAGCATTTCGCTTGCAGTCGTAATTGGCAGTTGGATGAAAGTTTGTTTTGATGGTAATGCTTTTTTTATTTGCTGATAGATATGATAACTGTAGATGTGACAGCTATATAACTGCAAGCGTGCACTAATGGGATGCATTTGGATTGAAAAGTGTAAATATATCGGTAATTACTAATTAGTAAGTTTTTGTGTTTTTGCATGGCGCATGCCATCATTCTTTTTTCACTAATTTTTGCCATTTTATTTCGTCTTCAGTTTAGATAAGGTTTCATTAATTTGTGATGCTAGAAACATTTCAATCTTGAGCTGAGTAGCTTTTTGCGTAGCTACCAAATTTTTTGCAATTGTCAATCACTATTCGCTTTTGTTTTGATGTAAATGTTCAGTTACAATGTCATATGGACTTATTAGCTTAGGTAATATACCAAGTGCTGACATCAGTGCGCATTGTATTCCTTGGAAACAATGAGTAAGCAAACGTACGTTTATGAATTGTCAGAAATTTAAGTTTGTTAATGTTTTTCTACAAGTCGTGTGACTTAATCGCATTGGTTTTCTAAAGAATCGTTTGCATTTATAGTCTCGTATACGTGGCGTTTCCAAACAGTTTGGCCGTTTGGCATCCGTTGTGATTTATTGACCACTGGCCAGTGACCACTATAAAAGTTGTCAGGTACAACAATGTTCCGATGTCATGGTTTGTGTCCTGGTTGTTTTACTATGCGGGTACTATTGCCATTTTGTATTGCCGTCTTTCTTCAGACGTATTGCCAATCAAATCATAGACATGTGTATCAGTAGGTGACTTATTTTGAATGCGCTCCATTGAACAGTCAGATTATATTCGTTCATACAGTATGACTGGTCGCTTGTTGGTCGTGTGGATCGGGTGTATGGCACAGACTTCTCCCCACCCACCGAGTCTCCCGCTTGCTGCTGAGGCGTTCTTTCGTTCGACCCTCTTTAGTGTCACTTTGGTTGACCCTTGTCTCCGGCTTAAACTACCTTCCCGCTGTCACCGTCCGTTACTATTTCCACTGACCGTAACCTCTATTCGTGACAATTGCCACCATTACGTGGCCATCCCCGCCGTTTGACCCCCGTTTCCCCGCTTTCCGAGACTGCTATCTCTCTATCACTGACACCGAGGCCGACTGTTCCTCAAACAGCTGATCGGCTACCTCCAGCTCCGCCCTCTTTCAATCCCCCATTTCTCGAAAGCCGTTTCCTCTAACAAGACTTGTCCATCCCCACCTCTCCCTGCTACGTCCCCTCGAGGCTCGAATCCAGGCGCCCTCGTCTAACCTAGACTCTTCCAACTCTGCCTCTTTCAACAGCTCCGCCCTTCTCCAACTCCGCCTTCCTCCAAATCTGCAGCCCTTCCCAGCTCTGTGTGCTCCAACTCCGTCCTACAATTCTCCCTGCGCCAACTCCGTCATCCTACAACTCTGCCTCATACAAATCCGCTCCGCCACCGACCGCCGCCGTCACTAACCGCTCCCCCGTTCCATCCATTCACAGACGGTGGTGCTGAACAAGGCGGGCGGTCCCCTGGGACTGAGTATCATCGGCGGCGCTGACCACAGCTGTCTACCGTTCGGTCGGGACCAGCCGGCCGGCACCTTCATCTCAAAGGTATGCTGGCCTTAGAGCGGCGAGCATCTGGCGTGTTTAGGGGAGGGCAGACGTCTTCATTAATCAGTTTAAAGGTGTGCATTGCGCATACTGTATGCGCGTCTAGTCAGTTACTGTTCGCGCGTCTAGTCAGCTGTACGCGCGTCTAGTCAGCTACTGTACGCGCGTCTAGTCAGCGTGCATGTCATTTACCGACGTGTATATGTACATAATTGAGCGGATGCCACTAGTGTTACCTTGGTAGGACGTTCTTCCTGCGCTATCTCACATTCAATTCGTCGCGTTGTACGTTGTAAGTTTTGTCCAACAATTTTCCTTCTCGGATAGAGAACGAGTCACGTCACCGTGAGCTGTCCACTGTCCTTCCCTGGCCTGTTCTGACCTGACCCCGTCTCTCTCCGTCGCCAGATAATCCCTGGCGGTCAGGCGGCGGCCGGTGGTCAGCTTCGCGTCGGTGACCGACTGCTCGAGGTGGACGGTGTCGATGTGACGGGCGCCACTCACGAGCAAGTGGTGGCTCTGTTGCGCCGGCCCGGCCCGGAGCTGACGCTGCTGGTGCGGCATGATCCGCCGCCACCCGGCTGGGAGGTTAGTTGGGGGAGCTATGGGGTCAGTTAGGGTCGCTGGGAGATCAGTGAGATTTGGGAGGGTTAAATCGAGGTTAGGGTCGCTTTGGGGTCAGTTAGGGACGTTAGGGTCGCTTTGGGGGGTTTGACCTGCCCGCCTTCGCCAGGCTTAGAGATCGGTTGGGGTCGCTTGGAGGTTAGAGTCGATTGGAGCTCATACTTAGAGAGCCAGGAAGTCAGTTAGGGCCACTGTGTGGGTGGGTGGGGGGGGGAGGGGAAGTGACCCGCCTTCGCCAGACCAGTCGGTTATGGTCGCGGCTGAGTGTGAAGTCAAATAGAGGGAGTCTGGATATCAGGGTCGGTGTGTGGATGTTACCCGCTCATGCCAGGCTGGGAGCGGGAGGTCAGCTAAATTCACTGGGACTTAAGTTCTCGTTCGCTCTGCTAACCCCTCCCTTCCCCCTTACCTTGCTAACTCTTCCCCTCCGCCTCCCCCCCCCCCCCCGTTCATCAGGAAATGGTTCTGGAGCGGAGACCAGGAGAGAAGCTCGGTATGAACATCAAGGGCGGCCTGCACGGCCTGCCCGGTAACCCGCTCGACAAACAGGACGAGGGAGTGTTCGTCAGCAAGTTGCACGAGGAGGGTGTGATCCCGCGCGACGGTCGGCTCCGCGTCGGTCACCGGCTGGTGGAAGTCAACGGCGTCACCCTGCTCGGCGCCACTCACCAGGTCGGTCGGTGTGGTGGGTTTGAGTTAGTTTGGCGACGACTAGGCTCGTTGGGAGGAAGGATGGGTGAGGTTTATGGAATGCAGTGTGAAGTGTGGTCAGTGGTGTGATGCAGATTGTGTGCATTTTTGGTTGGTAGTCTAAACTAGAAACGGTCACCTTATTATCATGCAATATTTTGATGTTTGTTTGAAAGGTATCTGATTAATGCGGGATAAATTATCAAGAACTGTGTCTGTATGAGTGCCGTTAACTAAAGTCATGGTCAAAATGATTGGGCGCAATTTATAGCCAGTCTGTAAGGACACTGTGGCGCACATGCCTTCGTCATTCCCTCCCTCCTGTCAGGATGCGGTGGACGCGCTACCATAACGTACCCTCCCCTTCTGTCAGAACGCGGCGCTCTGACCCCTCCCCTCCCCTCCCGTCAGGACGCGGTGGACGTGCTGCGTCGCGCCGTCGGCACCCTAGCCATCACCGCCTGCCACGGGTACGACCCTGCCGAGGTGGAGCAGCGTCTGGCCGACGGACAGCTGCAGCGCTCGCGCTCCGCAGTCAGCCTCATCAGTCTGGTCAGCCTGGACGGTACCTCGCGGCCCGTCACACCCGGCTCGCGGCCCGGGTCACGGGCCGGGTCACGGGCCGGGTCACGGCCGGGGTCACGGCCCGTGACGCCCGGGGCGGACCGGCCCGTGACGCCCAGCGGCGAGCACCGGCCGGTGACTCCTGAGAGCGGCCGGCGCAGCGCGGCAGAGGACGTGAGTGAGGGAGAGAGCAATGGGTGGATTAGAGTTCAGTGGGCTGAGAAGGTGAAAATTCCTGTACTTCGGAGTAACAAATGTAGGCTATCGGGTTTTGTGCATCCTGTGCTGGAGGTGAGGGATGTTTTGAGTTCCATTTTACCCGAATCATACAGCTACCCTTTTACCCCATGATCAGCCCATGAAGAAGCCCGATCAGATTCCTCTTCAATCAATAGGGCCGTCTTCTAAGGTGGCAAATATTGACCTAGCACCAAACAGACAATTAGCCCCATTATTTATTGCAGTGGTGTGTTGTGTCGCCTTGACCTCCCGACGTCCTGACTAGCCGCCGCTGTTACCTTCTCTGTCGCCCTAATCCGCCCCTCTGACTCCCTCCCCCCCCCCCCGCCGTCAGGTCATGGAGGTGGTTCGGGCGGCGGCCATCCTCTCTCAGGCGCCCGTGCCGCCCCGGTCGGCGCCTGGCTCCCCCAGTGCCAGCCACACGCCCAAAACCACCACAGTGGTGATGAGCAAACACACACTGGCCGGCACGGTGAGTACCTGAATGTCGAGACTCGCTGGTGATTCACTGGTGGTGGTGGTGGTGGTGGTGGTGGTGACGGAATGGGGAATATAGTGTATGGTGGTGACGGTGGTAGTGGCAAGGGGACTGACGATTGGGAATTGGTGGCTGTGGAATATAACTTGATTGGGAGCGTTACAAGCGGTAGCTTTGACAGAGACCTTGACGATACGGGGACAGTCTGACGGTGACAGTGACAATCAGGATAGTAGTGGTGGCAGTCTGACAGTGACTGTGGCGTCATAGGGACGATGACAGTTGGAAGGGTGACGGTGACAGTAGCAGTGATAGTGGGACAGTGACAGGTGGTGACAGTCATGACAGTGATGGTGACAGTAGCGTTGACAGTCGAGACGTTGACGGCGCTAACCCCCGGGCGGCTCTGACGGCGGTCCGTCCTTTCACAGGCGAGTAACCACGTATGATAGTGGCGCGCGGCCGACCGGCCGCACCCGGCTCCGCACCGGCGGCACTCCCATACAAACTCACACTCTCACTCACTCACTCACTCACTCAAACTCTCACTCACTCACTCGCTCGCTCGGTCTGTCTTACTTCGGGCTGCGCCGGGTCGGGGTTTCGCACGTCTTAAAGGTAGTGTGCCACCTTTGAAAGATTTCCCGTTTTATTTTTCCTAGGATAAGAAGCTTCTGTTTTTACCTAATATCGCAAAAAAAAATCAAAAATGGGCCTGGAATAGTGCCTTTTTCGCCTAAAAGTTTATCGGTTTTTAGATATGTATAACAACTGTAGTGGGCTCACCTGCAAACAGGCGTCGGGCAACAATCGCGAATGCGGCGCACTTGTGACAATAAGCAAAGGTCATTATAGTGTTACGACCATACGACGTACGGGAATGAGTTATCAGCTGTCTAATCGTAGACAACACAATGTCGAGCCTTAAACTGTAAGCCTGTATTGGTATTGTTTCTTAAATTTGGCTGTCGAACATTAATTTGTGGTTTGAAATATGATTTTATGTAAAATAATTGATATGAAACAGCCGTCTCTTAAGTTATGACCGGGACCCCATTACACCACACGCATGTGGCAGAAATGACAATGATCAGCTGACGCATTTTTCTTGGCCGAAGTCAGAGCGCGCGGCCCGACGCACCACGCGTATTTGGAAATTCCGACCGCGACGAGCATCAGAAGCCACCTAACAGGCGTGTTCGAAACCGCAGGAGATGATGATGAACGGGTTTATCGAAACTTGATTGGATGAGCCTATCGGTAATAGCGATTTTAGTGTGTGCATTTATTGTTCATAGTGGTGTGAAATGTGGTTGGGGTACGACCGACCACCCGTCGGGGCGAATTTCGCACTGGGGTACTCAAAATTTGAAGAATTTAAGACGTTTCCATAAGTTTTGAAGGTATGGATAAGTTCTAAAAATCCGGTTCTCCTTATCTGGGTCATTAACTCCATATGGTCCAAGAAAGCTGGCACACTACCTTTAAGTGTTACTGGCCATGGTTACTGGCTAGGGTTTCGCACGGCGTCGGTGCGCTGTGCCCGGTCGGAGAGAGCCTTTTGATGTCAATGTTGTGCCTCCCCGGCTGGTTTTGGGGAGAACTTGTGCGTCATCTCGTCTGGTGGTTGTACCCCTTTTGTGACTCGTACTGTTTGCGATATATATGATTGTCATCCCGGGGTCTTACAGTATTATGACGTCACTTTGAGTCAGCTGGGCGGGAGTGACCCCGCTGTGCTGGCGGTACTGTGTCTCGAATGGTGTCTATGGTGACGTCATTATGACGTCATTGTACGTTGTTGCGCGGCGATTGGCCGGCGGTATGTTGTTGATGTCTGTAAGCGCAGCTGTTGGGTGGGTTGAAGAACGTTCCGCGTTCGAGAGGGGTGTCATATCACATCCCTGAGAGGTATGTGTTGGGCAGATGAGCTGAGAGGTATCGGCAGGGTGTCTGTGTCAAATCATTCGGAGCGAACGTGTCAGGTGATATCAGTTTTGTAATCCAATACACGTGGAATGCCCTATGTATCGGTCAAACTGCATTTGTATACAAAATCCAAACACCAGCTCACTATTTGATTTGGCACACATTTCGGACACGAATGGGTACACATGTAACCTCTGCGCGGGGCTCTGGGACAATGTAGCCTCTGCGCGGGTCTCCGGTACAAGGTAACTCTGCGGTGTGGCATGTTCGTTGGCAGGACCCTGGCTGCGGGCTGACCGGCTGACCCCACCCACCGCTCCAGTATGGCTAGCTGCTCGCTCCGCCGCTATAGGCTGACCCTACCCTGCCTTTGCGGCTGTCGGCTGCCCTGCCAGGGTGCATGAGATCCCGATAGGTGTCTGCGACCCTCCGGGCGTATCCTGATCAGCTGCTCGGCTGACGATTTACCAGGCTGGCGTGTTCTTGTTGCGTGTGACCCCGCGCTCCTGGGCTATCAGTTCAGAAGCTCAGTCTCTACCCCTGCAGCTGCATTGAGGCCGAGCCTCGCCCTGACGAAGCCTCACTGCGCTCAGTTCCAGCTCAGTAGGCGGAACTATGGTCATGAGTACCCAAATATAGGAACGTCCCCATTTTTGGGAACGGAGTTCCCAAATATGGGAACGGGCGTTCCCATTTATGAGAACGGAAGGCAATTTTTCGGCCGTTCTCCCACTAAAACTCAAAAGTGCATCACGTCTCAAAAAAGTGCACGCTGATTTAAGTATCTACTAAATCTCCATAAAGTTATCTTTAATATGACCGTGGAACAAGGAAATTGACCGTGGAATGATATTTTTAATGATTTTTTGAAAATGACAGAATGGTGGAAATATGGGTTATACGACATTTAACATGCAATTTTAAGGAAAATGAAGCATTTTTTAGTTTGAGGTAAAGTATAATAATTTTCGCCTGGTTATGAACTTTCATACTATCGGCACCAGATGCTGACAAATGCAAGCGAAGACGCGGAAGGTCCCGAGGTAATATTGTTGACTTTTGTGTCGGGGCGGACGACCGCGTGGAACGTGAGTGAATTTACCGAGCTACTGTTGTAAACTCAGTTTAAGCGGTTGAAAATTATCCAGCTGTATTTTATCATCCCGGAAAGACATATTTTATTTGGATGCTAGCTGTTTAGTTGTTTTATAAGGAGCGTCATGAGCGTGGTTTTTGTCTTCCGTGTTTCTAAGCGTGATCGTTTTGGGGGAATTTCTCTTATATAGCTCGCTCTGTGTGGCTTATTTATAATTTTTATGCTGATTTCGATAATTCCTCGTGCCCATCCTACCAGGCCTTTTGCCACTTACACTCATCAAGAAAGGAAAAAACTAGATTTTCATTGGGGCTAGGTGTTTTGAGGGTGTAACATACTCAGCGTTCCCATTTTTGGATACTTCCTTGTACTCGTCAACTATCGGTGATAAACAGACAGGTGCTTGACATGTCTCCACCCTCGGCGCGGACGGTGGATATAGGTATGGAAGACCCTGTTGAACATCGCTGAGCGTTGTGAATTACGTAATCCTGCAGAGGGGGGCGTGCCCGCTGCGAGATCGACGGGAATAAAAGCGCAGAAGACCGGGCGAAACATGCGACGGTCTTGCCGGAAAGGTCATCTGATGATTGTTGCGTTAACAATAATTTGCGGCGTTGGACGTGATGCTTGTTAATGAAAAGAGCCCCTGAAAGGCGTCGGTGAAATCGTTCCCAATTTTGGGTACGCCGTTCCCATAATAAGGAACGCTTGCAGCGCCAGTGTACGAGAGCGTTCCCAAATTTGGGCTCGCGGCCCGGATGATGGACTGCTTTAAAAATAGGGGAACGATTTGAAACTACGATGGGCCTTACAATATCAAACTCTTTCCCAACAATATTGAGACAAATATCAGGCGGTTCACGATCGTTTTATATTTTTTGGACGTCATTTAACGGTTCTTTTTCTTGTTTTAAATAATGCCTACATGGCGTTCCCATATTTGGGTTTATCGTTCCCAAACATGGGAACGAAAATGCGTTCCCGAAAATGGGTACGCTTGACCATAGTTCCGCCTACTGAGCTGTTTTGCCAGGCCCCTCGCGTGCTGATCGTTAGTGTATTGTGCTTCAGACGCGCTAACCCTTCACCCACATAACGCTTCGCCTCACCCCACCTCACTTCGCCGCCCGCTCGGTGGAGCTTGCCGGAGCAGGGCTGGTGTTTGATGGTTTCAATGCATTTTGGTGTGATCGTCAACCCTTTTGAATTACATCCTTTATTCGTGAATACGTTTGTCGTGCCTTTATCACCTAAAGAGAATCATTTTGTGGCCTCGTTTGATGGTATATTTTGCATGTTCTTGATGTTAAGTGTTGTCATCATTATCGAATTTTCCGTCATTTTCTTTGTTCTACTGATTGACGACCAGCTCATTGTCTTCGCAACCAAATGAATTGAGTCTGGAACATGATCGTATTTATCTTATCATTGAAAAGCTGCTACGTTATCTATTTGTTTGCCGCTCAACAGCTAACCTCTCCCTTTCCCTCGTCGCTGGTCAGATGGATGAGAGCCCCTCGTCGGGCTCCCCAGCCGACACACCGGAGCCGCCTCCCGAGTCGCCGCCGCCTGCCGCCCCCGCCGCCGTCCCGGCGGGCGCAGCGGCCACCCCGGAGCGGCCGCCTCTGGGTCCCAAGCCGCGCATCGTGCCCCGGGTTAGCCTGCAGAGTAGAGAGAACAGCAAAGAGGGAGCCGCTCCGCCTGCCGCCGCCCCGCCAACACAGGTGGGTGTTGAGATGTGATGAGTTAACGTGGCGAGCGGGTTGAATGATGATAAGGGGTGTGTTATTGGTTGACAGTGTTACGGGTATCCGCGATGAGTGTGGATGCGGCTCAATGCGTATATCTGATCAGTCAGAACAATAACAGTCACCAAAATAGCAGCAATTGCAGTAGAATCTAGGAAGTAATAGAGATATCCAAACAGCTGCGACCAGGACCTTGTCAAGTGATTTTAGGATGTTTGCGAAGTTGGAAAATTTCCTTCATCTTATCTAAACACTGATGTATCTATTTGATGTTGCGTCAAACTCTGACCCCTCTGCCCTGCTGCAGCCGGCGGCGCCGGTGGTGCGGCCGGTCGTTCTGCCCGTCACACCAGCCGCCACGGCTTCTGCTGCTGCCGCCACCGCCACCGCCCAACCGTCCACAGAGGACGTGTCGCCCCAGCGGATGACGTTCTCGGCCAAGAAGCGGTTCTTCCAGGGCGACACGGCGGCTGCAGCCCGGCCGTCGTCCGCTCCACCGCCAGGTCAGTTAGGTCATAACTCAGGGGATTATGGCGCAAGTGTAGTTTGTACTTTGGCGGGCTGAAAATGTGACAATGTAAGCTGTTCACTTGGGATTTATCATGTGCGTGTCGGCTTCATGAGACCTAAGTCACCTATTTCGTTTTAGTTTCTTCCTGTTTGTGTCCTCTCTGAAGCTTTATTCGTGTTCTGATTATGGATAACGATTATTTAAGCTCTATGTTATTATTGGACTCTGCTGCCAACAGTGGTCGCCCAGAAGCCGCTGGTGGATACAAAGCCGAAACCGGCTGCTGTCGTGCCGGCTCCTGCCGTCTCAGCGCCAGCGCCGGTCCCTGTCTCGGCCCCAGCCCCGGCTCCGGCACCGGCTCCTGTCCCGGAGCTGGCTCCCGTCGCTGCTCCCGCGGCGGCTCCCGTCGCCCCGCCGCCGCCGATGCCGGCGCCGGCCGACGACCGCACCAGGTAAGCCCTCTTACTGTTTGGTCTGTTGGAACCGAGTAAGATGGCTTCCCTGTCATGAGAAGCTAGTAACGAAAATATTATACTTAATGGACAGGCTTGTGAGGAATCTCTGCAGGCTCAATTTGTTATCGAAGCATCCCATACGACATTGAGCTTTCTCGTAATGCTAGAGGACGTCTGACAGGCGGAAAAATGAACATCCCTTATGTGAACAACTCAGTGCGCAAGACCCAGACTCTGCCCTCTGAGCCGTCATGCGGTGAGTTGGTTGTCGTTACCAGTCGCCTCCCTAATCTGACGTCCTGCGCCTCCGTCAGTGACTCCAGCGAGCCGTCGTCCTCCGCTCTCCGTCGACCCCGGATGATGACCGCCAAGGCCGAGCGACGCCAGCGGGAACGTGCTGGAAACGCAGCCTCCACCGACGAACAACAGATGTCGCCGGCGGCGTGGCGCGCTCTCCAGGCCGAAAAGCGCGCTGCCTGGCGTCAGGCGCGGCTCAAGTCCCTTGAACAGGTAAATATGACAGCAGGACAGTGATGAAACCGATCAGGCGAGCTTAGATTGAGTCAGCAACAGTGTCGTTCTAGGGAATGCATGGCTTCATGACTTAATTCATGCCTCATTTACGCAAACAGCTTGTCTTGCTAGAATTGCCCTCTTCCCATCCCTTGTTTGTTTCCCTCATGCCTCCATGTCACCCAATATCATAAGTAGCATTCATAACTACCATAATTTCAAACAACCTCTTAATCGCTCTCTGGTGCCCGGCAGGACGCCATGCAGGCTCAGATCGTGATCCGCAAGATGAGCGAACTGGTGGAGGCTCCGGAGTCGGCTGACTCGAGTACGGCCGAGTCGGTGCCGGGCGGCGTGGACAACTCTCCTCGGCCGGCCCCGGTCACCACGGACGATAATGGCAACGGGGAGGAGAGCGGCGGTGAGGTGGGTCCGACGCCGAGACTGGACGGTCCGTGACGGCCGGCCGCTGACCACTAGAGGTGGGTGTCGAGACAGGGGGAGGGAGGGAACACTGGTGGAGGAGAGCGAGCTGTACAGAGCCGGTCAGAGGTGGTGGTGTGACGAGGGAAAGGACGGAGGTAGGCCGGCGGATGTGGGACGTGTGCTTGCGGGTGAGTAATGCGTTATAAATGGATGGCGATAAAGCGTTTGGGAGTTGAGCTGCAGTAACCAGGGCTGCCAATAACACTACTGATCATTGAGCACTTATTTGGCTGAAGCAGCTAATATCTGTCATTCGTCAGTAGCCATATCGCACCATTAATTCACTGACAGTCACTGCTAATTAATTCACTGCTGCATTTGTAACGGCCTTCCTTCCGCACACCGTTTGATGGCACGATGCGACCGTCCCATGCAGCCAGCTACTCACTTGCACAGTTCACGATCGCCATGCACTATTCACTGGCATTGCTCAGCTGCTGTTCAGCTGAATTGAGACGCACATGATCACTGGCTGAGTCACTATGCTGCTGTACAGCATAATATTTGATACGGCTGACCACCTTGGAATGTACTGACCGGGCCCGTGGCAACGTTTAATCACCCAGCGGAACTAACTTACAGTGCGATGCAGTGACGAGATGCTGCATACTCAGCTTGCACGCTTACTATTCCCGCGGTCATAGCTCTGTATTTTGATCGCCAATGCTCCGTAAATCTGCTTAAACCAAACTAATTCATCGTCACTATATACTCGAATCAGTTTTTTTTTATTGTGTAGAATAATACACTTTCATGAACGCATTTGTTTTCATTTGCGCATAAGGCGTCATCGAGTATTCACGTTGTGCTGAAACTGGACGTGTGTTCAGCCGTACCTCTGCAGAACTCGCCAGCCCCACCTAACCGTCGTTTCTCCTGTCGTCAGGACGAGCCGACGAGCCCCACATCGCCGAACGACAACAGCAAGCGGCGCCGACGGCGCAGGAGGAAGCGGTAGCCGTCTGGTGCGGGGCGGACGGGGCAGCTCTGCGCCCGGCCTATTTTTACAGCAGAACAATCAGCAGCTCGTCTGTAGCGCGACCGTCCGATGCAGCTAGTGAGTGAGAGAGAACTGTTTTAGAGGCAGCCGACTGGTGCAGCCATATCATGCGATCGCTTATCATTCCACTATTGACTGTTTGCCCGTGCAGCTTTTATTGAACTGCTTACTGCCCATGCTTAGTTAGTATTATTATAGCGCGTGCCATTAAACGCATGGCGTCTTTAAATGGCAGCGTCCGCAGAGGCTTGGGAGACGGGGAGGGGCGATGGGGGAGGCACAAAGCGGGCCGGTGGGACGGACACGGGAGGGGGAGGTGCAAGGCCCGCCGGCTGCGGTCGGCTAGAGGTTATTTTAGCCACCTGTTAGCCGCGGCGCTGATATGAGGCGATGGGGGGGGGGGGGGGGTGCAGTGCGGGGAGCCGGCTGGAGCAGAGCCGCTCAGGCCCCGGCGCCGCCCCGGTCTGTCGTCTGCGCGCCTGGGTCCGGGTGGGACCCGATGATCTGTTGACCGGGGTGCGGCGTGCGGGGCCGGGCTGTCCACAGAGTTCTCTGTGCCGAGGAGGGCTGGTTTCAGCCGCTGATGTGTCCGAGAAACTTATAGCAGAGATTTGTGCCCACGGTAAATGCTGACTACTTGACAAAAATACACGATGCTATCGTGATGCTCTCTTTTCTTCCCGGAGTCAATGGTATTGTGTAGGATGAGTGATTTTTGTTACGATTACGATTTGGTGAGGACTAGGCAATGAACTAAGCGATTTGTCAGATCGGGTAGTGTGACTTTTAGGCTATGGACCTAGCAGTCAATACATATTCGGCGCATATACCTCCCGACAGATATATTACAATTACAACGGTACACTACGATTGAACTCTACAGGCATGCAGACCGGTGAACTCTATAAATAGCATGATATCACTGGGCCGGCAGGCTTATAAAAATGTGAATGCTTAACAAAAAAATATATTCACCGCATTGTCAAGCTATGGCGCCGCCGAAGATTCAAGCCGCTGACATGGCTAAGGGGTGACAGATTGAACAGGGGGGGGGGGGGGGGCTCAGAGCTTGGCGTTGACGTGAATGGCCACCATGGGGTCCTCGTCGGATCCGCCGATGCTGATGTAGGCCCTGCCGTCGCCGCCGACGGTGATGGTCTTGCCGGTGCAGCCGCCGTTCTCCTTGTTGCCCGAGATGACGTCGCAGTAGCTGCCGGCCGACAGGGTGGTCTGCAGGTTCTGGTTCAGGTCATAGCCCTGGTTGTTGATGGCGATGAAGGCCTTGCCGGAGCGCGCGAAGGCGATCTGCTGGTCGCCATTGCTCCAGAAGTTGGACATGGCGGCGCCGTGGGCGGCGTTGCGGAAGCCGACCATGTTGTAGATCTGTCGCCAGCGGTGCTCGCACACCCAGCCGCCGCCGCACGAGTCGTCGGCGTTGATGGTGGGACTGGTGATGTGGCCAGAGCCGTCCTGCGGCGGGCCCTGGTCGTGCGAGTCGAATGCGTAGCTGCTCATGATGCGCGGGAACGCGTAAGGCTGCGCCATGACAAACGCCTGCGCCATCTTGTAGAGGCGCGCCTCCTTGTAGGTGATGACGCTGCCGCCGCCGTCGCCGCGCTGGTTGTCGTGGTTGTCGACGAACACCAGCGCCTGGTCGTCGGGCAGCATGCCCCAGCCGGTGCCCCAGTTGGAGGTGTAGGCCAGCTTGTCGCGCTTGCGGAAGAGATTGTTGATGTGGTCGCAGTGATGGAACTCGGTGACACGTCCAAGGCCGGTGTAGTCGGTGTTCTTGATGGGCTCGCCGCCGTGGTCAATCACCTCCTGGACGATGAACGGATTGCTGCCACTGACGCTCAGGTTGAACCGATGTACGGGGTCGGAGCTGACCTGGAGGCCGCTGAATATGGCCTGCAGGTCGCCGGGCCACATGTGCTTGGCGGCGTCCACGCGGAAGCCGGCGACGCCCAGGCTCAGCAGGTGGTTGAAGTACTCCTGGATCTTGCCGCGCACGTACGAGGTGCCCTGGTTGAGGTCGCGCAGCCCGCTGAGGCGGCAGTTGCGCACCTGGTTGGCGTCCTGGTAGTTGTCGATGTTGCCGTCTCCGCTGTGGCAGTTGTTGTCGTTGAAGTCGTTGCGGCCGTACGGCACGCCCGGGTACGACTCGCTGTTGGTGTCGTAGCTGCTGCCGCCGGTACCCTGGCCGCTGCCGCCGCCCGTCATGTGGTTGACCACGACGTCCACGTAGATGCGCACGCCGACCGCGTTGCAGCGCTGCACCATGTCCTTGAAGTCGTCCTCGTTACCGGAGCGCGAGACGAGCTTGTATGAGACGGGCTGGTAGCGCTCCCACCACGGCCGGCCATACTGCTGGATGCATTCATGAGGCGGCGAGATCTGTACGCCGGCGTAACCCTTGGGTCCGAGGAAGCGCTCGCACTCAGCGGCGATGTCGTTCCACTTCCACTCGAAGAGATGGACCATGGCCTGACGGTCGGGGTCGTTGTGCGGGTCGAACTGGGCGCACGCGGCGCCCAGCAGAGCCAGGAACACCAGCTGACGAGCCATGGTCTGTGGGACACGGCGACAGGCAGTGGCTCGCCGCGGCACGGTCCGCCTTTTATGGCGACGGCGGCAGGGACTATCGCCGCTGCAGCCTGCCGGTTCCCACCGGACGCGGCAGAGCCGGCCGTGGGACGCTGATGACACTGAATTGTCGGCCTCCACAGGGATCCAACGAATCTGGTCCACCACGAGCGCCGATACAACGGGATGGGACGCCTGTCCACCAACTCAGGAGTCCACTACCTTGGTCTGAAGAGTATCAACCAAACAGCGAGGGGCGCGGGCAGCCACCGGAAGAGGATGTGGGTGAAAGGGCGTGCGTGGGACGGTTCGCTGGACCCGGCCTGACAGTCTGACACCGCCGCGCGGCCAGCACTGTGAACGCTATGACAGCTACCGACCGCCCGGGGCCAGCGCTGAACATCTAGTGTAATGACTGGAGATGAAAATCACCGTCCGATCCAGTCAATAGCAGGACTATGGATGTTTCGAGTGTGTGGTTGTCATGAGTCATGTGGGCAATGCATAACATCGCTTTGCGCGGTTATCTAAATCACATGGCACGTACTTCTGGCAGTTTTACATAGACCTGTGAGACGTTCCATCGCTGTACACATGAACATTCTTTGTGGTGAGACCCAGTGGGACTTTGGAGGTTTAGCCTGCTAAACTCATCGCGACTGCACCTCCATAGCACCCCGTGTCCGATGCTAAGCGCGCAGTTCGCCACGTGCGGTACGGTTCAGACCATTCCCAGTATCGGAACGGCCGGACCAGAGGGCACCGAGAGCCTGCAGCCCGGGGTGATGGAGGACCAGCGAGCTCAGCTCAAGCCAACTTCGGTACGGAGCGCTTTACAATCGCCGCAACAAGAAAGGGAGAACGCGGTTACAAGTTACAACACTACCTTCACGCAAACATACGACAACACTTTGCGTTTTATTTTGCCAAAGCTTACTGGTAGTTCAGACGGATTATGACCGAAAAAAATTACCGCCCGCATCGTTCGGTAGACCGAAAACATCCTGTTATCGAAAGCGGGACTAATAATGTCATTGACACATACCTACTGAATATCCAGCCCCCGCGCCCGCCCCCGGCCACAAGCTGCGTAGGCGGGAAAATCCACCATTGTATATGGGAGATAGCCAACACGGTTCTAAAGCACAATAGGCGGTCAACACCGCACACATTTTTGTTTTGTCAAGCTGAATGACTCTTCAGTACATCGCTCTCCAATAGCTAGCATATCTGTGGCGCCGTCCGCTCTCCAATAGCTAGCATATCTGTGGCGCCGTCGCGTATAACACGATGTTTGGTAGAGAAAGCGGGGTACCTGCGGTTACTGGTTAGCCTTCCTTGGGTCACAAGCACGAGTTCTAGGATTTAATGGTCATTCACCTTCAGTGACCTTAGCTGACATTCACTGTTGCCATCACTCAACCTTGACTCAACCTACGTTGACCTCTGCTCGCAACTGCAGTGACCTGACTTGACCTCACCCACTGCCAGTGACCTGACCTGATCTCACCCACAACCTTTTTCGGTGACCTGAGCTGACCTCTACCCACTGGCAGTGACCTGAGATGACCCCTACCCGCCACCAGCCAGTGACCTGAGCCGGCGGATACCGGTCAGGTCAGGATACACCCGGTTCATCCCGCCGCCCACAGCACACACCCACCGGTGATGACCTTGAGTGAAGCCGTGGCAGTGCGCCCCGCCCCACACCTCCCAGCCACCTGTGTGCACTCTCACGGGCGCGGCGGCCCGCCATTGGCGGAACGGTGGGAGGCCCACACACCTCCCCTGATAGGCACGGAAGCAAACACTAGTCCGGCTGCGGACACGTGCCAACCATGGGACCGCGGCAGACCGCGCCCACCGCCACCCCCCGCTTATGTAAGCACGTGCAATTATAATATGAAATTGAGCTAGAAATGAACAGGTGAGGGACAGTCACGTGTGTGGGTGGCGGCGGGCACACTGGAGGAACATGTGATGGTTGGGTCACGTGCCGCGGTAGTAGTGCGAGCCGAGTCCTTGGTGTATTCAGAAGGCTGTAGGAGCGGGCTGGCCCTCCCGCTCGCGGCGTCCGAAATTGATGAAACTGTCACGTTTTGTTCGCAAACTTTACTTTGAAAAAAAATCAAGCTCCAAAACAAACTTATCAGAAAGCGAAATCTGTTCACGGCTAGCGGATCACTTTTTTGGGAAGAGTTTGACCAAACTATCGCAGCGCTCCAAAAACCCTTTCTGGGTTCGTCAATGAACCATGGCGATGAAATCACAAGAGAACCGGGTGCGTGCGCCTCTGTGCATACATCAGTCATTTATGAATTAAAGCACCAGAGTTTTTATCTTTCAGTATCGCAAGCAGTCCAGCAAAAACTATTAGATATGAGCCAAGCTAGCCCTTAAAATAAATTTTCTGAATTGAATTCGATTCACAATTGTTCCTATCGTCTTCCAGCAAACATCGTTACTCTGTCATGAGACCGTTTCGCTGCCTAGTTGGAACTCATCCATCTAGCACACAAAGCGATGGAGGACGAGTATATTTACAATCCGCGTTTTCATGAAAGTCATACATATCTCACTGCCGCTCTTAGCTCACTGGCGCCTGCTACGCTGACGCACCTAATAAGAACATTAACACCATCACGGGACATGGACTCGGCGACCGAGCGGCCGCCGACACGGCGGGTAAACCAGCTCGACGTCCGCCGGCGCCCCTCCAGCTCCGGAGCCGGCCGCCAGTCGGCGCTGGCGGCATCTCTGGCCGCCCGCCCACTGACCTGACACCAGATGACCCCGACCCACCCCGCCCCTGCCCCTCCCCGCAGCGCCGAGCGCGCGCCGCTCAGAACCTCAAGTGCGACTTGTTCCGGATCATAAACCTGCGAAAACACACGGAGAATGTGTAAAACCGGTTCTTCAAACTGTGTGCAAACGGGCGTACACTGAAAACAAAATGACACAAAAAACGACTAAAAACGCACAGGCAGATCGTGTTAACTAGGCTTTCTTGTGTACCCTGCATCATGCATTTTTTGACCCGTCGCAGACGTGTCAATTTACAAATGTGTTAACCCAGTCGTGTTGTGTCCTTAAACACAATATCATTGTGTCTTCAACTCATAAGGCTTGTGTGAATACATTTGCAGAATAAAAGGTAAATGTGTTACTAAATTTAAAACAAATCGCAAGTGAAAGAAGGAAACACGTGGTGATTATGTAGTTTGTTGCCGGGGCGCAGTTGAAGGGACTTTGGCTTGGGCTGGACAGGCTGACTGCCAAAGCCGGGCCCCGAGTGGAATCGGGCGCTCGGGTGCGGTCAGGGCTGAGCACCCGGCCGGCCGACCCATATGGTCAGGGCGCGGTCAGGGCTGAGCACGCGGCCGGCCGACCCATACGAGGCCGCAGACCCATACACAAGCTGGAGTTGCGCCCGGTCGGCCACTTCACAGCCGAAGGGTGAACGCGTCACGTGGATGGCTCAATCAGAGCGCCAAGTGACGATGCCCCAAATTGGAGTACTACTGTACAATACAGTTGTCCAGACATCCGGGATAAACTTACGGCCACTGATTTTTCAAATATATCCTATATAGACTGAGGAGTTTCTTCCTCCAAGCAGACGTTAATTAGCTATGCTTCAGCTTGCCCTTGATGTAATCAGCGCATATTGCTCTAAACAATTTATCATGTATCGACTCCCTCGGCTGTATTGTGCATTTTGACCTTTCTCAAAACACTTTGGCAAATCTTTACAAAAACCCAGCATAAAAGTCGGTGCTCGAAAAACGCCCTCTATTATCCCCATCTGAAGTTAAGGTTCAGAGGTCGCTCACTGGTGGATGACACGGTGTATTTGTGCAAGGGTACACGTCTACCATCCCCGACAACACATGATTTCGATACACTGATGCATTACATTCGTCCAGCGTGCTTGGCACGAGAAAACTGTGTCATTTTTCTGTTTTATGTGTTATCAAACGTGTCGAAGGTCCCGCCCAGCGTGAAAATACTCAGCATTATTGTGTTTTGGGTGCGATTAACACATGCCTGATGTGTTACCAGTACAGAACATGCCCTCACTGTGTCGATTTGTTTTCAGTGTAGGGTAAGGGCGGGTAAGAGTACGCGGGCGATAAGAGTACGCATCAGCTGTTTCGGTTGCTTAGCAACGCGGGTTTGTCGAGTTCATGAAGTGACATGAAGCCGCCAGTGCGTGCTTGTCACCAACGGAACGTGGGCGTTGAGCGGCGACGCTGTTGAGTTTAAGGCGATGAATATTATTTTCGAGCGTTATGATATTATTATGGTATGGTAAAATAATGTTGATACTTGGCAGTTCAGATAAGGTACATTTCCGCGATTGTTGTGGGAAACTTGTGAGGTTATCTGGGGAAATACTGTGCAGTGCAATATTCTGTTTGCGAAGTTTTGCACAACGTTTCGGGGTTGTTTTGTGCGCGAATTGCATGTACGGTAAGAGGACGCACTGTTCAGGAGGGTAAGAGTACGCAGAATTATACATTAAATCGAATATACAGAAATATACCATTATTAATCTATCGCTCAATGACGTTTGTTTTGTAGGTATATCATCAATGGAGCACTGTGATGCAGATGCGTACCCGAAATTCTTCCAAATACGAGTTATTCTCCCTTTTGATTGTGCATGTTTTTAAAGAAACACACGACATGATTATTTACTGATTTATAGACTTGAAAAATTTATTTTATGTTTTTCTTTTTGGATACTAGAATTAACTTGAATGCCCTCTGAGTTTGAAGTTAAGCATTTGGACAGTACAAGCTACATAGGTGTGTGTTCATATGCTTGCGTACTCCACCCGCCTGGCGTGCGTACTCTTACACACCCCATATGGTAAGAGTACGCAACTGCAGCGGTTCAGAAAATGTCAGTTTTAGACCACTTCCATTTACGCTGAAGGATCGTTGCCCCATGGGATGATGGCTAATTCAATGAACTTTAATATTCCCTATTTGCGATTTCTTTCTTTCAAATATTTAACAGATGAGAGCAAGAAATCCACTAAGTGCGTACTCTTATACGACTTCACCCTATGAGCCAACTTATTACCGGGGCTGAGACAAAACCACAGGCAGGAGAGCTCGTAACATACATAGCTGGAACAGGCACAAGGGATGCGAAAACGTTGGGAAACACAAGCAATCCGAAACCCAAAAATGGTGCGCAAGATATTAACACACGTTGCTGTTAACTTATACGTCCCGCAGTGAAACACATGATTTCAAACGCTTCATCAAAAACAGCAATATGCATGGAAAGTATCGATCATTCAAGGTCTGACGGGACAGCTGGATACCAAATTAGAATCTGCTCGAGCGATGAAGTGCATCTTAGGAGCAAATTATGACGAGATACCCCACAATTTTCTCGAGCCTGCTGGGCAATGACCTTTACGTGGACCTAATTTAACTCTACTCCGTCACGTAATCTACCTAAAACGCCATCCGATCGTTAGTTCGTGCATCGCTGCAGACTCGATCTAGTTGGTGTAGCACCTATCGCCGGACCCCCGTTCCACCCAGAGATCAAACAACACCCACACAACAGATCAGCACGGGTCGCGACTTACTTGTCCAGTTTCTCCCAGATGGTCATCAGCGTGGCGCGGTCCAGATGCCGCTTGGTCTTGGAGAGGTTCAGCACGGTGACGGCCCACCGGGCCACGTTGTTGTCCAGTTTCATCTCGTCCCACTTCAGGTGGAACGCTTGCACTGGCGGCGCACAAGAGGTGGTCTGGCGTTACAACATTGAATGGCAGGAAAAGCCATCGCTGGCCATCCCCACACTATGACGCAATAACGTAATATGAGCCAAAGTACGCATACTCCTACCCATCAAATCCACTAAGTCCAAGAACCAACGAACAGAAGCGGCTGCAACCATGATAGAAGCGGAGCGGGACTTCACTGACCGATATACGTTAACTTTGCGTTCAAATTATCGTATGGGACCATGTTTCGGATTGTCTGTTGCTCGCCGTTCTATCGATGCTTGTTGATATGCAAAATTTTACCTTTTACCAAAACCAGCATTCCTCCCCACGCCACCGCTCGCCCAAGACTCAGCAGCCCACCTTTGGTGAAGATCTCCACGGGGTTGCCGTCCCAGGGCCAGCCCTTGAACTGCCAGGCGGGCCCCATGACGAACACGGCCACCACCCGGTCCCAGTCGGCGTTGGTCAGCTTCGCTGGGTGGTCGATCACGCTGAAATGATAAGAAGGATTAGCAATGAATGACCAAGACAGACGCAAAACCATCCCCCGATCATCCTTCAAAGTGGACGGTGGATGTCATAGATAACGGTGGATGTCATAGATAAGGAGAAGAAGAAGATAACATGATATCCTAATGCCATGATATAATATCAGATAACATAGACCTTACGATGTCTTTGGAAATGTAACAATCACCGAGATCAATAATATCACAGTTAATATATCATCACTCTCCATGCCAGTCTCCAAGCACGGATGGTAAGAACCGGCCAGTGCCGATAATCGGTAGGAGAGCACAGACAGCAGTCACCTACCGGTACGGCACCGTCTGCCCGGCCGCCTTCTGACGCTGGATCAGCAGGTCGTTCTCGCGCTTGAAGCCCTGTTTCCGCTTCTCCTCAGAGGAGACGTACCTGGAAGAGGACACGGGATGGAGAGTGGTCAGAGTTGGTAGAAGAACACGTCGGAAGCTGGAACCGCCAGCCAACCAGCCCAAAAACATTGAACAAATTCACCGGCTGAGTGCGTGCTGTATTGTCAAGATAGTTACTAATCTGCACGGTAATTCTTTGCACCGATCTAGAGAATCACTACAATTAGCTGCAATGTCACAAACACCAGGCAAATATAAGCTCCTCCGGTCGCCCGATTATCGCCCTACCACACATTGCCAGCCCGTCTGAACCAACTGCCAGGGCCACTCACTTGAGGTCCTGCAGCAGCTCCTTGACGTTGTACATGCTGATGATGGAGGAAGGTGCCGCCGGGATGATGATGATGGGCGTCCGAGAGACGCGCTTGTTGGAGCTCTGCGGGGACGCCGTCGCTCGCTGTGGGGGAACAGACGGCGAATTGGTCACGCCAAAGCTGGCGGTGAGCTATTCCGACGGAACAACAAGCTAACTCAAGGAGCAAGTCAAGCTTGTGATAATTAAATTCGGACTTAATTTGTAAACGCAGCTAGAGCCACAAGATGGGCACAAGCATTTGCCATGATTATAAAGGAGATCAGCGTGCTAGGGCCACTCATAACTGGCCCATCGTGTTTTCACCCTTCACCGATTCAATCACAAGGTACCAGTCCACATGATAAATTTCCGTCCCCCGCCGCCGACAGAGCACCGCTCCCTCACCTGCGCCTGTGAGCCGATCTGAGCCGGCTGGGGCGGCGCCTTGCGCGGCTGCGAGCCCTCCGTCACCGACTTCAGTGTCATGCCGTGGTACGTGCCCATAGTGTCGATCTTGAATCCCTCAGTCTCCTCCTTGCCCTGGAAGCGCTCCTGGTCGTATCTGCTGTAGGGTGCCGGGTTCGGCCGGCCGGCCGGCGCCGGTCGCGGCGGCAGGCCAGCGCCCACGGCGGTCGGCGCCGGCGCCGGCGGACCGGACGGCTTGTGGCGGCCCTCCTCACGCGCCTTCAGCGACTGCAGCAGGCCGAATATGTTCTTCGCGAAGTTCTGGAACAGCACAGTAAAAAAAAAAAAAAACATGTCAGGAAAGATGGCAGGTTAAATGGTAGCATCTGCACAGCCAGGCTGGAGGGAAGGTATGCTGAATTGGTCGCACATCAGACTAGGGACGTATCATTCACTTCTAAGCAGCAGTCACTAAAAAAGTCGGTCAGTAGTGTTGCCCAAACATTCAAAAGCAGGCTACCAAGTTTCGTTTTCAGCCTGCAGCTGCATGACGTGCTCGTTTCGGCTAGCTGCGAGTTACGTTGCGTTCGCCAGCAACGCAATAACAGCGGCTGTTTTGTTAGCAATCGAGTACCCTAACAACGCACCGACATCCAGCCGGCTCCACTCGAGTTCAGCCACCGTACCTTTCCAGTGCTCTGCAGGATTGTGGTGCGTGTCCTCCACTGCCGCTCTCGTTCAATGATCACCTTCGTCATGTCAATGTCAAACTCCAGCATTCCTAAAAACAACGGTAAAACCATTAACAATAGTGTTGCAGGTCAGCAGCAGCTTACATGACAAAAGCTTTTAGCTGAGAAGCATATGAATGAAACAAAGTCTGGGGCAAGTTACAGAAATCTTGCTAGCTGCTATGGATTGTGATTGACAAGTTTTTTTCAACAAAAATAATAATAATGAGCTCAGTGCATCAATGAGGATAGACACAGCAGCTACCAAATTCGTCTCCTTTTCTAGCATCTTTTAATGAATCTTCTGCACTTACCCTTTAATTCTCCGCCTACGCCGATATCGTCGTTGTCTTTGATTCGAGTCCTTTTGTTGGCCATTCGTTTTGCCTTGATTTCGGCGATCTTCTCTACTGACATAGTTTCTGAGAGTGACCTGAAATGCGAGGATATGCAATCAGCAACAAACAAAGACAGCACTACACTACTACATTATATCTCACAAAGACAATGTCCACACCAAAGTGCCAGTTCCACACAAATCCCACAGAATATTACCAGGCGGTTACATGTACAGTTTCAAAACAGCGTGCATACTATCAGCTCTCCAGGTAATAACTCAATTCATAACTCATCATGGGTGCAATCGATGACTTACTTCAGTGTGTCAAGCCGGACAGAGGTCTCTTTGGAGGCGTCCAGCCTGGCAGCCAGCTGCTGCTTCTTGGCCTTCAGCAGGTCCACGTCGATGCGCGGTTTCTTGGCTGACGTCTCCCCAGTGTCCTCTGCCGTCCGCTTCACCTGGATCAAAAGGTAAGGTACCGCACGTGTTACTTCTCAAAATAAGGAGCATATAAAGCATGAGGTCTTGTGTGACACTTATCCTGGACGTAAACTCTGTGATTTACTGGCACTGCATATGGGGGGAGGGGGTGAATCGCGATAGAAAATTTTCAATTGAATTGCAGATGTAGGCAACACAATAACGATTTGCGTCGAGGGGCATATTCACAACCTTAAAGTTATCTATGACGAACATTGTAAAGAAGCATAGAGCTCTACAAGACCCTGTGAAACACCAAGGTGATGCTGTTCAGACAAACCTGTGTGGGAATCTCCAGAGGAGCCGACTTGTCGATGCTGGTGGAGCTGGAGGTGTCTCCATTGAGGTAGGCCAGCAGATCCTTCCTGTCTGGCCGACGTACCACAGGTATGTTCTCTGCCTGTGAGCGTGAACAGGAGCGTACACGTGGACTGTGGTCAACCTTCATTACAGGAGTAAAGAGATACAACTACAAGCACCTAGTTCATGTGTGTTCATACTTCATTATTCATTAGTACCTAGCTGTTTAACACAGTATCTGTGCTGGTATAAAAAACCTTATAAGAACCCTTACCATTGATGCTTGCAAAATCAGCTTGGGTCATGACAATCTTTGTGCAATGCAGTCCTCAGAAAAACAGCTTTTCGATGAAAAAAATGCACATGGATTCAGGATTCCGTCATCAACTACCAATACACGGCTCAACAGCAAGATACTTACTGCAGCTTGTCGCACATACACTGGATGAGTGACATGCACATTCTTGAGCAAGAACAGCAGACACTCCATTGTGTAGTACTCCTTGGTCTGGCCATCTTTGCCAGATCTGAAAAATTGAGTAAATACAATTAACCCGGCCATGCTGGTGATCCGAGTTAGCCATGCCTTGCTGGGGGAGGGGGGTCAAAACCCCCATCCAACTCAGGTCCTTGGCCACGTAGCGACACGCGGTAAGCAGCATTTGAAAAAAAATCTTAGAAAATACTTCAGACATTTATTAGGTCTGATCTCATTTTGATCTTACTTTTATCTCATATCAACCATTTAGTCTCAAGTGGGGAAAAACTCTTTAAAGGGACCCTCCCACCTTCAAAAAAGTTAATGAATTGGCATGAAAGTGATGTCGCTCGGTTCAGAAAGAGCAAAAACGAATACCTACCAAACTTCATCGAAAAATATTCACCGGTTTTCAAGATATTAGACTTTTACTTTTGTTTACTTTTTGGGATCTCCGCTGTTCCTAGCGACTTTATTTGAAAGTGCGGCATTTGTTGCGTGCAAAGCAGCATATACCGCCGCGTGCTACAAAACGTTTTAGTCAAACATTTAACGGACGTTCGAAAGCCTGATGACGTATTCTTTCTTACCTGGTTCTTACCTGGTGGGGTTTCCTCCACCTCGCAGCTCAGGTCAGGCAAGGGATGAGGTAGAAGGAAACCCGTGTACAAAGGGACACGCCAGTTTTCAAGATGAACAAGACGGTAAATACAACTACTCAACTCCAAAACTGGAAATGTGTGTCCTAAGTGTGTAATACAGGAATAATGCATCAATACGGAGTGTTTACATTTATATCACAATAGCATTATCAGTTCTAGTAGGTGTAACTAAACATAATCATATAGCAGATCGCCTAACGTTCTGGCCAGCAGCCGTTTAAATGTGGATACATCTACTGAAGTCACGACATCATCTGGCAGGCTGTTCCACACAGTGACTCTACGTTGCGAGAAAGAGCGCTGACGCAGGTCAGATAGAGTGCGCGACACATGAATCTTTAAACTATGTCCACGCGTTCCCCGATGTAGAGGCTGAACGAACATATTCCCAGGGGCAATTGAACTCTTCCCATGGAAAATTTTCCAGTATTCAATGAGATCAGCACGAAGAAGGCGCCCTTGCACTGAGAATAGGTCCAGTTCCTTCAGCCTCTCCAAGTAGGTCAGATTCTCAAGGCCTTCTATCTGCTTTGTCCATCTGCGCTGAACGCCTTCAAGCCTACGCATGTCGTCAATGAAGCCTGTACACCACACACAGGAAGCGTACTCCAGTATAGGTCTTATGTGCGTCTTAAGCAAAAACAACATAAAGTCTCGAGAACGACATACCGTAGATTTAGCAAAATTATAAGACAATCCAGAAGCCTTATGAGCCACAGAAGCAATATGATCATGGAACTTTAACGAGACATCAACTAATACACCTAAATCGCGTTGTGAACGGCACACAGGAAGTGGAGTTCCATCCATAGTATACATAGGAACAGACTGATTTTTAGATTTGCGGGAAAAACGTAACACAACGCACTTTTCCTTGTTCATCCTCAAGCCCCAAGACACAGATGTCTTGTGCAGCACATCAATGTCATTCTGTAACACTCCATCAGTGTGGGGATTCGACATCGAGTTAGCAGTAACTGAAGCGTACAATTTTAAATCGTCGGCGAATATTTTGTAACAACAGGACAGTTTAGAACCTATAAAGTTAATATAAATTAAGAACAACAAAGGTCCCAACACGGAGCCTTGTGGAACACCGCTGTAGACATTTCTGGTGCTACTGTTAAGTCCATTAACACACACTTGCATCAGACGGTCAGAGAGAAAAGAAGAGATCCATGATAAAAGTTGACCTTTAATGCCTATGAGTTCTAGTTTTGTAAGCAAAACTTGGTGGCATACTACATCGAAAGCCTTTGAATAATCAAAAAGCACAAGATCCACTGTTTGCCCTGCATCTACTTTGGCTGAGATATCCTCATATACAAGAATAAGCTGCTCCATCGTGGATCTACCCTGTCTAAACCCGAACTGGTGAACAGACAGTAGTTCGTTGGCTTCTAAATACGAGTAGATGTGCTTCACAATAAGGCGCTCCAACGTTTTGCAACACACAGCAGTGAGACTCACTGGCCTATAATTGAGAGGGTCATAGCGACTACCTTTCTTAAACAGCGGAACAACAGTGGATCTCTTCCAGGCGCTTGGAACTAAACCTTCCGAGAGCGATCGGGTGAAAATCACATAAATCGGGTAACTTAGGGTATCTGAGCAGTTTTTCAAGATCAGTGGGTGGAGGAAGTCGGGACCCATCGCGGAGTTCGGGTTTAAGGCGCGTAGATATGTGCGGACCTCCTCAACAGTAATTCGCAATGGTTCAATTTCACCGTCGTAGCACTGGTGAGGCTCCTGTGAAACAGGGACTTCTTTGACAAACACTGAAGCAAATGAAGAGACCAGAAATTCGCTCATAACTTTTGGGTCCGAAGAAATATGTCCATCCGCTTGCCGAAGTGGACCAACCGACATTGTTCCTACTTTCTTTGATCTTATGTAGGAGTGCAATGACTTTGGCGATTCCCGAAATCTTTCAATCATAGAATATTCATACGACGCCTGAGATGAAACATTAAAATTTCTCACTCGCTTATTAACACCAGCAAACTGACTGTACGCATCACGAGCCGCAGAGGACGTCCGACCAACCACCGACCGAACCTTTTTATATTTCATCCAAGCTTCATGTCTTTCTTTAAGCAATCCTCTAGACGGTTTTGTTGGCCACGGTGGTTCACAGCGATTGTTCTTGTTTTGCAATGGCACATTCTCAACTACATGAGCAGTGACTATATCCCTAAATTTATCAAATGAGTCAGATGCATTCAAATACCTTAACTCGTGATCCCAATCGACTACCCGTAGCTCTTCATTCAATCTCGTGTAATTTCCTTTATGCCAGGCGAACTTCTCAGGACCTGAGAACACTTCTGTTTTACTTTCGCTGAACACGTAGTCAAAAACTATGGGACAATGATCACAGGCTGGCATGGGAGCTTCGACAACTAAATTACCCATTCTATCATGCTCAGTAGTCAGTACAAGATCTAGAATATTTCCAGACCTGGGGAAAGTGGGCTCTGAGACCCACTGCATTAGGCCAGCAGACTCAAATACATCCAAAAATGCTCTCTCCATTGGAGGAACGGAACCCACTGGTCGACTCCCAACTTCGCACCACTGAATATTAGGGAGATTTAGATCCCCAAGTATCACAATTTCCCTATTCTTTATCTGGAGTTTTAGGTCTTCTAAGAGCATTTCGTTTTCAGCTACACTATTTGATGGTGGCCTATAAACACACAGGAAATACACATTGTATTTGGTCAATTTAAACAGAAGGGCATTTTCCATTGAGGTAGAAATTATATCTACTAACAAATTCTCATGTACATAAATGCAAACACCATGTTTCTCAACCGTACCAACGACATCCTTCCGGAAAAGTTGAAAATGGGGTATGTTTATGAAAGAGCTACTGATAGTTGAGGTTAGATGAGATTCAGTGACACAGACAACTTTCAAATCATGCTGGTTTATAAAATTGATGAGCGAACCCAGTTTATTACAAACACCATTTAAATTAACAGTGCAACATCTAACTGCCGTGTGTCGTGAGCTGGCAGACTGGCCTCCTAGTTTACCGGGGTGGTCTGGGACACTGTCCCTGCACTATCCTGTGCTGAAGTTGCCTGAATGGCTTCAATGACGTCATCAGATTCCCGTAATGGTTTAGAGATAGGGACCACGCTGGTCCCACCCTGCAAGTAAAGGGAAGAAATTTCTTGAACACCATAAAGCTGCGGGGGTTGCGACCAGGATAAATGGTGGTTTCTGAGCCTGGCCGTAAACTTGGCTATCTCAACTCAAAACTAATGTTAAGGTGGGAGGGTCCCTTTACACAGCCATTTTTGCAGATGTTTTCTGCAAAACTTTTGAGCCAAGAGAGTTACAACGTTGCTTTAGCCAGCATCAGGTGCTCTTGACAAGACGCATCAAATGAATTACGCCTAATTTAACCTTGAATCTTAATAAGGTCCTTTGGGAAATTTGAACTCAGGTCAAGGTGAAAAGGTTGTATCTGACTGGAAAGGTCAGATACAACCTTTCCAGTCAGATACGACCTTACACCACAAGCTGACCTTAGCTAAGCTATTTTTATTGCAATTAACATGTCTCTCAAAATTTAAAAAAAAACTGGTGGAGACCTTCCATGACTAAGATGACATCACAATGATCAGGGGCATAAAGAGAGGCTATGGGCAGCATTTTGTGATTTGGTGCATCATGTTTGATGATAATTTGGTGTTTTAGGGCGCACCAGCAACGAGGTTATATGGCTGCATCATGTTTACCTGTTATCCAAATTCCAACGTTTGAGTGTTAAGTTTACGTTTTGTCCAAAAGAGGCACACTTTAATTTCCTCCCATCGACTTGTAATGGTAATGGAAGTCACAAAATTTAGACTTAACGTTTTAGCATAAAATAAGCATGTACACATGCGCCGCTTTCGCCGTAAAAACTTACCCCCATACCAAGTAGTTCGTGTTCACGGTTTTCGGGAAAGAAAATTCTCCAAACACAATGTTATTATCACGTTCGATAATTTCCTTCTTATTGATATTGTACTGTCGAAGCAGGCCTAGAGGATCCGCCATGATTGCACTCTAAAATACAACACAAAACAGCCGCCACCGCCGCCACAAACGACGCACAATCAATGATTGTCAAGGTTACTTTTTAGGAAGACATATAAGACTAACGAATTATTTTGATGACGTCATAAGATCGTTATTTCATCGCAGCGACATCGGAAGGATCGGAAGTATCGCAGGTGCGTACATTTCTACCAGAGAACTGAGAAGTACTGCAGAGCGACATTTTTGAAGTATGATAATCGTATTTACCAGCTACATTGATATGGGGCTCACTTTCCTTTCTAACTTGGTCTTGGAACTTTGAAACGAGCCATAGGAGCCAGGAGACCCAAGTTTCCCTGTGAAACGGCACTCGCGTTGTGTGCGCCTATGGGACTCGGGGTGGGATGCTAGCCTCTCTGGACGGGGGGAGTCCGGTGCCTCTGTCTGATCATAGGTAACCGATTATTAGGGGAGAAAACTAATTCGTAGAACAGTCTTAATCCAGGTGGTTCAGCATAATGGTAACAAAAAAGTGCAATTTAGGTCCTACCAAACTAATCACTGCAGCTGTTTTTTTTATCAAAAAGATAAAAATAAAAGGACGTCAATGAAGAAATTTTTGGATCCCCACCACCAGCGACCACCTATCCATCAGCGAATCCCCGCAAAAATATCATTCGAGAGAGTAGTCTATTTGCAGCAGCGAACACATGGACACTGACGCGCCCCGCAGCTGGTAAGCTCTGTCCAGCGGCGGCCACCTCTGGAGGACCTGAAGCACCGCCCAATGCCCGCCGCCGGCGCCCCGGTGCAGCCGCACAACTTCATATATCACTTGAGTGCGTAAACAAAACGTATAAAGCGTGACGGTGCGGTCTCGCCGCGCACCGTCTGAGCACCGCGGCGCCCGCAGGCGCGCCTCACAGCTCGCCGACCGGCCGGTGCCGGGCAGCGACACCCAGAGCGGCCCGGCCACACCCGGGCGGCCAGCGCGCCACACAACAGGAGGTAATCTCGGTGCCGGCCGCCGCGCCGCGCACAGGAATGCACACATTACGTGGTCGAACGAGCCGCGACCGCCGCGCCCCCAGCGGCGGGGAGAAGCGGGCGCGCCGGTCAAAATATCACAATCCTTCCCGCCTTTGGACACTGGCTGACCGGCAACACGCGTCGGTAACTCGGCTCACGCGCATACAGACACGCGCACACACATACATGTGCGATATACAAGACAAAATTCATATTGGGTGAGCATGCGCTTATTTCTGGTTTTGGCACAGACATCAACATACACAGACCTCCATGTTGCACTCATTTACACAAAAAATTCTCAGTGAGTGATATTCTAACTAAACGCAGTCAAGCGTAATGCCTCTACTAACACACACCAACAAAACACTAGCACCGTCTCAGCCGAGCTCCTGCACGTACGACTTGGGGAAGTAACCCATCTGAAATCAAATAGAAACGCCGTCACAAAACAAACCATACACCACACGACTGAATACCACGACCCTGCTTCAAAGGCACGCCATAACTTCATTTCTTTGCACTTGATTGTATTTGAATATTATTATTGTAAAGTTGAATAGCACTGAAACCCCTCAACAATACATGATACCTCCACTGACACTAATCATCGCGAATAGGAGCCATGTTTTAGCACAACGCACTGTACGCTCCTTTATGCATCGTTTACTAGCAGCAACATGTAATCTTTTAATAGCTCCCCCATCCCTCTCATCTAAACACCCAATCATGTCCCCACGTCCGCCGGCGGCACAGAGAGGACGTACCCTGTCGCCAGTGTGTCCTTACACCAGCCCCGCGACTCGCGGCTGTCACGCTACAGGACGGGAGGGAATTAGGACTCACCCTATCGCCGATGCGTCCCTTCCACCAGCCCTGCGACTCGCTGTCGCGCGACAGGATGACCACCTCGTCTCCGACGTTCAACGGCAGCATATTAGGTGCCCGGCCGTTCGGTGTGTATTTAAACTTGACGACGGCCCGGTCGTCCTGGCGCAGCGGCCGCCCCAGCGACATCAGCAGTCTGCCGGTCAAAAATCCGGCCGATTAGGGACAGCCAAAGAACACACAGGGTCAGCAGAGGGTCACACAGGGTCAGGAAGAGTCGGGGTCAAATCAGGGCGGCATGGCCAGGTCAAGGTCACGGTAAGATGAGGGTCAAATAAGGCCAGATCATGGTCATTGGATGAGGGTCACACGTTGAGATGAGGATCGCAGATGGTCAGATCACGGTCAGAATCAGATAAAGGTCACATAAGACCAGGGACTCGTTTCATAAAGCGAGTCCGTAACTTACGCCGGTTTTTGGTCTTTTATTGCAAGCGCATGTGAAGCGATGATGATAGTTTGAATCGTTGAATTTATTTATCTTGAAAGCAAGAACAGAAGAGAGAAGGAGAAATAAATTTATCGCTTCACATGCGCTTGCAATACAAGCCCAAAAACCGGCGTAAGTTACGGACTCGCTTTATGAAACGAGGCCCTGGTCACGGTTAGCGCTATAAAGGCCACAGGGGGCAAAGAACATGCCCCGATACCCCACGCTCGCCCCACCCGGCCGGCGTCCCCATCCTCAGCGCGCGCCCACGTACCCGGAGAAGTTTTCCGAGAGGCTGTTGTGCTGGTAGTACTGCACCAGCTGGGTGATGGACGGGAACAGCCGCGCCGGACTGAGACTGTAACGGGTCGGCGTGTCGTCACTCTGGCGGATCTTCATGTGGCTCACCTTCTCCGCCGCTCTGTGGACGCACCGCGACGGGTTAGTCAGAGGACCATTTGAAACAACTATTTGAATTAGCTATGGCATTTGCCACTCGGTTCGTCTTCATCCAACTCCTCTTCCCATCCCTCTCTTCCCCTCCTACAGAATCGGGATCCCTCGCACTCACCGTAGACTGAGCACAGTCTTGTTGTCCTGCGCCGCCGAGACGCGCACCAGGAAGGTACCCGGCGCGCGGTTCTCGAGCGCGCGCTCCGCCTCGACTCGGTCCATCTCGCCGGCCCACCAGGGCTGCTCCTCCTCACTCAGATTCACGTAGTCGGGCTGGTGCGTCAGACTGATGACCGGTGAGCTCACGGCCGACTCGCCCGTGCCCGAGGAGGATAGACTGCGCGAGGCCGACAGCGATGACGCCGGACGCTGTGGGAGACAAGACGGGGAGGGAGGGCTGTCTTAGCTGGGGTTGGCTAGGCGGTCGAGCCAACAGAACTATAGTCGTTTCACATTTGCTGCTACTACGTAGTTAGAATAGAAGAGTACGTAGTAGAATGACAAAAGCGAAAATACCTATATAAAAATAAAGGCTCACGTAAACGCACATGCATATATAACGGTTCTGATGTTTTCAGCATTATTGTAAAACATCGAACAACATAATATTCTATTACTTAATAAAACAAAAACAAATCCGGCTAGGTCCGAGTTGTGTTTGCAGTTGAGCGTTTACCAGCACTCAGCAGCTTAAGAGATGACTCTTAGGCGTGCTGCATGTTTTGACCAGCACAACGTGTCCATAACTTCTGTCCCTTGAAATAACCATTTTCGGAGTCAGATTAAGTATTTTTTTTTTAAGTATTGTGAATGGTGGTTTACGACTGATTAGGTACATATTATATTGTCCGGCCAAGATTCGGAGTTACGAGAGTTTGATTATTAATACTGAGTTACGCATATGATATCTAAACAAGTATCTAATTACGTCTAAAAACAAGGAGAGTGTCTACAATGGATAACCGAAGGTTTGTTGTCAATAGTTAAAACACTATTCTTTATAATTGTGTTTTTCTATTGAAAAACAAATCTGAGTTCCCTGACAATTTGGCAAAAGCTGCCTGAGATCAGTACAACTTGATGCTCTTGAAAACGGCTGCTTCAAAAATTCTGATTTTTTCAGGATTTCTAGTGGGCCAGGTGATCTACGGTCTCCCCTCCGCGGACCATCTGGTGCACGTGCCACGTGACTTTGAAAATTCCCGTGTTAAGCCAATGGGCAAAATGAAAAAAATGCGTTCCACGGCAGATTGCTCGAAAACGATCCAAACGACCCCCCATTTTCTTCCATGCAGATCAACCACCATTCGGTGCACTACCCATGGGTATGTCGCAAAGTGGCCGGAAAAGTCCAGAACCACGTGCCACGTGCCGTTGAAAATGACCCTGCACACCGGAAATTGGGACTTTTGGTCATTTCGGCGCACCCATGATGCATACTATGGCGTGGGTGACCAAACAATGGGTGCCATCCGGTCGGCAACTGTTTAAGGTGTCGTCCAGTGGGCCAAAGTGGTAGTTTCAAGCTTTTGGGATCCACCATTCTGGGGATTCTTTTTGACAATATACTTACGTTTCTTGGCGCACTGTTCATTCCACCCAGCCGGTCGTCAATGCGTTAGGTGACCCAAATGACGATTGACCTGAAGGAAGTTGGGGGCGAGGAACACGCACGTGCCATCCGTTTTGTAATCGGGCGCTTTCATCTAGGAGCTTTTTGCAGATATCTTTTTGATTTGTGAAAATGACCAGCCTAGCGGTATGCCAGTCGTTGATAAATTATTATCTTGCTGCGGCCGGGCGCTTATTTGCGGTGTTTGCGTTTAGCGGCTGGCGGGCGACTTTAAGTCGTTTTCGGTTAGCAGTTAGCGTCGGTGCGGTGCGGGCGGTTTTATTTTTTTCGGCGTTTCGGCGTTTTTTTCTGTGTGGTTTGCGGCGGTCGGGCGATTTTTTTGCCGTTTGCGTTGGCTTTTCGGGCGTGCGTTTTACACGTTTTGCGGTGTTTACGTTTTGCGGCGGGCGGGCGTTTCGTGTTTTTTTGCGGTGTTTGTCTTTGGCGGCGGGCGGGCGGGCGGGCGATGCGGGCGGTTTTCTTTTTTTGCGTCGTTTGCGGTGTTAAATTTGTTTGCGGTTGGCGGCCGCTTTTTCGTTTTTTTTTTTTGCGGTGTTTTTTTTTTTTGGTGGCGGGCGGGCGATTTTTAGGCGTTTTCGGTTGGCGGTTAGCGGGTGTGCGATGCGGGCGGTTTGATTGTTTTGCGGCGTTTTTGCGTTTTTTTTTTATTTGCGGTTTGCGGCGGGCGGGCGTTTGTTTATTTTTTGCGACCTTTGCGTTGGCGTTTCGGGTGTGCGTTTTGCGCGTTTTGCGGTGTTTGCGTTTTGCGGCGGGCGGGCGTTTTTCACAATTCAAAGTCAAACCTTCGGGCCACAGCGCTCCTCGAAAAGCGCTGCCCTCGAGTAACGTCAATGGATAGCTGGCTGTTCCTTCCCACTAACACGGTCGCGTTAACTTCACGCATTGATGGCACGAATAGTTCACGACGAGTTCACGAGTATGTAGTTCGGAGGCATATTTACGTCTGGACAACGAGTTGCGGGGAAAAGTGCTGATTTTGTCGCAGTTTTAGGAGCCGGTGATTCGGCTGGATTTTTAGGTTACTTTTTCGTTCCGATTCCTGTATTTCATAGTGTTTAGCTTTTAAATATTTTAGTTCTCTCAGAAAAATATTACTTGCCTTAGAGATTTGGTTAAATTCTTTCATTTTTATAAGCCGACCGCTAGAGTCATAAAACAATACATCAGCACTACAATTATTGTAAACAAACAAATGGAGCACACCGCCTTGGCTCTGTTCCAAGGCCTTTTTCAAGTTCATCTGGTGTTTTCGTACTCGTGTACGTCGTTTTGTTGGAAGTTTCGGATCCCTTGTGATTGAATTATATCATATTAAAGAAACATGTTGACTGAAAACAATTCCAAGTATCCAGGAGGCTAAGGCTCCAGAGTCCTGACTCCTGAGCCCTGAGCAATATTGATATCAAGTTGAATTTAGGAAATGTTGGTTGATAAACGCAAGTTGGTCTGGCTCACTTATCAGCAAGAAAAAGTAAAATTAAAAGAGCTTATTGGTCAAAAACAAGCTATACTATTGCAGGAGATCATGAAGAGCACGCTGAGCAATACCAAGCCAGAAAATGCTGGCTGATGAACGCATATTGATGTATTGGTGTGAATATTGAATTATAACTTACAACAGCAAGATTAATTTGTGCTAACTATCAAGTGAAAAAATCTAGAATGAATGAACTCGGATAGCTTTACTTTGCAGAATGGTAATGTCGTAATGTGCATTACTCAGTGTCTGGCAAATGAAACACACAATCATTCCATTGCTACTGGAGGAGACAGCTTGCCGCTTGGATCACTAAATCAGCTTAATGTTTGATGTGATGTTCATCATTACTTTGCATTTTTTGAAAAAGGATTTTAGAAGAATTTTCAATGTGACATACAATCCATGCAACGATGTGATCATATGATGTGTTCATAGTCATGAGTGATAATTGGTCCAATATACAATAGCAAAGCTGTCAGCATTTCTTTCTGTGGATGGCCAGAAATGACTCAGAACATAGAAGTATTAATTTTCTTCACAGGACTGGGATAAAAAGTACTGAGGGTAATCTTCCAGCAAGGAACTTAATAGTTTATTTTGACTTGGTATGAGATGTAGGCACAAGTAGGTAGGTACTTAGTCATATAGCTAGTAGTTGTGGTTAGTTGGGTGCTCTTATATTAGGTTGTAGTTTTTAAATTGCCTAGTGTCCATAAAATGTGACCTGAGGGCTGAGCATACCTGACTAACCTGACCTAACCTCAATCATCATTCATCACACATATTTGCAACCTACCCAAGACCTGCATAGCAGTAGCACTCAGTTATAGGTAGGTACTTACTCACCCTAGCTCCATCTCACCTGCTAACCTTCAACTTGCCAACAGTTAGCTCACCTTGCCAAGCCGTATCCAACGATCCAGGGAAACAGTCAAATGAGGAACTGGCTCATTGGGTGGCTGGTGAGAGTCTGTGCGTTTAAAGTGTCTCTTCTCTGAAGCTGCTCAGCAGTCAGCACTACAGTGTATGCCATGTTAGATGCTCAGAAAAATGTGGGAAATGATAACTAGGCTACTTTAGTGCTTTGTTCATGCTCAAGACATCAACAAGTACAAATCCTGTGGGGTAAAGCTATGAGCTGGATGAGTAATGAGTATGCCAGGCCAGGTGAGTGTGCTGTTGGACTGTAGTAAATATACAAACAAACACAGGGTCACAGTTATATTCAATCTCCACAAAAACATACAACAAAAACGCCCATAGCCTCACTCCGACTCCGAGCACACAACAAATAGCTAAGCCTTGCAGTCACAAAAACGCTTTGATTTACAAGATAGGTATACAATATATCCTCTGTCCTTGGGGATCTTCCTGCCAAGTTGAAGTAAGATGACTGAACTTCAGGATTGATCAACCTTTTCTTCTTAGCCACAGCTTCAGCTTATATACGAGAAAGACTAAATGCTTGGTTGATTAACTGCCTTGAAAATTGTATGATCCATCTTCAATTCTGACATGAAGGCACAAAGAAAATAGTTCCCTCTCCTCTTGGAATACACAAAACAAAATATGTAAAATTTAATAACTTCTTAGTTGTAGTGGATGGACAAGAGCAATTATCATAGCTTCCCCTCAAGTAAACCTCTGGCACTGATGAACTACACTGACACCTCTGATCCAAGATAAACTTGAAATGTGTGAATCTGTCTAGTCAATCATACAACGGATGGAACTTGAGGTCAATATGATATTTTGCGATACAACGTTACTTTGGAACATTTTTGCATGTTTGCTTCATATTTTGTAACAAACGCGCAAGAACTGCAATATTACAGCACTATATACTTCTGGACAAAATGCAATGGTAGTGAAAACTTAGCGCTCATGGTATTCATTCTTGGCCAAACGTAATCACAAAATGTTTTTGTAGTAACTATTAAATTCCAGCCAAAAACAGTGCGCGGGTTCAAAAAGAATCATTCCGATGACGGTCCATTCTTGCGGTCCTGAAATCGCCACTATTTCCGGCCTCTCCAACGCAACTCGTTGTCCAGACGTAAATATGCAGTTCGGAGGTGCTGACGAGATACAAAACTACGAAATACTGCCTACGAGAGTGTGGGGTCTTCCTGGACATTGTAACGCCCAGGACAGGAATACCATGCAACGTCCTGGACATTGCCATTCCACAGGACTAAACTGAGCGATAATATTATATTCCTTGACAATATATTAAACCGTCAAAATTCGTGATTCTGGTCAACCCTTCCCTGGCCCACACTTTTTATCTTTCTTCGATGCTCTTTTCTCTTCTTTAACCTTTTCTGCTCCTCTTCAATCATGACTAGAGGCGAGCAGCTGTTAGGTGTATTTAGGCAATATCTTCTCTTCTCTGTAATACATAGTTGTGTCTCTGGCATTCCGTATGTTGTCTCCTCCGCAGGGAATAAAAATGGTGATGACGATAAGAGATAATTGAAACAAGAATGACTACATAAGTGAATATGAATTCAAAAGGAAGAACTCATATTTTCCATGTGGTGTGACGAAGCCTTCACGAATTACACAACACGCAAACTCTTCGTGCCAACATGCAGGAAATGCACAAGCCATGTGTTAACTCCTCTGGCCAGTTCGTGTCAATGTGGACACTGATGCGTGCGCATTCGTGATTTCGTGAAATGGTTATAACCTCGTCGTGAACTAAGCGTGAGCTAGTCGTGAACAGTGCGGGAGCCTCCCAGTTCGGACGAGAAAAAAAATCCCCTTGCCACGCAAAATCGTGGCCAAAAGTCGTGAAGGGTGCCTTAATCAGCTTGACTTAACCTTTGTCTCGCAGTTCATCCCTTCCGCATTATTGGTTGCTTTTAATTACCACACTTGCCTTTCCAGCCGTAATTAAACGAAATTAATGGTGTTCAGATGCAGCGATGCAACGTAACATGAAGCCACAGCGCGACCCGCGCGGCACAGGTCACTCACCGTGCGTGGGGTGGTGTAGCGGCCATTCATCGGCGACCCCTGAAAGCCAGCCGAACGCTCATCACGACATTCACTGAGGCGCAGAGCAGGCGGGGAGCGGGGGAGGGTGGCGTGCCGACGCAGCTGGGAAGGGGGAGGGGAGGGCGAGGGAGGGGCGACAGCAGGCGTGCATTGTGCGGGGCGAGTCTAAAAACTAAAGGGTGACGGATATACTGTCAAATCATATACATTACACATTATACCAACTGTGTGGATGTACGACTTAAATGCGATATACAGTACATAAAGCACAAGACAAAATGTCCTTTGTACTAACCATAAGCCTAAGATATCCATCTAGCAAGCGTAGGAAAAGACGAAAGAATGATAAGTCCCGAACTAAGACAGATAGAAAACTTGGTATGAACCTTATTTGGCTAAGTCTGTATGCCAATTGCTTATCGAAAACGCGATAATAAATGTAAACAAGTAGTAAGTACAATGAATTAAATTGCAGTTGCAAGCGCACTTCTAAAATTACCAGAACGAAACATGAACAGCTCCAAATAAACAATCAACATTCATCAAGCAGGCAGGACGATTCAAAAGACGCACACTTAGAAGCGTCCCAAATGTCATTGCCAAGCGATTTCGAAAGCGACTCTGAAGCTCCCAAGCCCCTCGGATAAGAGTTGGGACGTGCAAAGTGTCTTTGGTAACTGACAAAAAGACCCAGCCGTCAGTCGCGAGACTGGTGTTGTATCTCTTCCGTTCGTGATCAATGATCCCGTCTGGAGAACTAAAGCGTTCTGTGCGTCACGAGACCAATCCCCTTTATACTTATATCCTTTTCTACTATTTACCATTGCTGAACTTAGCGAGCCCTCCCCCAGAAATACAGCCCACGCCCGGCCATAGATGCCATTTTCGTGCTATTTCCTTCTCATCCATTCAAGCCTTGATTCAAGAACCAATTACGCCAGTGACGTCACACCACGCATACACCAGTGACGTCACACTGACCTGGTGGTGTGTAGGCGCCGAGCGACTGGGCAGCTGCACGGCACACACGTCAGCCTCGCTGTCCTCGGCCTGCGGTGGCCGCGGAGGCAGGCTGGGCGGCTGGCGGGCCCCGCACATGCCACTCGCCTGGATACAGTGTTTGTGCGCCTTCCGCTGGCACTGTGAGCACCGGTAGCCCTGAGAGAAAGAGCAGAGGTTATGAAGGTGGGGTGATGGGGACATCACGCGAATTGGGTGTCTGTCCATTAGTTGTTGTGATGGACTGATGGGTCAGCAGCTCCCACGTCGGGCTCCTTTTCCAGGCATCGAGACGGGCTCCTGCTGGCTTGTGATGAATATTGGCGAGTAATTCGATGCTCTGAATTTTATGGGTTCAATAACGGCGGTCGACAGGCCATAAATTGGGAGCGACAAAACAAGCAATATGTTGAGCGGTTTACAGTAAAACCAGTACGATATCCATTTTCCGGAAGCGACTGGCAGAATATGCCGACTAGGGGCAAGCTGGAGGAAGTTTGAAGATGACAATGACAAAAACGGTTACGACTGAGGGCAATGACTATTGAACGCGGCAAATATAACAATTATGAGGGCGTGTCTTAGTACACAGTGCAAATATGGTATAAATTCCCGGTCTTCGTAAAGACAGAGTTCGAATCTCCAAAGGCGGGGTACGATGACACATTTGAAAAAAAAGAAACGGTTGGACCGAAATAAAACTATAGCTCAAACGCTGAGCTACAGACACAAGCACGGAACAGTCAGTGGCTTCACTCCAATTTACACCCCCCCCCCCCATCCAAAAAAGGTTAAACAGCCGTTGGATGGAACAAACTGGCCCATGGCACAAGCAACGAACGTAAAAAAAATCATAGAAAATAATCGCCTCGTAAATTAAATGGTAATTTGCCACGCGCAGCAGTCTTCAAATAAGCTTTTGGCGGCACCAGCATTTCCATGTTTCTATATGATCATTTTCAGCCAATCTCAAGTGACCTCTGAATAGCTCTCCAGCACTGGCAGGTGAATAAAGAGCAGGCAACTCACCGTTGCAGTTGGGAATTTGTCCATTGCCAATGTCCCATTTAACAACAAAACCCTACATCTGCTCACGCCCACCCAGCGCCGGTGCGGACCCGCTTAGAGACGGCACCACACACCGCGCACCCAACCGGTCCAGTCACAGCGCAACGCCAACTGATGGTGTCTGACCTTGACCCGGGTCACCGCCCGCTGACCGCGTGACCTGACCCCGCCCGACCCACGCCGCCGCAGGGCATGGACCGGGAGATTAAAATCTTCGCTCGGCAGCGAGTGTCAGAGTTGGTGACCTGTTATTTGACTTCACCACAACGTCAGTTTGGCGCTTCGTTTGACTGACACCAGAGGAAGAATATTATGTGTAGAATATTATTCGCTAGTTTTGATTCTAAGTTTTGAATTGGGTCTACTTTCATCATTGTCGCCAGGCTGTCGCCGTTGTCATTCGCGTTCGCTGTCACCCGAAAACGAAAATAATTCCAAGTTGTGACAAATGCCGTTCGTAATCGCTTAAAAGACGAAGATTCTACGAGACGTTAGAATAATTATCGTCGCCCCCCTAGTCTTTGAGCATACATCACTGATAAGTGCGGCACTGATGACACAGGCTTTGTAAGAAGCATAACTAGCTGTTTATGAATAATCAATCTTGCTTGGTATAACAAACCCCTAGGAGATCGCAACACTTGTGCATCAATATTCAATATTCAAGGCTGTCTTCTCACCAAATAACGGACACAACTCATCAATCATAATAGTGACCGAGCACTACTTTAAGAACTTAGCACATCCACGGCCGTCGAGACTCGAGGGACTCCCGTGTTTTGAAGAGAAGCTAGAATCTATAGAAAGACTCACCTGTAGGAAGATGCCTTTGAGCAGTTTGAGGCAGGTATCGCACTCCTCGGGCCCGCTGAACGTGGTCAGTGAGAAGGTGTGGTCCGTGTACTTGTTCTCACTGGGGTCCACGTGCTCCCTGCAACACGGCAGGCAGACTGGTCAGACTCCGACCTCTGGTCAGTAGTAGCAGACCGCTTCTTATCAGATGCCTGACAAGAACAATCAGGCGACACTGGTCAGTCGCCACCTGTCCATCGACCAGCGCGGCGGACAAGGGTCGAGAAGGCAAGGAAACAGGCGTTACTGGAAACTACCAAAGCAGCAGAAGTAACATGCCTTGGTGCTATGATGATCTACACTACAAGACAGCTAATCTACGCCGGCTACTATGTAGAGCGTTTAAACGCGCGGTGGCGGCAACTGGCCACCTTCGAACTGATCTACCGACTCAAGACAGCTCCCACAGCTGGATTCACTTTCTTTTAAACAATGCCCACGACCGACCACCAGTCAACCCCATTCCCCCTCCCCTAACAATCACCAATCCCACCAGCACGACCACCGGATCTTACAGCGCCTCTTCGATGGCCTTGATCCAGATGCGTTTCATCTCCTCCGTCTTGGCGAACAGCTGGTAGACGGTTTTGCGCTCCTTGTGAACCAGGTGCCACGAGTGCGACCAGCGCGCCTCGGTCCGTTGAGACTTGTCGTCGAGGTAGAAGTCCCTAATCCGTAGCGAGTCCTTGTAGCAGTACTGCTCGCCCTGTAGAGAGGGGGACGAGTGGGGTCTGTTAGAAGGGAGAGGAAAGGGAGAGGAGCGGAGAGCAGCGGTTGGGCAGGATGGCTGAGGTTAGAGGAAAGCAGAAGGCTCGTGTATCAGCGGAGGACATTAGTACAGGATGGTTAGGGTTAGTGAAATGAGACGGAAAAGCTCATAGATGAGCAAATAAAGGCAAGCATGCGGAATGGAGTGGCATCAGAACGCAAATTAACGAGCGACGACAGCTGACGTTGAGAAACGTACAGAAAGGAGCTGCTAAAATGAGGATTTAAGGAAAGACGATATGTGTCGCTTGATACCTCCATGAATGGACAGGCACATAGTTTGGTCCACAGTGGCTCTGAAGGAATGGTGTTGACAGCGGACAAACATCGCCTACGGGCCCAGTAAATACGGAATGGCTCGCCCGAGGAAGGTCAAGGTGATGGGAGCGTCACCAGCTGCCGCACCGCTAGGTGTAGGGAGTCACTGAGGGGGGGGGGGAGGGCTGTTAGTATGACCGCTACAGAGCCCGAGGGGAATGGATTGGCAGGTTAGTCGATGTAGTATCCGTCCGTACAGCGGGGAACGGGGAGGGAGTGAGAGGCGTGACATGTCGGTGTGAGGGCTCAGGTGGCTCTGATGGCCGATGAGAAGCAGGAGAAAATGAACGGCAGCGTTTTACACGTTAGTGAGGGGCATGAAGACGGCGGTGAAAGGATAAAAACGTCACCTAGGCGCAATATGGATGCAGTTCTCAGTACAAACACGTTTCTTGTTAGTTAAAATGCAATTAGTGTCGATTGTCATCTTGGAAGGTAACGTTAAAGAATCGGGCACCGGAATGAATTATAATCATATCTAGCGCTGATTAAATTTACTCAGAACCGACACGGGCAGTAAGCAAAACCAGCTCAATACTTCGCACCACCCAAGCACCACCATCTTACCCAGAACATTTTCTCCACAATCTTCCGCCGCAAGTAAGAGCAAAATCAAGCGTTAGACATATCGCGCCAGGCACAGCCCCAAGCATAAGGACATCATTCACATGGCATGACATTTTCAGCGGCACGTGTGAAAATCCGCCGGTAATCAGTTGAGAACACACGACTGCCTGGTACGAGCCACGTTATGACATTCACGGAATCGCCACAGCTTGGAGGCGGGAAGGTGACATGCAACGGTTCACTCATGCAAGGGCGGCTAGGGTGCTGGAGCAGCCTGGGTTTTATAATGACACGGACGGATCAAAGTGCGGGCTGGGAGTAGTTAGTTGTCTTTCCGCTCATCCTCTGAAAACATAACGATATTCAGAGCGACGACAGCGGTGGAGCGGCACCGAAAAAGCCGAATAGCTGAGTTGGACTAACAAAGAGTAGAGACGACAGGAATGCAGCTGGATGCATCGCTTTGAGTCGATATCCTACTAAAAAATACAGTGTGACATATCGGCCGTGCCACCGTAATGTGCCCCCAGTTATTACCAGAACCAAGACCTCTGTTATAATAACATACTCAAATATAAACTTGGTGGCGGAGACTAGAGACCGGAAAATAGTGCAGGGATCGAACACAGTACCGGATATAAATGATGCAGGAAACCACGACCGACATAATTCGCTAAATCGAATCATCCCCCGAAAACGGAAGCAGGATATCGATAGCAATCAGAATTCGGGAATCCGTCGACGTTCATTCTTGACAGCTGGGCACCACGCAGGCCTCAAACCCACCCCACACTGCAAATGAAAACCCGATGAACGACTTCCAAAAAATAACTAGTCAGCCTGGTTTGCTCTGCCACCTCTGTGCAATGCCTGCCCTACACCATCAAACCGTCATATTGCAGCGGCGAATGTACGGCGGCAAGCGGCGAGCGGTGGCTGGGGAGAGACGAGCGAGCGGCGAGCGGCGGACGAGCGTCTGCCCGGCGGCGAGCGGCCGGCAGGCCCAGAAATACACCGGTCGTCTGGGACAGGCCTGCACTGCCCCAGCCGAGCCCGGTAGAATAAGGAAGCAATGCGTTTGGGGCGCGCCAGCCCAGACAGCGAGACGTCCAGGGAATAATCGCATTAGTGCCGCACCGTCCAGGCGCCGTCAGTCAGGCGCAGTGACACGGCGATGGGGCGACTGGCTCGACGGAAACTGGTATCGATGCGACAGATGGGTCATTAGAGACAGGCTGCAGCAAGCAAATGTTAGAGATACCGAACATATCAGCAACGATCAGAGCAAGATGAGGGCCAATGACGTCAATCGACCGCCAAACGCTCGGGCGTTGGTCGGCCGTGCCTGGTTTGTGTCAGGGCGAACGATTGTCGTCTGAGCTAACGAGCCAGCTGCTAAGCTATCTCAGATATTCCTCTACGGGCTCAAGCCCCGGCCGCCAGCGAGCCTAACTTAGTGAGACACGGATCGCATGGGGCAGGAAGGAGATTGGCAATCACAGGACTATTCTAGAGGATCCCCGCAGAGGTGCGGGGACTGGCTTGTGAGAATTCGTGGCACAGGCGAACACGTGTTCTAAATAACTTAAAACCCTAGGGATCCAATAACTTTGTGCGATAATTCACAGAAACGAGGTGGTTTGAATATGATAATCATATGCATACCATGCGGAACGGTACTTAAAGCTCAACAGGGAATTTCGAAACCGGCACCAGAGCTAATTTCAGCCCGGCAGCTCTGGTATTCGGAGAGCTCCCATCGACCGCAGCTGTTGGCACATATAGCCGCGCTGGATAACTTTCCAGCACAGTTATAAACAATTATGAAGGCTGCAGAAGGCTCGCCAAAACTTGTCCCATGACTGAACACAAACGCCACTCCTCATAGACGGGCGTGACACCATCAGAAGGATCAGATTATTACACATTCAGGACCGACCTAAGCTGCCAGGCAAGGCGCAGCAGAAGGACGCCAAGTCCACCGCCAGTCGTTGAACAAAAATTCGCACGTTTTCCCCGACACGAAGGTTCACTTCCGTTGAGAGCGATCGTTAGGATGATTAAGATTACAGGCGATCCGGTCTAATGCATTTCGGGTGTAGCTTTCTCTAAAAGATAGCACGTTAACGATCTGATGGCCCAACCAGTCAGAAATAGATGCGCCTCTCTAATCGAATTCACTGTGAAATGACGAGATATTCCTAACCTACTGGGGCATATGAAGACGCCTACTATAGCAGAAGAAAAGTTCGGGCTCCCATTTGAGTTCCTGGCGCGTCCTTTGCGCTGACAGTTGCAGATATTGGTACGGGCACTGAATACAGACGGGCCACCCACAAGGATTTCGGGACGTTGCGAACTCCTCATGGATACTGATACTTGCAGAAACAGGCGCCCACATCGCACGTAGCTGGAAGCGAGGACAGCCCGGCGTTCGAAATACGCGGACATCACACTCACGGAGTGACGAATGTTTCGCAACAGACGTTAGCAGTTGGGACAATGGACATCAATAATGCACAGCGACCGACGGACTTGCGACCCCTAAGCGGCTCTGATACGTTCCTAGCCGCAGCGAGACGCAACCAACTCCCCTGACGTCACAGAACACGCGTTTTTACATCCATGAGGCGATCAATGCCTCAGCGACAACCACAACCGACTAGTGCGCGATTCATTAAGCCACAAAAAGCCGGCTTATGACGACAGAACGACGCAAAGCAGGACAAAATCCGACAGGGCAGGACGGCGCAGAGGTGTCGTCAGCGAGCCGCCACGGCCCTCCGACACCCACTCACAAGAGCGAGCGCATCCTTTTCGTCCAGTTTGCCGGCGCTCCAGCGTTTGGGGGTGGTGAAAAGCTGTGAGCGCTGCCGGCCGCCACGGGCAGGGGCGGTTGGGGAGGGTGGGGTTATCGGGGAACACATCGTGGGGTCACGGGGTCATCGTGCGTACATGCACATCGCACATACACCACATGCACACAGGCATGAGTGAGTTATACAATATACACGATACACAGAGGTATATAATATAGATATCATCATATCAGACTTCAGAGTAGCGTAGAATCACCTAGATCAGTCCCACGCACAAGGGGGAAAAGCTCAAAAAATTGAGCGCTCAAAAAATTGAGCGGGCCCCATTATGAAGGAATAGGCGAAACGATGGTATTTTACAATGCCTTTAGCGTCACACTACGGCAAATATCGTATCCAAATAAGGTATCAATGGCAAGAGAGAGCAACAAGGTTTCTTCTCGAACACTCGCCGTGATAATTTACATCGGTGTTTTTGGAAAGAAAATGCCCTAAAGACGCTCAACTTTTTGAGCGCTACTTGTCGTTCGGGACCGCGATACTCAATAAATTGAGCGCCACGACAGAGGACAGTCAGCTGGCGCTCAAAAAATTGAGTGCCGGCCAGCATCTACACTCAATTTTTTGAGCGTTCTCCGTGACAGGTGAAGCCGGTACTGGCTGCCATTTTTGATGTTATGTTCGTTGAAATACGTTAAACTGAGTTGAAACAGAAATGCAGGAAGTTGAATGCTACGTGGTACCTAAACTTTTCACAAACCCATGACATCATGTCACATTTTCCGCTAGTAGTTTTATCGGTCTTTCGGATTCGGCACACCTCAAATAATTATACAAGGCTTGAATAATCCGTATGAATACTGTAATTGATATTCTCTGACTGTACTGGGAGAAGGGAATACGTGAATACAGAGATATCCACCCACCCTTGAATATTGGAGAATTATAGCAGGAAAAACTGTATTGCCACAGTTACAACTTACAAGGCCATCGGCCGCAAACAAACAAAAATACTATACAATGTGGGTTAGATTCACAAACATCATCAAGTGTGGAACACAGAGACGAGCAAAACAACATCACATTATCGCATGCCAGCCCGACCACATTGGAACCGGGTCCGGGTGACCTGCGACCGGAACCTGCGTCTTGCCAGCATACATCACAAAAGCAGGAGGCAGTGTCGTACTGCTTTGATCCAAAATATGCCATATAACAAATGATATAAATGACCTAAGCTCGGACTAAGCTTATCATTATCAAATCCTTAACATGTAAAAGACGAATGGAAACATCGAGTCTCAGACCAGCAGTAGCAACGATCACAGTAGCAACATCACAAAGAACACGCGGCATTATCAGACAGCCGTTTTGTTATCGGGCTACAGGCGGCGACGGCGTGGTTGCAGACCAGCTGCGAGGTAGCGGCGTGCGGGCAAAAGGCGCGGGCACACCTCCATGTGGCCGTGCGGACAGTGCGCGGTCGGCGTCGCATAGTAGGCGGCATCGGGCTGTCCCGGGCCGTCGAAGCCGCACAGGTTGTCGGCGCATGTGAGCGCGCGCGGTCACCACGGCCAGCTGCTCACCGCCAGCACAGACTGCGCAGCGTCGCCGCTCCGCCGGCCAGAACACGCAGACAACCCTTCTTGCAGTCGCACAACACGTCGCCAAACTCATTCACCTGCTCCACCATGTTGTTGATGTCACCGAGTCGTTCGAGTTGTGGCTCGTGCCGTCGAGCATGACCTGCCCGATCGGACACGGGTCAGCGGCTTCTGCTCCAGCGAAGTCTTCATCTTAGTGACGTCTTGCTGATCTCCACAAAGGCTCAGCAGATGACCTTACCCACAGAGACGGCCGACGTCCTCGCCAGCGACCGCTTGGTTGTGCAGACCTGCCAGAAAAAGAAAAGCTGTTTGGTGATCTCAAACGATTTTTTTCTTTATGCAGTGGAACAAAACGGAAAATATGTCATACAACAGGAACTAAAAAAAAGATGCAGCCTAGGTCGTCTAAGAAATGGGTGCAACATTGATAAAATTCTTCATTGAATGAATTCTGCAAATGCTTTTAATAAAATGTGTGGTGATTATAAGGAGACCACTTTACTATAAAATTGCTCAGGATTCCCTATCTGGACCTGTCAAAAAATCCTGACTGCACACCAACAATGAGCATTAAATCCAAAACCTCTACCAGGTACCTAGGGATAATTAAATTATGATTCAGGAAAATATTTCACATCATACAAATAAAAACCTTTACTATATTGAAACTGAAAATGTGATGCTGATCCAGTGACCTAAGGGTCTCAAAGTATAATAATGAATTAATCAATTATAAATTTGGTGGTGACTGCCGACTGGCGTCTGGCGGCCTTGAGGCTTGAAAGTGGCCTTCCTTTTCCGTTGACTCCGATCCTCCAGATGGAAATGATATAAAGGATCATTTTTATCTTATTTCATATGAGCGAGCCAGTCAGCAAAGTGGCTATCCTGTTTCAGCATTCACCCACACAATAGTTGACTGTCAGTCTGTCACGCTGTCAGTGTTGTGAAGTAATGAAGGAGTTGAGTTTTGTTGATTATAAATTGTGATGTTATGTAAAGGACTGGAAAAAGAATGTGAAAACTATGGAAACATATTGGCAGAGTATTGTCACTTACTATCAGGACATATGGATAGAGAATACATTCAAATTAATAAGAAATGCCAAATATCAAGGTACTCAATCACTGATAGCAGTGGACTATCATATGTTTTAATGTCATTTATATGAAAGTTAAGACTGAAACTACCTTTTACCTCATCATAACTAATGAAAAATTGTGTGAAGAAAACATTCACAGCCTCTTTGAAGCACTTAGACCACTAAAAAACAAAAATTTTCACGTAAATATGTTGTGTCTCCTTCCTTCAAAACATCATATCGGATGGCGCCACTTTCGTCGACAGTTACTTATCTGCACGCAAATCGAGGAAAACGTGAATTGATTGACGTTTACGTGTTTCCAAATTTAAAATCACAGCATATTCAAACTTTTCAGTGTACCTTTTAACATCTAAGTACAACTAACACGATAAAAACTTACCCTCAACACAAGGACGACGACAACCACGCGACCGGAGACGTCGCGACGAAATAAACAAACGGCGCCGCCAAATGAAAAATATTCTCCGATATTGGTATTGTGAAATTGAATCGCAATCATTTCAGTCGGTGACACACCAGGGAAATAAGCTAAAATTAGAGCGCTCTATTTATTGCTCCCGCTACTTCACCGTCTCCCATAGGGTCCTGTGTTGAGCTGGTGTCGAGGCTCTAAAAATGACGCCGATTTTTGCACCCTTCTCACGAAAACCGCTCGGACCGCCTGGAAACTAATTGTTCCGCTCTAAAAATTTCATGATCGACGGGAAAATGAATGAGGAAAAGATTGGTCCTGAAATAATTCTGAACTCCCTGTAGAACATATCGAAATATGGCTGCAAACTAGGAGCATGTCAAAATCGACAAAACAATACGAATAAACTTACCGGGATTTTTTTATTATCCATGCATCTGTGTATGAAATCAGTCGGTTTTTCGGAAAGATCATCTTCTGTTTAATAAATAATTCCACAATTGCAATCGAGAAAAAAAAACATTTCTGCTGTGACAGCAGTTTTGGCATTGTGCCAGTAGTGTGGCGTGCGCGGTGCTTCGTGGTCGTCGGGACGGAGTTGTGAGTATTTTCGGTGTTTTAAATGGTTGATGGCCATTTGAACCAGCTTTATATTATTTCCTACACATTTTTGCATCAAATTATTGCTTTGAAAGACCATTGAAACCCCTTATCTCTTCATGAAACACGATCATATTCATCGTCGACGAAAATGGCGCGGAACTCCATGTGCGTTCCGATCGAAATAAATCGTAAATTAAATAATATTCGATGATAAGTATCATATTCTAGTGACACATTTTCATAAAATAAGGCATAAACTTTGCAAGGAAGTCAACATTGGATAATTGGATTCTTATTTTGCTCACATATCCTTGTGTAGTCAAATGGCTCAATTGTTAGATAAATGTAAGCATATGTTTTGGCTTGATGTTTGCTGTGAAACCACCCAGCCACTTGCTGGTTGAGTGGTTTTGATAATTACCTGATAATCATTTCTCCTTTTCCTTAAAAGAAACTAAAATTCTTTTCAAAGTAATCCATTTTTAGGAAAGGCGGCTTGCTCATTGACATTTCATGTTCTTGTTTTGTTATTGCTGGCAGTATTTTGATACAATAATGCAATATGAATTTTTTGCAATAATAAAACCTAAGACAAACTTAGTTAATGCGTCAATCAAACACCCAACAGAAAGATTGTGAGTCTTTGTGACGTGAAGTAGAATATTCTATGAATGTGTTATATAGAATATGCCAAATTTTAAATTAATTTATAATTTGATACTGATAGCTGAGCATGTGAATTATGCCACAATATAATTTCATTTTCTGGTTTTGAAATAGCCGGCAGTATTTTACTTCAACAAATGTAATATACATGGAATACGTGTTGTTATGTTAAAAGTTTATATAATAGCAAACAGAAGGGGCTGTTTCAGCAGATAATGTTTGTACCTTATGCATTACCTTTCTTTTCTGCAGGACCATGCTTCCGCTGGGTTGTCGACATTTGCCTCCTGAAGAAGTTGAGCAACATGAAGACCACCAGATGAGGTGTCTGCAGTTCATGTGGAACTCTGCAGACTACAAGTGTTATGCCAACCACAACCAAGGTGCTGTGATCATGGAGGCATGAACCTCATGACAACACTTCAGATTTGCAGTTGTACCAAAGTGTGATTCAAACCACCTGTGGCATCTCACTCAATGTGTGAACAGTGTGATCATTGTGCAGTGTTCAGCTGCAACTAAGACATTTATTAGTGACTTGTTTTGCAATTAGCCACCAAAAGCATTTTTTTGGGCTGGCTGCTGTAATTTGTTGTGCACTGCGCAATAGTGGTAGTGTTTTGTCACTTGTCAAGCTGTCAGTTGTGCATGTTGCATGTTTCTCTTCCCTCGGCCCTCATTATCAGTTAAGTGGTGAATTGGCATCACTCAGTCTCAGTCTCCCCAGATCTCCATTGACTGTCAACCACCTAACTTGAGATGGTATTTGCTAATAGTGTCAGAAAAGAAGTGATTGTAGACATTTTTAGGAATATGAGCTCCGTTTCATGCGTGTTGCAGTGGTCATTTTGTCACTTGTCCCATAGTGTAATAAATGGAAACTGTTGTTCCCTTTTCAAGGTACTCGCGGATGCAGAAAGCGTTGGGCCTAATTATTAAACGCACCCTTCTATCAGCGACGCACGAAATCGACAAATATCATCCTTTTTAGAGCAGGAGGAAACGAAAACTTGTGAACATAGCTGTACCTACAACAGTGCATAAGGAATTGAAATTCTGGGAGTTTTTGAAATTCGGAGAAACTCAAGTTGTCGACAGGTATGCCCCCTTCACCCTTGTACGTCAAAGACCGCCTAAAAAACAAACGTCTACAAATGAAGGCAGTATTCGTATGTTCGTTGTAATTGCAGCAGCCTAGCAACATGCATTGCGGTCCGATGGCGAATTACACTCGTGCTAAAAAACTATGCCGGTAACTGCCAACGTACTTAAGTCATATAGGTGAGGAGAGGAAGGGTTATGTCAAATGTCAACATCAAAGAAATGGCTTCATCTGAGCTGTGCCTATTGTACATAATTCAACCAATCTATGCATTTCGTTTCTTGCAATCTACTCATGCTTTCACTCCAGCTTCAGAGTAATCATCCCATATTGTACGTCTTAAGATATTGATTTCTATGGCAGTTTGCAATTGCTAGCCACGTCTCACCTCAGTTTGGTGGCCCCGCATCGGCCCACTCGGCCGCTCTAAAATTGACTTACGGAGGAGGATGGTGGCTTTTATTTTAGCTTCTCCGCTGACTGCGGGGAGCGCCGTCGCCGAGGTAGGAGCAATAATTAGCTTATGTTTGGGACTCATTTCCACGCTTAATTAACATTTGAATGTTATTTTAATTAATTCATGTTAATCTTTGACGCATTCTCTTTCTATTGATACCATCCACCGGTCTGAGAATTACTGCCTTGCTGCGTAAGGGCCGATAAAAGATCACGCTTTTAGGGGTATCTCTTCAACATGGGGCAGGAGCAATAAATAGAGCGCTCTAATTTTAGCTTATTTCCCTGGTATGTCACCAACTGATTTTGGGTAGTATGAAAAATGCTCTTTCCAACAGAACCCTAGAAAAAAACGTGAATGGACAAAAAATAACTTTTATTTCGACATAAATATTGGCCTGTTTTTAAGTCATCCTGGTATGCCGTAAGATTTCGACCTATAAATTGGTGTTCCCCCAATCATTGAAGCTTGAGCAGTGAAAAATATGAAAGCCTAATCTGTTTTGCATCATTAGTGATTCTCCTAGGGTGTTGCCATTTCTCCCTAGGTGTTGCGAGTTGCTTTTGCAAAACGTGTTCCTGAAACGGCTCAATTTTTTGAGCCCTCAGCATTACGCCTATGGGAGCCTCTGACGTCACACGCTCAATATTTTGAGCGCTCAATAATTTGAGCTTTTCCCCCTTGTGCGTGGGACTGAGATATCACCTAGACAGCCAATGTTTCACAAATAGCGAGGGACTCTACTCAGGAACACAACACAGGAATGACAGAACTGTACACCATGCGAGGGACGCTCGATCGGAAACAGCAGCATCGGCATTACGAGTCATGCTAGCGGTCTCGAGAAGACAGCACAGTGAAGGTGGTATCACCATGCGAGTTAGCATACAATCGCAGGCGCTCGTCTGCGTTGGTCAGTAATTGTGTGACGTCCGGTTACCAAAGTGCACGGAATGTTGTGGGAATGAAGCGTGCAAAACACACAGGGCGACTTAGCCTATTCACAAGATGCTCACATCATGCACAATTACAAAATACATAAGCTGTGATTCAGGACGACGGTTCGGACGTTTCAAAGCGTGAAACAATCGGAATCAAATTTTATAAAGTAAAATGTTGCCACGAAGATAAACGCAACGGCAACCCACCTGACATTATACCGTAACAGCAACTGTTTTTGTCTTTGTATGTCCCTGATTACATCACTCGGGTTATCACAAATATGCCTCGTAAGTGATTTCTTCCAAAACAGCTTGGCCAGAACCCAGATAATTTTGATCAAAGAACATGCACGCCAGGTCTATACCACAGGCACAAATCACACGGGATGCGCGATTTTACTCACCCTAGTCGACTTGCACATTAGGAAAATCTCGTCAAAAATGAACACATATCTGGAAGAACGGATAAAATCGGATATCAGTAGAAGTATTTCGCAAGCACGAATAGCGGGAGATCATGTATGGAAAAATACGACACAGATAAACTGTGACTAGAAGGAAACAAAGTAAAACTAAAACGATCGGAGGGAAGGCTGGAGGATATTGATATCCAGACTCAGTCAGCAAAATCAAACATTGTATAAAGAGACTCCACAAGCACTGACCCAAACCAAACTAAACAACTCGTAGCTAACATCTTGTGTCAGAGGTATGACATGGGAACAAAGAACTCGGTGCCTTCACCGTCTTCAATCGAGCCAAACCCTCATTTTTCACGCACGACTTCATGCGGCGACCCCACATTTAGCAATGCCACTACTCTGGATATTGGCAAACGCCGCAGCGGAGCGTAAAGGTTTGCCGAGATTCCAACTGATACGGATCGTCTGTTGCCATGCGGAAGCGTGGCGTCGCGGGTCGATCGACCTTTCCAGAAGCTTTCCCAAACGACTGCAAAATTTAAACACTGACTTATAGCTAAGACCCCCGTGAGACAGGGCCTCAAAACTTGTTCAGCAGCGAGCCGAAAAGAAAAATACAGGGAGAGGGTAGTTTGCATAGCTGCTACAGCTAACGAGCAACTCTACACTACGCTAAGATGGCGTGCCTTACTAGCCGTCTAACATAGCCTGTCTCCTGTCTACCCGACCCACCAAAATCTCCGCCCGAATGCTAACTACCTAGAGAGCGGCAAGGACTAACTACGGCAGTCGTGACTGCTTCCCCGCCACCGGTTGAGAACTCACCTCAGCTTCATCTTATTGTCCGGGTGACATTTGATCTTGATCTCTCCATCTTTGAGCAACCTGCCGCAGTCGCGAACCGATCGGAACGCGCCGTCCTCCAGGGGCCAGTCGGTAATCGAGTTCTGCAACGGACCGCTAGGTCAGATCACCTCGAATGCACGATATTATGTAAACCGGATCACACAACAGGCCGTCACAAAAGCACGCGCCACCACGCATTATTCGCTGTTCGTGTCAGAGTCTGGTCGGATACTGCGATCGATGACGCAATCAAGATGAATAACAGAGGAAATGTCGCGAATCAGGCCATCCCACCCTTCTCGTCATTGTATTACCCTGCTTGCCACTGTTCCTCTTTTACTTTCTCGCTGTCTTTCTCTCTGCCTCTGTCTGCCCGCAAGATTGTCTGTCATCTCGCTCTCTCTACCCATGTAACCCCTCCCATTCGCGATTGCAGGCATCGATGGAACTGACGAGCAGAACGAAAAACACAAGCGGCAGCAATAACATTACATCCAACACCACCATTACCGCCAATAGCTTTAGCTACAGCGGCGGCGGCTGCTGCTGCTTGGTCGATAAGCAGGGGAGTGGGGCCGCCCGGAGACTAACGCCTACCGCCCGCGGCTGCAGACACGGTGCCGGGCCGTGACCGTCTGCCCGGCAGCAGCGGAGGGGGAGGCTGGGGAGGGAGGAGCGCTGGGTCGTGGATCAGACCGCGGGGCGGCGGCCGGCGGCTGGGGTCACTGAGGTCAAGGTCAAGTGGGGTGATGGGGGCATATTATTAGTGCTGGGGAGAGGAGCGGAGGGCCCAGAGATACCAGAGTCTTCGATTATGCTGAGGTAAGATGGAATGGGATAGAATGGGAGGCAATGGAGCTTTTGCTTAATTACTTTGTGAGTTCTCTAGGGACCAGGCACTAATTAGAGCTCTTAGTTCGCTCCAAATGTTACTATGTGGGATCCAATCAACTTGTTCACAGGCCCGACCAGGTAACTAAAATGGATTGCTGGCGAAATCAGAATAGAAAGACATAAGTGAGACTCGATAGCGAGCTTAATGCTGTGCAATCTCCGGACCGAGGAAAGAAAAGAAATCCTCAACTCAGAGAATCCCACTTCCTTTACAATATAATTCAATTCAATCGCTAACTATTAGATGGAAAGAAAGGTAACTTTCAGACTGCACCGGGCGGCCGACACAACAACAGTTCAGCAACGGAGCTGGTGGAAGGGACCGCCGTGAGCAATGGGACGGAAACTGACCGGGAGACGCACTCCATTTGCGCCGCAAAGATTACGCACATTGCTCGTTCCACTCACTCGCGACGGACGAATATAACTCGCCGGAAGCGAGCAGAAATACTCGCAACAGGAAAGCGTTTACAGCAAAATGGCCAGCCAGACGGCATGGTAACGTCGTCGCTAAAAGGTAACACTCGGGTGGCGTTCCTTGTGGCTGCTCCTGACAGCGGCCTTTGAGGCCGGGCCGTGTCGCAGAAAATCCAGGGAAGAAACGCAGCCGACTGCCTCTTATGGCGAGAGGCCAATTACAGAAGAAAAAACACGCCGTCACTCAGCACAAACGTGGCGAGACTGCGCCGAGCCACGCCTACAAAATTCCACAAAAGCCTCGCGGAACACAAACAACACCACTAATTACACTTCCTTGTAACGATCCAAGTCCTCCCATACCGTTTCTGCCCAGTGGGTCAGCTAGCTCTCCTCCCCGCCCGTACCTGGATGTCGTTCATGATCTGCAGCGTTTCGTTGTCGCGTTTCACCTCGTTGATGTACTCTGCCACGTCTCTCATGGCGCTCAGGGCCCGCTCCAGACCGCTGTGGTCGTCACTGTGCAGAGACTGGGCAGAAAAAAACGGCGGGGTCAGTTGGTGGTAGGCAAAAATCGAGGCATGGCTGTAAGTGTACAGCCCACCGCTAAAGTAATGCAGGGTTTTACCAATCTCAACGGTTGGCTTTGACTGGCGATTGTTTAATGCGGAGTGATCGAAAAGAATATGTCAATAGCTAAAGTTGCAGCTGCAAGGGTGAGGATACATATAAGCTACATTCAAAGTTTCATTGTAGTCTGGCTAATCGTTCCTAAGCTTCAGAAGCAGAACATACCCATGACTGAAACCCCACATTACTTCTGCTGTGGACTGTACATGTTATCGGTGATATTTCACAGAAGACAATAGTCAAATCATACACACAGAACAGCATTCAACAGACAGTGAAAACATCCACAGAACAATATGGAGCAGGAAAGGTGCTCATGAATGACTATTGACGAGTGCAGGCTGAACACATTTTGATGATAATGAGTTGTGTTATAGAGCGCCTAGACTTCAAAACTGTGACTCCTACTACCAAAACAAATGTACATATAACAAACAGCTCGGGGCGGTTAAATATGTCATTAACGGCATTAGACCACCCATACGTTTTCCCATAATCGCTCATGGGAGCTTGGATAGTACGGTGATGCCTTATCATTTCGCTCATCCTCTATGAAAGAGCCTCACATCGCCTGAGCTCCCCATTCATCGGTATAGGAGACACGACGCCGTTCTTCGACCGCCCAGGGGACAACCGCACCGTCCTAATCCATCCCTACCGGCACTTTCATCGACGACCAGTCCGGCGCACCGCCACTGCCGCCCCCAGCCCGGTCGGCCGGCCGGCCGATCCTTTTTTCATCCCACCGGGAGCGGTTGGACTTCTATAGAGCCTTGGGTTGGACAACCAGCGACAGCGGCCTTATACAGGCCTGCTCTGTATCGATTTCGATAAATATTACCGGCGGAGTGTTGGCCGGCTCTTCTGTCCACTCTGGTCTGGAGAGAGCGACGGGCAGAGAGGGAGCGCAGCCCACGGACAGTCTGGGGGCGGCCGAGCGGGCAGGCCGGCGGCGGTGGAGCGACGAAATCGGAGCAGTATTGCGGCCTCGGGCTCTCGGCGGAGGCGCGTATCTCGGACCTGGATCACGACTGGGCGGCCCGGTAGATTGGTTGGCGCTGTGTGGGAGGGCCAGCACGGAGTGATTACGGGACGGAGAGGGATGGTCTGGCTGTCTGAGAGAGGAAAGGTCCCTTGGGTGGTCTGATGTATGGCAGAACAGGCGGAGTGATTGAGAGTGTAGGGCGGAATTACTCACCTATCCGTGCTTCTATCCTCAGGATACTGAAATCCTTCTCCTCCACACCGCCACCCCCTTCCGGGCTGGACAGGCAACTTTATCTCATGCGGGCTGCTCCCTTGGAGCGGCACCGCTGCTCCTGAGGGAGCGCACCCCGTAGCCGGGTGCAGTGAGTGCCTTGGGGCTGGGTGGCCTGTCTTCGGACGGGCTCAGCCCCGGCGACTCACTAGGATGCCTGCCCAGACCAATGTCTCCCCCTAATTCCTATCATCCTTCCGGCTCTGCAATGGTCTTGTCGACCGAAAGGGCCTAACCCAACAAAACAAACAAACAAACAAACAAGCGGAATTACTGTGCACTGTGCAATCCCGAGTCCTGTCTCCACAGCATTGGCGAATGTGGAGGGTTCCAATATCGCAAACGCTCTAGGCTTACAACTGCCCTACTGGCGTCTGGGCTATTATTATAAAACATCAACGCCGATGCGAACACATCGGCTTACCGCATCCTTGCACCAAGTCAGTGAAAACCACTGAATTTTGACCACATTCTAAGCTCTGACCAGCACATCATAGACAACCTCAAACTTGCCGATCCTCCCACCCACCCACAGCGACACGTCCATTAGCCCACCCCGCTCCCATCCCACTACCCCGTCCCAATCGATACCTGCACCGCCACCGTCTCACTCCTGTCATACCGCAGCCCAGACAGCGCGGCGGCCGCATTGCACCGAACGCCTCCCATAGATAGATCGGGCCCGGCGGGGGACGCGCTACACCCCCCGGGGCAAAGGGGCACAATATCGGTGACAGTAATAGCGAGGGCAGAAGGGTCGTGAGCCAGGGGAACGAGGATACTAATTGCTTGGCATTCGCACATGCCTGGCTATACAAATAATATAAGCCATAAGGGTTACTTACTTGAACTATGGTTTCGATGTACAGAAAGCAATAAATGTATATTTGTGAACTAGACCAGCATTCCCAAATGAAGCAGAAACGAGCTATCCCACAATCAATATTGTCGTACAATGGGGTGACTCCACAAAGGCGTACAGGCCTGTCGTGTCCACGCCTCTATCCATTTATTTGAGCGCAGTCACAGAGTCCCATTCACTATGTCCATTCATTGTCCAACATCTACTGCATGTCCAGTGTCCACCTCAGCGTCAACACCGCTATTAACAAGTTGTCCACCCCTCTGTCCACCCTTGACCAAACTGTCTATCCACCCGCTATTCACGCTGTCCACCTTCTGTCCACCCTCTATCCACCCCCTGTCCACCCTGTCCACCCTGTCCACTCTCCATCCACCCTCTATCCACCCTATGTCCACCTTCTGTTCATCCCCCGTCCACCTAGCCTCAATGGCGGTGATCAGCGCGGCGCCTATCGGCTACTGACGGCGCTGTGCCTGCCGCCGGTCAATGCCGGCAGACCGGTGCGCCATTAGCCGGACATAATAATCGGATCAGGTGGCCGGCATCCCCTCTGTCGGCGCCGCCAGACCACATACGGACGGGTGCTGAGTTGGATGGGTGCACCTGGGGTACCGCGGCCTGCAACGGGGGACCGCCACGCCGTTCGCGGCGGACTAGCATGGCATGCGATAGGGAACTGTGGCCTGCAACGGGCAACCAAGACCTGCGTAGGCAGTGAAACCCTGCATGGGTAACCATGGACTGCGACAGGGAACCGCGGCCGGCACCGGGGGACTGCCGGCTGATTGGTGGCGGGGAGGGGACGTGCGAGCCGGGGTGACACAGCGAGGGATAATAAAGGGGTGGGACGGCGGGGTAATGCTGAAATTGACAGAGGGTAATATGTAATGAGATGGACAGAGGGGTAATACTGGGTTGGACAGCGGGGTGATCCTGGAACAGGAAGTTATAGTCAGCGGGGTGATAATGGAGACGGCGAGAAAGTCACGGAATGGATAGCAGGATAGTATGTAATGGGATGGACATAGGGGCAATACTGGGATAGATGGCGGATCGCATACGAAGGCCCGCTCATGGCTTTTCAAGAGCGTCAGGTAAGTCACAAACATCGATAACTGAGTAGCCATAGGTAACCCTTTACCCATAGGCTGATGCACAGACAGCTGATACAGCTGTAACACTGAACGACTCGCAAACACGATACGGGTGGCGTGCACCTCATCATAAGTGCTCCACAACACGCTGACATCAACAAAGTATGACTCACTCGTAAAGCTAGCCTGGCTTTATGGCTGTACGCTATTATGGCATTATCTCTACCTGTCTGCTTCATGGTGCTTCTGTCATTGGCGTGATACCAGCTACGGAGAACGTCAAAGCAGAGTGACCGTCGAGCCGGGGACTACCCTGGGGAGCGCGCAGTGGCACCGATCGGGTGGATTTAGAGTCCCGGCGCCCGCCGATCACGGTTTCCAAGTGAGGGAGAGCGACGCGAGATGGTGGCCACGAATCAGCCCGGTCACCGGCCGGCGAGCGGCTATTTCGAGAGGTCTTACAAGGCTGGAGAGCTGGCAGCTGCACAAACTAAAGCACTTAAGGAGTTCTTGAATATTGTACACTCATTTCCAGAAATACGCATCACTCCCAGTCTGTGAATTCCCTTATCCGTTGCTTTTAAGTGGGCCTAATAGCAACGGATTAGGGGATTAGTTTCATTTAAAAGCAACTGATAAGGGAATTCAAAGACCCGGAGCATGCATATCCCTGGAAATGAGTGCGTTACATTCAGAGGTATGTGCATTATGTGCCTTGCATAAAAACGACTACAACACTTATATCAACCATTAACCCGCGCCCCGTAGGGCTACCGGCGGACCCTACCACCCGTAGGGGGGGGGGGGCCGTTTCGGCCCCCCCCCCTAAGATCTCGGAAAGTTACCGGCCGATTTTCAAAATTCAAACGGCGTTTGATAGCCCTACCCGGGAACTACCTTGTGACCAAATTTCATTGACCTAGGTCAAACCGATGACGTCACAGGTCAGGTCAAAGGTCAGATTTTCACCGTTCACAGGCAATTCAGGAAATGTGATGTGAAATCGAGTAAATTGGTAATTTATTGAAAACCATCGATGGTATATTGTTCGTCAAACACATACTTTGCTATCTGAGGTCACTGATACCAGGTCAGGTCACAGCGAGGTCAGGTCACCGGGGGTCACAATATGAATGTGTCGTGTGATACATGTTTTATGGTCCATTTTACATGACAAATGCGATTATGTGGGTTAGGCAGCCTTTGGGGCCAGCCTAGGTCACGTTTTGGTGAAGGTCAGGTCAAGGTCAGGTCAAATTAGGTCAAATTTCAAAGTTGATATTTTTGCATAAAATGGGTATCCATTCGATGCCGCTCGTCACGGGGAGTCTAATGGTGGTCTTTGTTTTGCTCTACGAGTTCTAGAATTGCCAAAAATTGAGTTTGAAAATTTGACGTCATCATTTTTGAACAGTTTTTCGCTATAACTTGGCCAAAAAACGAGGTATCGATCTGAAATTTGGTATGTAGATAGAAGACGGTAGGTACTATCACATATATTCCGGTTTTTTTCGAAACTCAAAAAACTTTTTGGATTTTTTGGCTAATATATCAAAAAAAAATGCTTTTTTTAATTTTTGGGGATCAAAACTCAAAAATTTCAAAAATCCGAGATAGCAGTTTTGTACCCCTGTCAATTCTACCCCTTTTATGTCTTGATCATTTTTCTGTATCTTCAAAGCTGTAGGCCTGACAGGTCTTCTCGCGAAGGTCTTTTTTCGGTCGAAAATGACAGAACATGACGTCACTCTGACGTCATTTGTGGCCAACCTATCACAGCCTCTGGAAAAATATTTGGTCACAATGTGTAAAATTGATGCCCGGAGGGGTCCTGAAAGTTTGGTGGCGATATCTCCAGCCGTTTAGGAGATATCGACCGAAAAGGACAGGGGGGGCCGTTTCGGCCCCCCCCCCTACGGGGCGCGGGTTAAGACCTTTGTATACCCCGGCATATATCGGTCCCGGGATCAACTAATCCACATGCAATTTGCATCCCGCCTAGTCTAATTCCCAAGGCCCTAAAACATATTCCCAGATAATTCCCAGATAATTCTCACCTGCATCGTGTGTTTGAGCAGCTCCCGGAGCAGAATCTCGTACTTGAGTATCCGCTGCATGGGCACCGAGAGAAGGTCGCGCAGCTTGAACTTCCCGCCGTTCGCCTCCATTTGACATTTCTGACGGAAAGGGAGGCCACAGCGCGTTCAGTCGCCCGTTCATAGAGTGGTGGTTATTCGTCATAGCACGCCGGTACGTCTGGACCAAATACACCGTTGTTGGGACAAACTCCGCGGCACTAGCCGGCCAGACGGCAAACTCAGAGCCGCGCCGCCGATATTTCATCCCCGCCTGGCTGTGCACGCCAGCTCAGCGCGGCACAGAGTGAGCGCTATTGCAGTGCCGTGTTTCAGGTGATACAAAGCAGAGTAATTGGAGCCCCGGCTAGCGGTCGGCTCTGCGGCCTGCGGCGCCGCTGAAAATAGCACACAATATACATCACAGGCGGCCGAACGGAGACGGGGATACGTCCCCGGCTAGTGAAACCGCTAGATGGACTCTGTCCAGCACTCGTTTCAGGAACACCTGTTTGAGGCAGGGTCAATGGTTCTAAATAAATCAGCCATGCAACATTGGACTGTCATATTAAACAACATAAACACTATCGATTCAGCGTTCGAGTCAGGAACACCTGTTTCCGTCGGGGTCAGAGTCGTCAGCCATGCAACACTGGACGGTCATATGAAACAAAATATAGCAAATAGTCCGCGTTACATGTTGTCCACCCAGACTGTTCGGTCTACCAGGTCCATCGAGTCAACACACATCGGCCCACCGACCGCCGAGTGCTGCTCCCATTGACCGGCGCTGTGTCGGTCTTTGTCCCCACAGCGGCGCCGGCCTTTCACACATAAGTACGCCCTCCATCACGGGACACGAATGGCGCCGCGCTGCTTACCAGCACTACTGTCCCCAGGGCGGGGGCGGGGTGGGGTGGCTACAGTCCCGGCTAACATCATAAATTTCGTCATAGTAAGCGATTCTGACTCTGCGCCGAAGGAAATAGCGATTACTATTCTAATTATTTATTGGAAAAAATTGCCAAGTCCACACCAATTCTTGTGACATGCACGCCTAAAGTTATCTCCTCAGCTATGCCTACTTCATGGACCCTTTTTACATATTTATCCCGAAACATCATGTAGGTAGAATGCAGTACTTCATTCCTAGCCGTCTTTTTGAAGCCTCCCTCCTGCCCAGTCCACTCACCGCCACTTTCTGGTTGAGCGTTTCATCCTTTTCGCAGAGGTCGTCTATCAGCTCCTGGGCCGGCTGGAGGTTTGAGCAGTAGTCACCGTACAGCAGAAACCGGCTCTTGTTCTGCAGAAACACGGTCGAGATGCGCGTACCGGAGTCGGGTCGACACGCTTCCACCAGGTCACGGTGGAACCGCTTGTGGATCTCCTCCAGATCCTGCCGAAGGTGGAGGAGGTGACGGTGGTGAGCATGATGGAGACGATGATGGTGGCGATCACTGATCAGCCGTGACAATGTTAAGGATAACGCTGATACTGCTGATCTGAAGCAGATAACGTTCAGGAAACAGATTACGGCATAATTTTGCTATATATGATCCTAAGGTGACATTGATACGGCCGTGAAAAGAAAGTAACATATGGATATGAAATATATCCGACACTGACGTAATAGACAGCTCTGCTAGGAACCACTGCGCTCGCACTGGCACATACATTTGTTTGTATTTCCACAGGCGGCTGACGGCTGCCTTCCCTGCGTCCCACCCCCCTCAGCTGATTATCGACCACACCGCTCGCCACAAACACACCTGAGCCCAGCCACACTAGACCTCTCCAGGGACGCACTGGCGAGTTCCTCTCGCACGGCCTAAGCTCGCTTTGTAACACACCTGGCACCCACCCCAGTCTCGGCGACTCCCCATCGGCGCCCTAGCATGGCACTACAGACTACAGCTATTCACAAATCTCAGCTTGATAACACACCTGACCCTCCCCTCCCTAGTGTCAGCTCCGGTGACTCAGTGACACCCATCCGCGCCACACCACACACCTGAATACCCTGGAAGATGGCGACCGTGTGGTCAGGCCCCAGCAGCGGTCGCAGCGGCTCCATGAACTTCTCGCGGAGCATCTCCAGGACCGAGACGTAGTTGGCCTCCGTCTCCAGCAGCTCGTTCAGACAGTAGTCGCGCTTCTCCAGCGGCGCCTTGGCCGTCACCGGCTGTAGCACGTTCACAGGTTCAGGGACAGACGGCACAGAAAGGTTGAGAGAAGGTCAACAAGGGCATAAACACGATAATACAACTATAACAATTACCAAGCGATATACACCGGTGGAGTATCCAAGTCAATGAGATCAATGTGATAACTTGCACAGTGAATATGAAGTCAGTCTTTCTGAATTACATTTCGCCCGCTGACAGAACACGGCCGGGTGAGAATGTGACTTTATTTCCTCCGTTGGATCATTCGCCGCTATGAAGGCACACTAGTCGGTGGTGCTGAGGAGAGCGATTTCCCAGGGGGCCCGTGTACCCACGGTACATCAGGGCTGCAGCTGTTACACTACTGCAGACCGTGCACCATTGATCTGTCCACAGTGAGAGGCAGGCGCGGTCCTCCGCCTCTCACATCAATACGCACCAGGTCCGGGCGGTCGCCGTCAATGACTGTGTTACCACGACATCTAGTAACACAGTACGACGTCCGACAGTCCTTGGAGAGTCCATATCGTCCAAGCGTCGGATCGACACCCCACCGTTTACCGGGTTGACGTCGCCCACGGGGATTCTATGATTGTGTACGGGCTGTGACCTTCTTCCCTCCCGTTACCATTCTAGTGCAGTGTCCCCACATTAGCGACCCGTTAACATTGTCACATGTATAACGGGACGTGGTGCCGGCAGTCCCGCCCGACGTCACCCACGCTGCACCACTGTCGTTACAGCGCCGCATGCCGTATGGAAAAGCGTTTGACGTTACTCCTGAGCGCCTAACTGTGGTGATAGGGCTAGCAGAACACGGACACTATGCTGCCGTCGGAAGGAAAAAAGCCGTAAGTCGCATTTTTATCGATTTTTCGTTTTTGATATCGTTGGAAAGCTCTTTTCATGGTGCGTTTAATGGTACTGCTCAAACGTGTGTACACTCAAAAATGAAAATATTATATATAATATAAAAATTCAAAAACGGATTTTTTACATCAGGGATAGCAAAACACGCAGGAAGAAAGCCGCATCCTTAAATTCGGCAGATACGGCATTTATACAAAATTTCAAACAAAGAATGTGGAACTGATAAGTCAGGAAGAAAGCCGTATCTTGTAGATACGGCTTTTATTTGATGGTGGCCTGTGAAATATGAGCCGAATCGTTGGTCCAGGCAGTTTGGAAGAAAGCCGTATCTACTCATTTAGCATGGCTTCGGCATATCCTGGACGGAACAGTTGAACATTTACACAAACATGCTACGTGATCGTAGCAATATGTGACCATTATAGGGGAATTTTAATTGAAATAAAATAGGGAGTGAACTTGAGAAGTTTGAAGCCAACAGAACTTTGCCAGCTTGGTGGTGTCAGCAGGGTGCCGGGCATTCAGTATTTTGATGTGCTAACCAGCCGGGAGCGCCAGTATAATCCGACCGTTCTTTTCCCAACTTCGTTTAAAATTCCAATAAAAAATACCCGACCTAGCCTCCCCCATGATTAATTTGGCCTCCCTGTTCCCACCCTACCCCACAACCAAAATAGCATCATGTTAAGTTCGACCCGGTAATCATCATAGACAATAGACATGCAGCTCGTACTCGTAGCTGGCACGCTTAGTACGACGACCTACAATCTTTGTCGTAAAACCGTTGAAGATATAGTTGAATACCGTGAAAGGTCGATTGCTATTGCCAACCTCGTCACATTCATTGTGATAATTGTGACCACGCCCATGTATCTTTGGGACCGTCATCCCCTGTCACTTCCATTCCTGGTCAATGACTTTACCGTCTTCTTTCTGGCTCCCTCATACCCATGATGCTCAATCATATTGGAAATTTAGGCTACCTTGTAGCACCCACACAAGCCCAACATCTGCCCAGAGCCTACCAGCACAGCTGTGGCCGGTGGAGGATGCAGCAAGGCGTACTGAATAGCCCTCTGCTCTGTTGCAGTAGGCGCTATAATCAGAGCCCTGTGAATACGAGTGCACATTGGGGGGCCTTTTGAGGGTGCGCCCTCTAAAGGGCGTTCCCGCAGACGTGTGGAGCTCTCAGCAGTCTAGCGATCTCCCGGGAACCTTGCGTCCAGCTTATCAGCAACATTCCCACTCATCGTCTCTTGCCCCCTTGAAGTGCTTTTAGGTCTGCAGATCGACGATGGGAAACTACACTATCTCGGTTCTCTCGACATTGTCGCCGTGGCTCCGGCGCAGCGGCAGACCGGCACACTCATCTCTCCGAATATATCGGTGGCTCAGAATTAACTCTGGAGTCCAGTGTAATCGAAAATTGAAGCACCGTACAAAGACAGCATTCGTGATTCCCCTTGTCGGTTGCAGGCACGTAGCCAGGATTTTGCTCAGGGAGGGGCCACAGGTCGCGACCTAGTGTCGTGCCCCTCCAGAAAAAGAAAACTCCTCGGATTTGGCCCACTATCTTTTGGGGTGTGGTGCAGCTGGGGTTATTTTTTAAGTTTTATTTTATTTTTCGCCTTTAGAGGGGGGCATGGCCCCTGTGCCCCCCCCCCCTTGGCTACGTCCCTGGTCGGTTGGTCAAGATGTCTTTTGATGGCACCCTGCGCAATCAGAATCCAAGAGCCTAAAGTTACGACAATAATGCAATTATGCATGGATGATGTAGTTTAAAATGGGTATCATGTTTGTTTTTGTATTGAACGTTCAATTAAATATCCATACTTGAGAGCTGAAGCAGTGGGACGGAACATGCAGCGGAACTGCTTTAGTACTTTTATGAACCAATATGCAGTGTCAATACCATGCACCGGTGATACTGCTTTTTGACGACAATATGATTGAACAAAAATGGCGATACGGCTTTATTCCCGATCGGTTAACCAATGTATCAGACATACGGCTTTTTCATGACAGTATTGTTCAGGTGTCTCGTACGATGCGGCTTTCTTCCACGATACGGCTTTTTTCGTGAAAGAAAGATTCCGCAAACTCGGGGTTGAATTGGAAGCAAAAAAGTTTTTCGCCTTTTGCTTTAAGGTTAAAATAATTTCCCTTTTATAACCACTTTCATTGGATGTAAAATTTCTTTCCGATCACTGCAGTATGTTTTGTTTCGTTATTGAGCAAAGTTAACGAATTTTATAACAAAAAACGCGTTTTTGCCTCTCCTGAACAATTTTCGATTCGAAAAAGTGCCCCAGATACGGCTTTTTTCCTCCCGACGGCAGTATGATCCCGCGGTGAAACATCATATGCATGTCATAGTACTGTGACAAAGACGACACGTAGGTATCAAATGTCAAATGTCTATCATAGCTCTCTGATTACGACCAAGGCACTATCAAGCAAAACGCTGCAGGCCAAGTATAGTACTTGCATCATGTGTTCCCATGTAGATTATAATAGCCATAGAGACCTTCCAAGAACAATGAAGAAGTGCGCACTGCGCAGCCCTCTCGGGCAGTAGCTGGCTATCAAGGTTCGCGGACATAAACGGTTCTAGCAGTCAGCAGTACTTTACCACTTGCAAGACAAGGTAGGGGTCCTAAGAATCTTTCAGGAAATCACGATAGGTCGTTAAAAAGGCAGCAAGAGCGCAAAAAAAAACCTGCGAGGCTTCGGCAGCGGATAAGCGTCTGACCGTGGGCTAGGTTAGAGTTGACACCGCGGCTATGTTCTTATAAGTATGATGTGGCCTGCCCTGTGCCCAGGAGCCCCGTATGCTACCTGAGCTGTGATCGGCAGACTGGAGCTCCGTGAGTTGCCTGTGGTCTGGCCAGAAACCCCGCGAGTTACCTGGGACCCCCTGGAACCCGGCAAGCTACCTGCGACCCTTTGGAACCCCGTAAGTCACCTGTGGTCTGTCCAGGATCCTGGAAGTTACCTGTGAGGCCCTCTGGAACCCGAACTTACCTGTGGTCTGCCAAAGACCCCGGTAAGTTACCTGTGAGGCCCTCTGGAACCCAATACGTTACCTGTGGCTTGCTCTGGAATCCGGTGAGCTCTTCGTAGATGTCCTCTTCATGCGGCATCAGCGCCTGATAGTCGGCACTGAAGCTGCCGTACGCATCCTCGCTGCATGCAGAGGACAGAGAGCGGCGGAGGGTGCCGGCTCAGCGACGGTGGGGACCGGACATACAGAGGCGCGTCATGCACGACACGGATCGGCGTGCCACGAGACGGTCCCCCGCCCTCCCCGGGACACAGGCAGCAGGCACGGGCAGGGCGACAAGGAGGGGAGGGGGTTCATTGCTTCTATACATACATATTTATCGCTGAGACAGGCACAGTAAGCTAGCTACAAAAAAGGCGAGCTAAAATAAAGGGGGGAGCGCTCGCAGAGTGCTAGAATGAAAGGATCCATGGAAAGGCTCAAGGTTTGGCAGTGATCACTTTAATGTGGAATGGAAGGAGAGCCGAAAACGATATTATGGAAATAGGAATTGGCGGTTTACAGTGGTGTCAAATGCATTTGTCTTTTTTTTAATACATCCCAAGAGGCCGACTACGGTTTACACAAAATATCAACAAGGTAAGCCTCGTTTGTACTCATTTAGAACGACACAATGCAATATTAGTACCCGATTAATACAACCATGCATTCAACAAAAGCAGCATACACATCAATACAGAACACGACATAGCTACATCAGTCTGCATTTGCACCCCACGTCGTCTAATATATCGATCCTCCCAATCTCCTTAGTTCTGTGGTAAAAACAAGACCGACCATAAGATCGAAGCGGTACCCGCCTTCGCCACTCTACAGTTTTGTAAGAGAGAACGAGAGAAGGTGCAGAAAGTAACGCCATGACGACATCAAGTAAAAGTAATTTGCGCCATAACTGAAGACACCCTGCGAAAAGCCGGCTCACAATGCCGCTTTTACAGCGCCTTCTGCGAAGTTGAACACCATTGCTGACTTTCCACCTCCCATAAATCGGGGAGAGGGTCGCTGGTGGCCGGAGGGCCGTCGTAAAGTTGGACGGACGGCAGACAGCGCAGCGACGGGGCCGGCTCCGGCGGCGTCTCCGGCCGGTCGGCGCTCGACGACAGACGCCGGCGGCCGATCACGACTTCTGCGCCTGAATCCGCCATCTCGACCACCAGCCCCGGCCACATCTGGTGGCTCTCACGGTACCAGCATCCTGCATCCTTTACCATGATATCCTAACAAAATCACCATCATCCGCCCTCCAATAATACCTAGAACACCTTCGATGCCTAGAGCAATCGCATTTCGGTACCAATTACAATTTCAGATGCGGTATTTTAACCCATATTGCCGGATCTAAGACCTGCATGCCTAATTCGTCCTACATACTCTTCTATGCCTGCCCGTCGTGATCCTAGGCCCTTAACGATCTCCCCCAGGAGTCGGTCCTTAGCCCAAATTTCGGACCTCCCCAAACCCATCTCCCGCCGCACGAGTCCCAAACCATCCTGCACTGTCCCTCCTCGATCTATACCTCGTTCCTTCCCAGACTTTCCTCATTCTATCCTGCCTCGTCAGTCCCGTCGGCAGCGGCGAGCTAACGAGCCTCGGCCGGCAGTCGCCATCGGCGGCAGACGCTCCCGGTGCGGAATTACGTGGGCGGCGAGGTAACGAGTCGCCTCTCAGGCCTGGACAGAGTTCGACGGGTCTGTTAGACCTCCCACTGCCGCCTCCGGCACTCTCAGAGAGCCCGCAGATACCCGGCAGGGATGGGGAACGGATGGGGGTGGCGCCGTCGGGGGATATGTGCCAGGAGGCTGGGGTGGTGAAAGATGGTGGGTCAACCGTGTAGGTCGGTGGGAGACTGTCTGGTGGTCTGGTTGTCTGGCTATCAGTCTGGAGACAATTTTGTCGGCCTGCTAAGGATTATTCGATAGGGGCTGATGTTGGTCAGTGGAAGATCAGTCGCCGGCCGGTGGCGGTGAACTGCTTCGTTACATACCGGTCTTTGCCCATGGGTCTTTCTCAGACAACTGACGGTCTGTGAAGGTGAGCCCATGGCCAGCGCGCACTGTCGATTGTGGGTAACTTATCGGAATCTTCGCCGCCCCAGCACCACTAGACTCGGCACTAAGAGCACTATTCGCCTCTCTCCCTAACTACACACTCCTAAGTTAACCCACGTCTCACCGGAGCGACGTCACGCGTTCACGCTCGCCACCCGTCTCCCCCCCCCCCCCCACAGCGCGCATGCTCGCCCGCTACTCTACACGGAGGCGTACAAACATCAAACATAGATTCTGCGTGCGCTCCTGTCACATGCTCTGTCGTCTGATCAGTACGCTCTGCGCACCGCCGGCTGCTCCGACCGGGGCAGGTCGGCAGGAGGGTTACACGAGCTACACAGATACTAGTCGACGCCCACGAGACGATACGATCCGTGCCAGGGGGACGAGGGGGCGTGCCGGGTACCTTATCTTTGAGCGATACATAGCAGAGGTCTTCGTAAATATTCTCCTCCATTCTGCCATTGGAGCGCCTTCGAATTAAATGGCTACGCAGTCGATCCGAGAGAATTCGGTCATCCACGCTGCAATGCGAGAGTCGACTATTGTAAATCGCGCCGAATGTATGGCGATGAGGGAAGGAAAGGTGGTCCGAAATGCCAACAGGTCATCATATACACAACATAAATGCGTTACGGCAATGTGAGAGCGCAGATGATTTTAAGCAGATGACTTAATGTCGTTAACCTATTTTATGGGACATGCAAACAAAGCCAATAATAAAATAATTTGTTTACAAAACGTAACAGATTTGAAACTAGAAGTGCGAGCCTTCCATATGGCGAGCCTTTTGGACAGCGCAGTTTGTCTGCAGTCAGTGGGCTGGTCTCTCTACACCGGCAATTTTAGTCGGGGTTCGGACCAACTTCGAGACGTCCTTGGAAGTTGGCCCCAGAGTACACAGATGCACCACGCGAGCTCCCATGGGACCGAAGGGAAGCAGAGGAAGCAATACGTTACGACAGCTGGGCCTAGCGTTCGTAAAAGCCGCTCATTGCCAAAGTTAGCCTACCGACCGCTGAAGTCTACAGCTACGTAAAGATTCAGGCGATGTCAGACCAGCAGGATTTGGTTCAACAGAAATCAGCAATGAACGCGTGTATGCCTTAAAGACTGCCTTAGACGAAACGCCCAGCTTTTGAACATCAAACAGACTGGAATTCTGAGCGATCTGGTTGACACGTCACGTCTCTGCAGCCTTCCATTTTTAATGAATCGATTGTGAGGCGTCTTCCGAGAATACTGAGAAGCCTATTCCAGAATTCAAAACGGTGTGGCCCTTACCGCTAATTGGGCGGTGTATAGTTTAAACAACACACCAGAGCCAGCCGTAACAATATTGTGGCGGTTAGACTTTTAGGATGAAGCGTTTTTTATGGCCGGGCAACAGCGCATTGTTCAGCGCCTTTATGCATAGCCATTGTTCTTGTAGTGAACTTTGAGTCCCGGTAAGTAAATAAACAAGCGCCACGTCGCAGCCGAACATTAAATTTGACACAGCACTTACGCTATAGGCATCGGCTCTCAATAACTCGGCAGACGTGTGGTCCATCCACACAATTCAGTGTTCAATGTTCAAACGCAAGGCCCCAGGGGATAGTCTGAACGCATAGAGAAGCCTCCTGCCCGTCTGACTCATCACCGGGATCGCTGGGGACACGGGTAGCGCCGGCTGCCGCGGGCAAACGCCGCGCTCGGTGCCGTCGCAATGGATGTCCTCAATTTCTGCAAGAGCCTCCAATAAATAAATTCTTGGTTATACGGTCCAGATTCGAAACATTGACTAGGTCAAAACAAATAGGGAAAAGGTGGTTACATTGTCAAGCATTCCCTGATTTACTTATGTGTGTTGCTACCAGCACCCAGCCCACCTAGCTTTTCGTACAGATGATATAAATGCCGGGTTCTGACAGGGATGGTCGAACCGTTCCGGTCTGGTGGATAATACTCCGCCATTCAGCCGCAGCTGTGCCCGGCGTTCAGCGCTCCCGGCACGTCACCGCGGGTGAATTATCGCCGATCCTACCCTCCGAAGATGCATGCCGCTCGCCCAGAAATTGAAGCGGAGCCCATCATACAAATTACACCCGGGCCATTTGCCTCAGTGTCCCCGTTATCATAGCCCGCTTAAATTCACTGCAGCAGAGCGCTCCATTAGCCATCTGAGCAGCGACATCGGCTCAATCTCAGCCCCCGTCACTCCCATGTCGCCGGGTGCTCAGGTCATGTCATAAGCCGCCCGCTCTCAGCCCGAAGCGACACCCCGGGCTGTGTCACCGGCACCCTGGCATCTCCTTGAAAATCCCCGGCGCTGCTCCCCGCGATCAGCCGACCACCAGCCGAGCTGTCTCGCCTCGTATTACCACGGTCCCTCCCCGCCTGTCATCATCCCCCGGGGCGCACACTCACTTGGCCTGCTCGTCTAAATGCCGGTAGATGGGCTCCTCGAACTCAGATGTCTGGTCCGCGTCGGCCGGGAACCCCCTGTGCGAGGAAGGTGCGGGGGTCAATGTGAGCTACCGTGACTCATCGCAGCCGGTATCGTATTACGGAGAGGCGTCACCGAGGGAACGTGTGCCGTGACGTTATCAGATAACGCTCAGCAGGTGGCCTATGTTTCGTAAGATATTCGCGTGGCAGATAGCAAACAAGCGCGCGCACATCATGCATCTTGAGATGACAAACACAAACAAAGAAATCTAGAACAACCACGTGATAGGGAACAGTCAGCCGAGCGAACTACTTAGCTCGTATAGGTCAACGGCAAACAATACACATTCAATGTATGGTCGCTCAACCCCGGAGTATTTGCAGCGTGAAAGCGCTTGATTGATTGTTACCGGATAAATCCGATATCGCTGAGCCTTTTCGGATAGTAAACGTCTCGGGATTGCAACATTGTCCACAAATATGACGCGTGTTTGAACTAGATAATAGCCCAGCGGCAGAGGGCAGACAAAAAACTACCGCACAGAATCTGACGGCAGTGCAGTGGTTTGGGAATCCTCCCCGGATAGGAAGAGAACTCACGGGACTCCTCTGGACAGCGCCTTGGGTGTGTGCGACAGCACCGACAGCGTTCGTAGCACCTGCCGGCAGACGGGTCAGGCCCGGTCAGGAACCACCTTCCACATAGCGCTGGACAGCACAAACCCCCAGCCGGTACCTACAGCAGACCTGCTATCCGTGGGCACTCGGAACATTTAGCGCCTGCAGACACCAAACTGTTACATAATTAGGGCTTCAGCGGCATCTAAGTACCTGTTTGAGCACACCCCATAAACAGGTATTAGCAAATCAGTCTTATGATATCCAAAACTGGTACTTGTATGCCAACAATTTGTACAAATATGCATAACCACTGAGGTAATTAAGTTATCATTATCAACCCCACATCCAGTACAAGCAAAATATGTTGAAAGCACTCTGAATAATCAGCATAGCAGACACCGCCAGAACCACAAAGACCGTTCGGGCTCCTGGCCCTAGCGGCCCCGGTCGTCGCCGTACCTTGCCGAAGTCCGTGTAGTCGAAGAGCATACTCGGGTCGAAAAGATCCGCCTCTCGGATGTTATAGTGCTTGCTGCAGCTGAGCAAAAATGTACGGATATTCTTGGCGCACAAAAACTGAAACCAAGCAGCACGGTCAACAGTGAACAATCGACCCACCCACCGACCGGCAGATAGTGTGTCGGGTCAGGACGAAAGGCTGGGCGAAAAAAAATATTTGGCTTAGGAGTGATGAGGGCGGATTTGACAAAATAATCCTAGCCCCATCATACAAGAGAATTAGAGCACTCAAACAAGAACAAAAGAACTACAGCACTCTAGCAAGGGAGGACAAGACACTGCTTATATGGACATGGTAAAATGCCTTTTAAAGACCAAACTCGAAAACAAAGAACTAACCTCAACCTACCACTAGTTAGTAGGTTACCTAAAAGAGCTAACCGATGCAGTTATGCAGACAGTGAACAAACACATGCCCAGCCTTCTCCGATATCAGCAATAGTATCCCAGGCGGTGTCGGTGCAGCGTCCCTGGTTCCAGAGTAGCGTCCCACCCACTGCTCCTTTTCCGATCCTCCCCTCCCCCCCCCCCATCTCCAGCTCCCCTCGCTGACCCACCTGGGCCATCTGCGGCTTCAGACTGACGTCCCGGAAGTCGAGCGAGGCCGGGTCGATCTTGTGCAGCAGGTGGCAGAGCAGCACGCCGTCCCGCAGGGTGTACAGCAGGTCGATCAGCTTGCTGTCCGGCGAGCAGCAGCGGTGGTCGGCCGGCAGCACGCCGAAGGCCGTCAGCCACTCCACCGCCTGTCGCCACAGGCCGTCACGGTCCTCCTCCATGGCGGAGAGCCCGGGCGCCCGGCCCGCTCCTCAGCGGGGCGCAGAGGGTCAGCGAGCGCCGGCAGACGGTCAGACGAGCGCCGGCAGACGAATCTCCGGCGGAGGTCGAGGTGGGATGCAGACCGACAGGCACACAGGCGTCGATCGACACTGTCAGTCACTGATACACAGATGGAGCTGGAGAATATGGCAGGTGCACTGCTGAGCGCTGATTATTTCCTGAAGGGGGACAGCTGACCCTGCAGCAGATGGTACCTGAAAAAGGAGCAGCACAAATTAGCAATATCTCATTAAGCAAATTCATATGTGATGTAACAGAAGTGAATATCAGTGGTCAAGCCTACATTGCCCACCCACCAGACGATGCATTCAAATGTTTCATACCATTGGTGCTACTATACATATGTGAGTAGGTAAATGAAAGGGCCATTCATATTCCTATATCAGGGATCACCTTTAACAGCAAAAGTCAGTTGGGTTCTGACTCTGCAATAATCTGCATGTGTACGCGAGCAGAGATTGTTTCCCAATATCAAGATTGACTGGGTTGATTGCATTCAAAGTTGAAGCAACAAGGGCTCCTCAACTTACAGGACATCAGCTGGAAGTCACAGAACGCCCAGGTGGAAGTGCAAGGGATGGATGAGTCCAATGGAAGTCACAGAATGCCCAGGTGGAAGTGCAAGGGATGGATGAGTCCAAATTACCACCTGAATTTATATCAATTTTTCAACACTTGCTAGGCATTTATCATGTAATTTGTAAGTGTCTGTTTTCTTGAATTCCTTGTATTTAGGTACTTGCCTTGGTCTCATGTGGGTGAACAGTCAGAAAGCAAACAAACCAAAGAATAAGGGAAAAAATAACAACAAGATCAATTGGATTATAAAATGCCTCAAAAATTGCACAAATTGCCCCACATTCATTCATTTAAAATGCAAATGAAACATATATCACCAAAACATGGCAAAACCATGTCAACAGTACCAAAAGAATTAGGGGTCCTATTTAACTAGAATATTGACCTAAAATATTCATAAAACCATTTTATTCACTTTGAACAGTAACCATTGGCTGGGCTCTTCATTTACCTTGCTGAAATATGCATGTGAAAATCATACAGCCCCCCACCAGCTCAAAATATTATTTTATGATCAATTTTACTTATTTGACTATTTATCCCACCTGCCTATCCTACAAAAGTATTGATACTTGCATATAGGGCAATCACCAGCCGAATAGTTATCCTTGCAATGCTGAAGAGTGGAAAAGCTTAGGTGCCTCCCTTATGATGAAGATGAGTGAGCAGCTTCTCACCAGCACCACTCAGTAAAGCCACATATTTTCCCCCCAACCTCATATATAAATTTGGTCCAAACCTTTTCAATACAAGAACTCACAAGGACAGAGCCTTTGCTAAATGGAGCTTGTCATCATGTCCTCCACCCTCTAATAATGTGCAATTCTTGGTCTAAGGCAGTTTAAGCAGAGCTTCAGAGTCTGAATTTTAACACATGCACAATCAATGTTGTGCACGACCTGTCCCCCTCACTGACTTCGGCTGACTACAGCCTGCCACCGACAACAACAACCCATCAGGACTTTCAGGACTCAGGAGGCTCATAAACATTGAGCACATGTCGCGCTTTGAACCCTGTAGGTACTTTTATAACTGGGACTCATGCTCACCACACGGAGCCCAAGTCCAACACCATCAACTCAGCTATGGAACCGAAGGCATAGGTAAAGTTCAAGTTCAAATAAAGGTACCTATTAAGGGCTCTTAAAAATAAGAGAAGGATTCCTTGAATTAGACAGAACTACAAGAAAAGGAAACACGTAAAAGGGACTCATCCACGAGAAACATCACCAAACTCATGAGTCAGATTTTTTGTCAGCAATACTGGTTGAGAAATGGAACAACCTTCTGGGCTTGGCAAATACTTTTAGCTTCATGATTTGAAGAGGCTCTGGCTTGGGCTCTAGAGAAAAAGCTTGAGTTGACGACAGACAGAGAAGTTCAAGTTATTGTTAAATGAAGAGCGTCGAAACTCGAAAGCGAGATGGAGCGGCTCTCACCTTGTTTCTAATCCACTTGTTACAAGGCTTACCAACCCAACATGATCAAATGATAATATATGTGTGGCTCCACCAAACACTTGAACGCCTTTTCATGCAAAATCCCCACAATCTCAACCTAAACTCGACTCAAAACGCGATCCCAGCGCATCACTCCTCCGCGTTGCTCTCTCTCTCGCTCGCGCTCGGTCCCTTCACTAACAAGGTAGCAACAATACGAATGTGAAGACAAGAAATGAATGTCGGAACTTTGATTATTACGTCACAAGAACTAGTACCCACTGCCGACCACTGCCGACCGCAATCGACACTCCCAAAAGGCACGCCAAAAGGGAGTCTACTTTCAAGGCTGTTTATTTCATCTCTATCTTTACCATGAAATACGCCTTCCCTTTATATTTAAATGCTGTACAAATAATGACATGAATGATGAAACTAACGTGAAACCAAGCATTTAAGCTCCTAGCTCCTACTGAGAATTGCTGAGCATTTTAATTTTTTGCATAAAATGCGCATAAAATGTGCGGTAAAAAGTATGGACCCAGGTTAAGGTGGGAGCCCACGTAAAAAAACAATTGCAAAAAAAAAACTAAGAAACAATGTGTTTTGGACTTGGACGGCTTATGCTGTTTGTCATTGGCTTACACTAAAAACGTATTAGGTCTCATTGTTTTTTGCCCTTATAGTGTAAGCTCGGTGCCCCACGTGGCTAGAAAGGATACTCGTAGTTGGTACTTTTGTCACTAGATGACGCGCTATGTCAGCGCCTGCTTTTAGGCTGCACCGCATGACGGGCCTTACGAATACGCATGACTGTTGGCATGGATTACCTACCTACTACCTATATCTACTTCTTATCAGGGGCGGATCCAAGGGGGGGGGTCACATGGGTCATGCCCCCCTTGAGGCCCGGGGGCCCAAAGACCTGCCAGGGGCACCACCGGCCTACCAGGGGTATCACAGTCCTGACAGGGGCACCACAGGACCGCCAGGGGCACCACAGGCCTAGCAGGGACACCACGGGCCTGGTGCCCCTGGGCCCTGACAGGACTGTAACGCCCCTGACAAGCCTGAAGTGTCCCCGGCAGGCACGTGGTGCCCCTGACAGGCCTGAGGCGCCCCTGCAAGGCCGGTGGTGCCCCTGGCAGGCCTGTGGTGTCCATGGCAGGCCTGTGGTGCCCTTGCTAGGCCTCTGGTGCCCCTGACAGGCTTGTAATGCCCCTGGAAGGACTGTGGTGCCCCTGGGCCCTGACAAGCCTGAGGTGCCCCTGACAGGCCTGTGGTGCCCCTGGCAGGCCTCTGGTGCCCCTGACAGGCTTGCGGTGCCCTTGGAAGGACTGTGGTGTCCCTGGGCCCTGACAAGCCTGAGGTGCCCCTGACAGGCCCGTGGTGCCCTTGTTAGGCCTGTGGTGCCCCTGGCAGGCCTCTGGTGCCCTTGCTAGGCCGCTGGTGCCCCTGGCAGGCCTCTGGTGCCCCTGCGCCCGGAGAGGACTGGTGCTCCTGAAAAGTCTGAAGTGCCCCTCGGCAGGCCCGTGGTGCCCCTGACAGGCCCAAGGTGCCCCTGCAAGGCCGGTGGTGCCCCTGGCAGCCCTCTGGTGCCCCTGGCAGGTCTGTGGTGCCCCTGGCAGGTCTGTGGCGCCCCTGGCAGACCTGTGTTGACTGGTGCCCCTGCTAGGTCGCTGGTGCCCCTCACAGACCTGTGGTGCCTCTGGGCCTTGACAAGCCTGAGATGCCTGGCTATGACAGGCTCGTGGTGCCCCTGATAGACCAGTGGTGCCCCTGCTAGGCCGCTGGTGCCCCTTACAGGCCTGCGGTGCCCCTGGAAGGACTGTGGTGCCCCTGCCCCTAGGGGTGCTCATGGGCCCAACAGGCCCGTTGTGCCCCTGACAGGCCTGTAGTGTCCTTGCTAGGCCTGTGGTGCCCCTGCTTCCTGGCGGGCCTGTGGCGCCCCTACAAGGCCGTAGGTGCCCCTGACAGGTTTGTGGTGTCCCTGGAAGGACTTTGGTGCTCCTGACAAGCCTGAAGTGTCAAGGACAGACCCTTTAGACGCCAGTGTCAAGTTCGTCGGACTGACAACGATTTGCTTACCTGATAACGTTCCTGGTAAGTACTCACTACTCAGCGTCCACAACATATACATATACACATAGCACATTCATATATACTTGCTTACAATTGGTAATTGTGGTAGTGGCTGAGAGTTAAGATACTGACTAAAAATAAAAAATAAAAAAAACTGAAAATGGGGGCACCACCAAAATGAAGTGGACGAAATCCGTTGAGTTTTTAATTTTGGGTATAGGTAGGGCACCACTTCGATTCATGACCCTCCCCTTGGAGTTTTCCTGGATCCGCCCCTGCTTCTTATATCTACTTTCTTCTATCTATTCTATCTATATACTTTTTAGATAGATTTCTATCTATCTACTTTCTTCTTATACCTTATCGTTCTATCGTATCTACTTCATCCATGCTGATGGGTATAACGATTCTTTAGTGCCCTGGGTATAACCCTCGCCTTAGGCGGCGGAACGGGGAGGGCACCGGGGCACCGTGCCCCTCTTTGATTTTGGCATTTCAACATTAGCCCTATGAGCGTTGGATGGAAAGAATGGGACCAAAAGTCGGCAGTGCCCCCCCCCCCCATTAATTAAAGGTCTTCCGCCGCTACCCTGGCCCGCTACTGACCCTCGCCAGACCTATATGTTTTCTACGTACGCGCCGGCCGAGGGGGGTGCGATCCCCACCCCTCGCCGTTTCGCCCCTGGTGGAGCTAGCGCGTCGCGGGAAAACCGAGCGTGTGCGCCGTTACGAGAAGCAGAGATTGGACCCGATTTTAAGGTCCTAGGTCAACCAGTGACCTCTGAGGTCAGATCAAGTGCCCCAAGGTACGGTTCAGTTTTTGGTGAATAACTTCGCAAAAAAACGGCCGCAGAGCTGCGGACGCGGTTATGGCAGCATCGTGCTCGCCTCGCTCAGGTGCGTCGAATGATAAAGGTACTTTTTGTTTGCGTCAGGTCAACTTAAGGTGTTGACCTCAGGTCACGGTCAGGTCAGCGCCCCCAGTTCACGAAGCTGGTCGAAAGAGGTAATGTCGCATTGTCGCATATCATTCGATTCGGCAGGTCTTTCTGAGTCCATTGGTGGCTTTCCCGACTCGCTAGCTCAATTTGATCGGGAGTTATTGACGAAAAACTAATATAACCTTGATGACGTCATAAATGACGTCACACAAGGTCAGCATTGCAAAAGTGACGCATCTAACTTTGCAAGGAGTGCATCAAATCACGATTCTGTGTGCTTGAGATAGTTTGAGATCGTTCCCGCCGCCAGAATAGCAGTTTTCATTTTTCCCCATTGACTTATACCTACCTAACACAGTGATGCAAATGGGGTTCACGAGTGGCCATAAATACCCAAAAGTCAAGTTTACCAAATCGAGTTAATTGCGATATGGCCGAGTAGACAAATGTTTGGGGCATCTGAAATGACATGGTTTTCATGTTTTTGTCAAAACCGGCCTCGTGTATAATCGTCAGAAGTCGTGACATTTTCTAGGTCGTAAAATGACTGTCAGACACTCGCAAGTTCAAACGCCGCTGGTTTGCGTTCATTTCGTACAAATTGAAAAAATATGCATGGGAATGATCCCCAAAGTCTTCTGCTTCTAATGCCGGGTCACAAAAAGCCGTATCTCATTCGCTTTGGCGGTAATCTGTTATCTGACTATTTATCATCATGCTGCAATCGCAGTTTTTTACTAAGAAAAAAAAATGCTTTCGTTTCACCTACAGCACTTTACACAGTGTGTGCCCGTTAGTCCACCATACCATAGCCTTCCCTAATCATTTCTGAGTCGCATCGTGAAAGAAATAAGGTGCTAGCACAGGGCTGACCTGCGCTACAGAGGGTTTTGTCCGGGCGGGCGGGTGCCGCAGTGGGCGCGCGGTGGGCAGGTGGGTGCCGCCGCGGGCCCGCGCGGCGTCCGGGCGGCGCGGCGGCGCGGCCGTCCGGGCCGCCCGCTGCGCCGCGGCACCCGACCGTGCCGGACGAAAACTTCTGTAGCGCCGGTCAGCCCTGTGCAAGCGCCTTAATTCTTTCACTATGCGACTCAGAAATGATTAGGGAATGCTATGATATGGTGCACTAACGGGCACACACTGTGTGAAGTGCTGTAGGTGAATTGAAAGCAAATATTTTTGGTAAAAAACTGCGGTTGCAACATGATTACAAATAGTTAGCTCACCGCCAAACCAAAATAGATACGGCTTTTTATGACGTGGCATTAGAAGCAGCAGGTTTCGAAGATCATTTTTATGTATACTTTTTGCAGTTGGTATGACATGAACGCACGCTAGCGGCGCTTGAATTTCAAGTACCTGACAGTCATTTTACGACATCGAAAATGTCTCGACTTCTGACAATCATTCACTAGGCCGGTTTTGACAAAAACATTAAAATCATACTTTTTCAGACACCCCAAACATTTGCCTGACTGACCATATTACGATTTATTCGATTAACCCTCGCACGACCAGGCCATTTCTCATAACACGAACGACCAGGGGGGGGGGTTGTTACGACCCCCCCCTGGCGTTTCGAAACGGAAGGTCGTAGAGCTTAGCGGAAAAACCAACGGATTGCTCTCAACGGAATCTCGCGATTGGTGGTATATTTTTTGGTCCTAGGTCAACATTTGACCTACTTTTGACCGGTCAAAGGTCAAATTTTCGGAAAAATAGACTTTTTTCAATTTTCGGCGGCGATTGCGGCAAAATGGTGGGAGATATCGACTTGAAACCTTCACTATCGTGTTCCTTGATCAATTCTCTATCGTTTGGTATGTATTTCGTTTCCCTAGCTCTAAAAATGGCGCGTTGGGAGCGCCGGAAGTCGGCAAGGTCACAGTCGGCGGCAGAAATTCGAAAAATCAAAATTTAATTTTTTGAAATCTGATTGTATTTTTGGATTTGGGAAGTCCATTTGCTCCCTATAGAAGCTAATATTGCTGCATATTCCCATTGAGGTGACAAGAATTAGCAAAATAGTGGTTCGGGCGCTTTTCAAAAATAGTACCGGACGCTGTTCCTCTTGTGACGTCATAGCTCCGTGACCTGACCTGACCCGGTCAAATTTCTTATACCATATGATAGCCAATACTTGCCCCAACATGCA